TTTATCCGAACAAAGGGTTAATTGTTCGAAATAAACCCTGCAAAGTTTAAAACATGTTTTCCAAAGAAGTGTACCTTTGAATAATGCGTCATCCTTCTCAGTTGGCCTTTGTTAAAGTATTACTTTTTATAACTGAAATTAATTCATAGTGATTTCGAAATATTATAAGATTATTCTCAAAACAAATAATATTATTCCCAAACTCTTATGCCAAAACGATCGGTCTCTTTCGATATATTTTGGACCATTGATGATTTAAAAGTTTGTTATTTTCTTGTTTATATGAGATCGTGAGGTATTTTAAATTGTTTGATAGGCATTATTTAGAAATTGGCGTATGATAAAGTAGAGACAATTTATGGACAACAACTTTTTTATTTACTGTGAAGGCGACGTCTCGGAATAGATCCTTATGCCGTTGTCAAGTGACGTTTCGGTATAGATCCTTAAACCATCGCCTTAAATTTACAGTAAAATATAGTAGAGAGAGTGAATTGTTAGTTGTTAAATGCATCATATTACTTTCAGACATATATATTCGATATGTCTACTTAGATTGTTGCCAGCGGTTACTTTGGAAGTCACTCAGTGTATTGATCTATGATGCACGATGTTAAAGCAGAGGAAGAGAGAGATTAATCAGTTGACATACTTCGTATAATGAAAAAGAACATATCGAATTGAGAGAAATTAATAAATACCTGAGAAGTATAGGTCAAAGTTAATTCATATCAGTTCGAAATTGGCGTGTATTTCATTTTTAGTTGGAGGAGAAGTGAGGGGATGTGTTTATTGCTAATATGCAAAGTGTATGATTCAATAACAATCTTCGTGTGTATGTAACAGAACAACATCCTAGCTGCATGTATATACCTTGTGTATGTGTGTATGTGAAACGCAGAGGAAAGCCAGACCCCGACACTGATGTTCACCGATTCATCCATTTAATTTGCTTTGTGTAGCAAAAACGTGACTTATGACGTGACTAAGCATAAAACCAGTAATTGCCCCGACCACCAGGTGTGTTTTGCAAGTCATCCCGAGCTCATCGCGTTAGCACTGTATATACAGATGAAGCCAGTGTTGTTTCGATGTCCCGCTCACATCTAACGACCATGGTTACATGTACCCTGTATGATCTCGAGGTCCCGCTCACATCTAACGACCATGGTTACATGTATCCTGTATGATCTCGAGGTCCCGCTCACATCTAACGACCATGGTTACATGTACCCTGTATGATCTCGATGTCCCGCTCACATCTAACGACCATGGTTACATGTGCCCTGTATGATCTCGAGGTCTCGCTCACATCTAACGACCATGGTTACATGTACCCTGTATGATCTCGATGTCCCGCTCACATCTAACGACCATGGTTACATGTACCCTGTATGATCTGGATGTCCCGCTCACATCTAACGACCATGGTTACATGTACCCTGTATGATCTCGAGGTCCCGATCACATCTAACGACCATGGTTACATGTTCCCTGTATGATCTCGATGTCCCGATCACATCTAACGACCATGGTTACATATATCCTGTATGATCTGGATGTCCCGCTCACATCTAACGACCATGGTTTCATGTACCCTGTATGATCTGGATGTCCCGCTCACATCTAACGACCATGGTTACATGTACCCTGTATGATCTCGAGGTCCCGCTCACTTCTAACGACCATGGTTACATGTTCCCTGTATGATCTGGATGTCCCGATCACATCTAACGACCATGGTTACATATATCCTGTATGATCTCGATGTCCCGCTCACATCTAACGACCATGGTAACATGTACCCTGTATGATCTGGATGTCTCGCTCACATCTAACGACCATGGTTACATGTACCCTGTATGATCTCGAGGTCCCGCTCACATCTAACGACCATGGTTACATGTACCCTGTATGATCTCGAGGTCCCGCTCACATCTAACGACCATGGTTACATGTACCCTGTATGATCTCGAGGTCCCGCTCACATCTAACAACCATGGTAACATGTACCCTGTATGATCTCGATGTCTCGCTCACATCTAACGACCATGGTTACATGTACCCTGTATGATCTCGATGTCTCGCTCACATCTAACGACCATGGTTACATATATCCTGTATGATCTGGATGTCCCGCTCACATCTAACGACCATGGTTTCATGTACCCTGTATGATCTGGATGTCCCGCTCACATCTAACGACCATGGTTACATGTACCCTGTATGATCTCGAGGTCCCGCTCACTTCTAACGACCATGGTTACATGTTCCCTGTATGATCTGGATGTCCCGATCACATCTAACGACCATGGTTACATATATCCTGTATGATCTCGATGTCCCGCTCACATCTAACGACCATGGTAACATGTACCCTGTATGATCTGGATGTCTCGCTCACATCTAACGACCATGGTTACATGTACCCTGTATGATCTCGAGGTCCCGCTCACATCTAACGACCATGGTTACATGTACCCTGTATGATCTCGAGGTCCCGCTCACATCTAACGACCATGGTTACATGTACCCTGTATGATCTCGAGGTCCCGCTCACATCTAACAACCATGGTAACATGTACCCTGTATGATCTCGATGTCTCGCTCACATCTAACGACCATGGTTACATGTACCCTGTATGATCTCGATGTCTCGCTCACATCTAACGACCATGGTAACATGTTCCCTGTATGATCTCGATGTCTCGATCACATCTAACGATCATGGTAACATGTTCCCTGTATGATCTCGATGTCCCGATCACATCTAACGACCATGGTTACATATATTCTGTATGATCTGGATGTCCCGCTCACATCTAACGACCATGGTTACATGTACCCTGTATGATCTCGAGGTCCCGCTCACTTCTAACGACCATGGTTACATGTTCCCTGTATGATCTGGATGTCCCGATCACATCTAACGACCATGGTTACATATATCCTGTATGATCTCGATGTCCCGCTCACATCTAACGACCATGGTTACATGTTCCCTGTATGATCTGGATGTCCCGCTCACATCTAACGACCATGGTTACATGTACCCTGTATGATCTGGATGTCCCGCTCACATCTAACGACCATGGTTACATGTACCCTGTATGATCTCGATGTCCCGCTCACATCTAACGACCATGGTTACATGTACCCTGTATGATCTCGATGTCTCGCTCACATCTAACGACCATGGTTACATGTACCCTGTATGATCTCGATGTCTCGCTCACATCTAGCGGCCATGGTTACATGTACCCTGTATGATCTCAACAACCATTGTTTTCAATACCCTATTCATCTCGATTGAGGTGCCGCTTTCATCTAACAACCATTGTTTTCAATAACCTATTCATCTTGATTGAGGTGCCGCCTTCATTAACAACCATTGTTTTCAATACCCTATTCATCTCGATTGAAGCGCCGCTATCATCTAACAACCATTGTTTTCAATACCCTATTAATCTGGATTGAGGTGGGGCGGTCGGGTAGCCTAGTGGTTAAAGCGTTCGCTCGTCACGCCGAAGACCTGGGTTCGATTCCCGACATGGGTACAATGTGTGAAGCCCATTACTGGTGTCCCCCGCCGTGATATTGCTGGAATATTGCTAAAAGCGGCGTTAAACCCAAGGAGTCAGACACCTTGGTTAATCGGACAATAAGCTCTGATACTAGTAGATGTTACACAAGTCATACTGAGGGTTGCATATTTTACGAGTATACATGACATGAGGGCTCCTTTTAAAAATAAATGGTGGTTTGTATCTATCAAACATATATTTTCAGAGTCTAAATCTTAGATCTTCTGCGGATGTTTCAGTTATGGCCCCTTCCACAAAGCGATCTATGTTAAAACATAGGGGTGGGGGTGATTGGTTAGCCTAGCGTTCGCTCGTCAATCTTAAGACCCGGGTTCGATTCCCCACATGGGTACATCGTGTGAAGTCCATTTCTGGTGTACTCCGCCGTGATATTGCTGGAATATTGCTAAAAGCGGCGTAAAACCATACTCACTCACTCACTGGATTGAGGTGCCGCCGTCATCTAACAACCATTGTTTTCAGTACCCTATTCATCTGGATTGAGGTGCCGCCATCATCTAACAACCATTGTTTTCAATACCCTATTCATCTCGATTGGGGTGCCGCCATCATCTAATTCACTCATTCTGAACTATTCACGTACAACCAACTCAATGTCTCATTCGGGTTCGAATCCCAGATTCGCTCTCATCATGATCCTTGGATTTGTCTACACTATATCCGTGCTCCTTTGGTTCAGCCGGAGTGGTTAAACGTCTAATATCTGTATCACCTCAGGCTTGCCTCTTCTATTAAGCTCACACGCAGTAGGATATATACGGAAACACTTTGAAAACGCAAATTCGATTTTATGCAATATTTGACGAAATGGCTACAAACATCAAATTAAGTTGTTCTGGGTTTTCAGGCATGAGTTAATCAAAAACAACAACGTGTACGGGTTCGAATCTCATTTGATGTGTTTGGAGATGGACTTGAGCAAAAACACATTTTTCTGATCAATTTTATTATGCGTTTCATTATATTTCGGTATAGCTGAAAGATAGCCCAGAGAGGCGTAAAACTCACTCACTCACTCACTAAATGTATCACGACTGTTATTTCCGTTTGCAGAGATGGGGTGAAATGGGGTTTAACGTCGCGTCCAAGATTATTGCACGATTAAAACGACGTGCATGCACGCGCATGCACTCGCATGCACTGATATACCATGCCGCAGTTTAACATAAAAAACCCACCCAGACACAGTATACTGACCCCAGCCGACCAGTCCTTGTTTTAACCTTTTAATACCTAGCGCCAGACAAGGTAACAACAAGTACCATCTTTTAACGTCTATTGGTATGACGCGGCCGGGGATCGAACCCCGGTCCCTTCGCTCTCCGGGCTTACGCTCTACCACAAGATACCACAAGACCAAAGAGGCGGTCAAGGAAACTACACAATTCACAACTGGGAGGAATCAGTCACATTTAATACATGATGTACGGGGGCTAGGCTACACGCTTGTCGGGTGGGAGTGGAGTGAGTGTTGGTGTGGGTGTGTTTTCGGGTGGGACAGTGGACGAGGCGGCTGCTCGGGCAGGGTGTTCACGTGGATGCTGGTGTGTTTCTGGAGGTCGATGGTGACGCTGGAGATCCACGGTCGCCACGTGTGCTGTATCTTGTTACCCTCTGGAACACACAGACACCATAAATGAACACATTCAAGAAGATAGGTTTGTTTGTTTGTTTATTTGCTGTTTAACGCCGCACGCAGCAATATTCCAGCTATATGACGGCCGTCTGTAAATGATCGAGTCTGGACCAGACAATCCAGTGATTGACATCACGAGCATCGATCCATGCGATTGGGATACGATGACATGCATCAACCAAGTCAGCGAGCCTGACCACCCGATCCCGTTAGTCGCCTCTTACGACAAGCAAAGTCGCCTTTTACGGCTTGCTGAAGACCTATCCCATCCCGGATCTTCACGGGTCTCAAGAAAATATAAATACGTACTATTACACAATAAAATAAAACTGAACTAAGGATAATTAATGGTCCAAAATGATCCCGATTACTTTACTTTGCAATAGACAAAGTTCTTATCGCCAATTGTTTTAAATAACTATTGTGTTTTGGTCCTTGCTTCAATTTGGTTTTTAGCTATGCAGAGTTGCGTCCCTTTGACGTACTAGAAACATGTGGTCGTTGGTTCGAATCACCAGCGGTAAACGTCTAAGACATGGGTGATTTCGCGCTTTCCTCCCACATCAACACCGAAAGGCTGTAGTATAAAAAGCTGCCACCAAGCTGTAATATTGTATTAAGAACTGGTTAAATCTCATTAAAATTAGATCTTAGTTCTCGCTATCGCTTAACAAAAATCTGAGGACATCCCATTACGGGTCACGCCAGAACGACCTTTCATCCAACCAATGAGAGCGTCGCTTACCAGATCATGAAAGTGACAGTCGAAATGTGTTTTCTAATCATGCAACGACAATATATACTGATGGAAATTAATAAGGGAACATTTAGTTTTAGAGACAGTAAATCGATATGCCATCATGGGTTCCCAGCCTTGTCAACCAAATACATATTAGAAACAATGCACACAAACACATCTCAACATTTGATTCTGACGTGTTGAATTTGTATGCACACTATTTCAAATGTACTGACAGTAAAGCTTAGTTCCCTATATATTTCAGTGTTCCCTTATTTCTTTCCATCAGTATATTTAACATGGGGTATTCCAAACGACAGTTACGGGTTTTATTATTATTTCCATATAATCTAGGCCATCTATTTGCCATTCCAGCATGTTCCTCTAATCAGTTTTAAACTTTTTAATCGAAAATACGTCAAAATATGTTTCGAAGCATAGTCGCCAGTTTGAAACTAGTGTCGTAAAGCTCGAGCAAGCTGCCATCTGATTGGCCAATGTCGATTTCTTTCAATGTCATTTCATTGGTCGGTCAAAATTCGCGAAAGGTTGTTCTGACGTGATCCGTAATGGGATGTCCTCAGATCTTTGTTCAGAGGTAGCGAAAACTAAGATCTGATTTTAATGAGATTGGAACTGGTTTCCCGGTCCTGTACGAGTAGCTGACGGAGATGTCATCACCTGGCGTGGCTCGACCGCTGGCAACGAGGAGGTAGAAATCTTTGTTGAGGTCGTAAAAACGATCATCGCCAGACAGAACCTTCTTCCGGCGGAAGGAGCATTGGAAGATGCCGTCTTTGTCCGAACCGGAAACCGGAGTCAGGCCAACCGGATACTGTCGAAACAAGGGAGATAATCAGTACTACTGCATGCGCCTCGGAGGAAACCTGTTAGATACAGTCCTTGTTTGAATCGGAAACCTGAGTCAATCAGATACTGTCGAGGCAAGGGAGACAATCAGTTATTTCTGCGTGCGTTCGTAGGATAAATGTTTTTGTTTTTAAATTTGTTATTTTACATATCTGTATGAACATTAAACAAAGAACACTGCACTACCAAACAAGATTCATCAATGACTAATAATTAATTGCGAGGAACATTCGACAACGATAAACTATTGTTTTATTTGTTCCTTATTTCCAAAGTACTATTAAAAAGACTTATCTGAGAAGTGTGTGTTACAATCAGCGAGAAAAACAAGTCAAGATTCACTGTAACACTACTACTATCTTACATACTAAAATGGGTGGGTCTGATATCGCTCCACGAAGCTCCACGAAGCTCCACGAAGCTCCATGAAGTTCAGGTCGCATGTACCCAGATCCAACCCTGTAACTTGCATTGTGCATCAGCAAGTGACTATATTAAGTGATTGACATCATTTTCCTCAGCCACCAGGTGTGTTTTGCAAGTCACCACGAGTACATAGGTTTAAGCCTCTGTCAACAGCAGTGCGACTATACATCGGAAACCACCGTGACGACCCGGATTCAGCCCTGCTGACGCTCTCACAGTGACGTTGCACATTCTGAGATCCGCTTTCAGTGGACACTTCTTTATGTTCGTGAATGGTGTTTTGTATCAAATATAGTCATACAATGGTGTTTTGTATCATATATAGTCATACACCTAAATTTATCCTAACAGGTGAAGGGCTTGAACCGTTTAGTGAACGACTTGTATGAAACGGATCTTCTTCTTCACTTTAGCGTTATGCAAGGAATAACACCTTTCTTTACCTTCAGCAAAATGTATAATATATCCTCTCTGTTACCTTCATCTCAGTGTATTTTCCCCTAGTTATTTAACAGCAGCATGGCCCCGTAGTTCAACCCAACGCCTTAGCTCACGACAGTGTCATATAGAACCCAACGTCTTAACCCCGACAGTGTAATATAGGGCGTTGTTTGAGGGGTTTCAGTGAGGTGCTGCATAACGGGTTGGGACCTGTTATATACAATGGGACCTGCTTACTGTGGAAACTTCACTGTATGTGCGAACAATGTAGCTTACCTGTGATATTCTGATGTTGGAGTGGCCGATGTTGTAGGAGGGGTAGAAGAAGATGCCTGTGCCTACCTCCACACACTCGGTGACGCTGTCCCAGCCCTGGACACCAAAGTATACTTATGTATGTGACTGAACTGACGGCTAACAAGAATGTGTAATATATCAACAAGAATAATACAAATTAATTACGACTGCTTTTAATTTAAAAATAAATAAATTTAATTTTAATTTTAAATCAGTCGCCGTTCGAGAATCCAGAATTGATTGGGGGTATTGTGCATCCGTTCATGTGTAATGTTTAATATAAGATCTACGTAAGATTCATGGCCATTTACAGGTTCAAATATAGAGCTACATGTTCGGTTTTGGTTGGTTGTTGTTTAACGCCGCACTCACCAATATTCCATCTATATGACGGCGGTCTGTAAATAATCGAGTTTGGACAAGATAATCCAGTGATTGATATCATGAGCATCAATCTACGTTATTGGAACACGATGACATGCATCAACCAAGTCAGCGATCCCGGCCATCCGATCCCGATCGCCTCTTACGACAAGCATGAGTTGCTGGAGACCATTTCTAACCCGGACCTTAACTGTTTGTGATCAGTTATCGGGGTTCCTGGTGCTAGGCCTACAAAGAGTGTGAATAGTGTCTACCATCTGTGTGTCTTCAGAGAAGCCGATGGCGACCCACTTGTCCCCGAGGCCGAGATGGACGGTGGTGATGGTGAAGTCGATGGTGGGGACGTTCCACCCCCTGTCCTGCCATGACACCAACATGGAACACCCTCCCAGGGCCTCACAGTCGTGGAAACAACCCATAGTGTCCCCACAGCGGGGGTCCATTGTGAATCGGGCGTCCTGTGAATAAATGGCATGTGATATTGAACGTTCTATCGATTTGACTTGGAAACAAGCCAAATATGCTTAAAGCGTATTGTGAGCCAGTTAACAAAGGTTGAATCGCGAGAACGCGAGAATGTCCCTTACAGTATTTCATAGGATAAGGACATTGTCGACTCCAGCGCGATATTTTACGTCGAATCAGCAAGTTTCCAACTACACGGATTTCATAAACATCTTTAATTCATTGGACCAAGCGGAAATATACACCTCAAAGTTTACTAAGGACCACCAGTTTAAAATGTAATACGTCAAATTGTGTGCGTCTGTTGAAATAGCCAAAGACAATATTGCATGAAGACCTGTTTAATGAACAAAAGTCTGCTGTCATGTGCCACACAATACCATCAAACAACATGTGACCAATAATCAGTCCGATCACCCGTCAAAATGACAGTATCTCACCAAAACTAAAACGTAAAACAACAAATGGAAACACATTCTTTGTCCCAAAAAACAACACACAGTAGCGCTAATGTGATCCACGTGATGCTCATGCTCCCGGTAAGTGTCTGGGGGGTTGCCAAGGGAAGATTGTTCCACTCTTCAGTAAGAGTGAGTGAGTGAGTATGGTTTTACGCCGCTTTTAGCAATATTCCAGCAATATCAGGGCGGGGACACCAGAAATGGGCTTCACACATTGTACCCATGTCGGGAATCGAACCCGGGTCTTCGGCGTGACGAGCGAACGCTTTAACCACTAGGCTACCCGACCGCCCCTCTTCAGTAAGAGCTTTGTCGAGTTTCTGTAGAGTTGCTGGAAGACTGGCCTTCGTGAGAGGGCGATCTGCAGGTCGGTCCACATGTGTTCGATAAGGTTGAGGGCTGGCCACTCCATGCGAACAATAGTCTCCGGCTCTAAGGCATCAACGACCCTGGCACGATTAAGTCGTGCGTTATTGTCCATTAGTATGAAGTCCGGTCCGATTGAACCAGCATAGGTCTCAGGTACACATCCAGAATGTCATCCCTGCAGCACACCTGTCATCGAACCCTGCTACAGGACACAGAGATCGGTTCTTCCAGCTCTACTGATCCCACCCCAAATCATGACTGAGCCCTATCCATAGTGGTCATGTTCGGCTACGTTTGCATCCTGAAATCTTTCTCGGTGTATACGCCACACTCAGGCACCAAGATCTGTGAATTCTAGAGTTTCTCGATTCGTCAGTGTAAAGCACTGGATCCCAGTCCTGAACGGTCCAATTGACGTGATCTTCAGCCAAATCCAAACGTGCCTGCCTGTGAGGTCGGGTCAGTGGGATGCGAATGCATGCCCTCCGTGACCTGAGATCAGCCTCACGGGGACGATAACAGGAAACGTTTACACTATTGGCGTTCATTGGCAGGTCATTTCTATGTGTGTTGGCAGTCACGGAGGCTTCGACGATGACCGTTTGCTGCAATCAGGAGAAACCTTTCTCCCTGCAGGTCGCTGATCCAAACGACTGGCATCTATTCCATTACTTATGTAGAAATACATGGCTGACACCAAAGACGTTTGCAACGTGACATTGTGTTGATCCAGTTATAAGCATGCCTATATATCTGCCTAATTCTTCCGTCGTGAAACGACGCCTTTGACGCTGAGGGTATTCAGTGGTTGCAATCCTCAGTGGGAAATGTTGTTGTGCTCGTTTATAACGATGTGCAACGGTTCTGTCGCAAAACATCCAAACACAGGTTTTCAAGCACCTAGTGCACATCGTGCCCATGAGTGCATGACTCTGTCAGTTCATCATGAAACTGAGGTCCAATAGGGTTTCCCCAATCACTGTCTTTATTTGTTGGATGATTTTTTTATACCATTAAAACTTGATCCTTCGCAAACTTTGAGTTGTATATATCGAACAATCATGTCTTCGAAACTTACGGAAGCACATAAGGGCACTATTACTTTTATATTATCTTGAAATATTATAAGATACATTGTTCATAATTCAAGATACTTCGTTGAAAATTCGAGTTCTTATCTTGAAAATTCAACTTATTAAGTTAAAAATTCAAAATTAATTGAATTCAGCGAATGCATTTTCAAGATACCATCTTGAATTTTAAAGATACGAGCTTGAATTTCAAGATAAATATAAAAAATGTTTTTGGCCAAATGTTTTTTGAATTCACTAGAAACCAGACCCAAGAGAACAATGAGGTTACATCGTCTTCAGTCATATTTCGAATTCAATTGAAAGACGTCTCAGTGTATATGTATTCAGAAAACGGAAACAAGAACCGACCCAGAGTAGCAGGGAAAACTATTTGTCTTCAGTTGACAAGAAATACGAAATATTGTCAAAAAGGACAAAGAGTACTACCTCAGTCCCTTAAGTGAAACGATATTTGAACTACAATGCCCCCCCCCTCCCCCCCCAAAAAAAAAAAAAATTTAAAAAAAAAAATAAATAAAAAAAAATAAAAAAAATATATATATATAAAAAAAAAATAAAAAAAATAATAATAATAAAAAAAATAATCTTTACTCAAGGAGGTAATCAGAAGAAACCCTGTCCATCTGAATTTACCTTGATAGAGCAGGGGTACATGTTCCTTGTAAGCCACGTGGTCTGAAATGGCACGTGAATCTGCAGGTTGCCCGTGACAATGGAAGAGGTCACGTTGACCCAGATGGTGCTATAGCTCTCAACAAACGTCGCCCTAACAGAAGACACACATTGAGACTATTGCAACAACGAATTTACAAAGTCAAAGAGATTCAATAACACAAGATGGATACGACAAATTTTAGTACACCAGCACACTCAAAAGAACGATATACTACAGTACTATAAAATCGGCATTTGTCTGGACTAGTACAACCAACCACACACACATGCACACGCACGTGCTCACAGACACGCGCCCAACACCCCGACCCCCAAATGTTCGACCCCTTACCTAAACACGATATGGTCATTGAGCCCAGCAGGTGCTTGCCACACAAAGTCTAGACTGGTCTTGGTCTGGTTGTTGCTGTGAGTCAAGGCGCTGTTCTGAATGGTGCAATACAAGGAACTGATTATTTGATTTTCATATCAACAAGACCTCAAAAACATAATATTACATTGGTTGGTTGGTTGTTTTACGCCGCACTCAGCAATATTCCATCTATATGACGGCGGTCTGTAAATAATCGAGTCTGGGCCAGACAATCCAGTGATTGATATCATGAGTATCGATCCACGCAATTGGAATCGATGACATGCATCAACCAAGTCAGGGAGCCTGACCACCCGATCCCGTTAGTCGCGTGTTTTGACATGGGTTGCTGAAGACCTATTCTACCCAGTATCTTCATTGGTCTCATATTACGAAAAGTATTTTATATCCATCTGTATGCAAACATTATTCGGACCTTTTAGGGAATCCGGTTCAGAATTGGTCCTCAGCGTCATTTTCTTGTAAAAACTATCGATGAATTGATTAATTGTGTGATATCGCACCCCAACGGGATGGGTCGTTGCTCATCATATCAATCACTGGAATGTCTGGTCCACACTCTATCATATACAGGCTTACCTCATACAGCTGGAATACTGCTGAGTGTGGCGTTAAACACCAAACAGATAACTACTATATTTGGATGGTGATGAAGAGTTTGGGGAAAGAGACGGGAGAAAGGACATCACTGATGACGCCATGGACAACGACATCATGGCTATAAACAGTGACAACGTAATGAAAACCCCATAACGATGTTGATGTTGAGAGTGATGACTACCCTATCGACAGTGACAACACGTACCCCTGATGGTCCGCAGACTCCCTGGGTCATCATGACGGGAGTGAAGGTCCCGATGAACTCTGTCTGGTCATAGCGCGGGTCAGCTCTCCTGGCCTGGATGAGGAAGCCCTTGAACATGTGATTACAGCGGGACTCCAGCGTCACTGTAACCACAAGGGGGAACATGGGATGCTCATTATATTTCTTCTATCTTTATATTCAATCGTTGTTTATTAGCTTATTATTTAATCATGGGGAGAAAGAAAATGCTTCACCTTTTCTTCCGTAGATCTCTGTCTTGGTAGATCTGAATGTGCAATCTTGGGTACGTTTTTCTGACCCTGTCTGACAGGTATATTAAGCTTCTCTGTATTGTCGTACTTGTACTATGATTCCAGGAGGGTCATTGTTTTCTACTGAAATGTGCGGTTGGCAGATCATTGTTTTCTATAAAGGGGTCATAGTTTTCAACTGAAATTTGCGTTTTTATGAAAGTCATTGTTTTCTATTATTTTTTTCTCCTGAAATGTGCGGTTGGATGATCATTGTTTACTCACAAAGGATTATTGTTTTCTAATGAAATGTGCGTTTTTATGTAGACCATTGTTTTCTTCCAAAGTATTTGGTGTCATTGTAGGTTTTAAAAAGATTGATGCGGTGGAATCATTGTTACAGAATTAATTGGTTATTATGGAGAAATGAGAGAAGCGTTTTGGCTTGAAATGCTGTAGCAACATTATGTTCAGTTGGTACATTTAAAACATTAACGGAAGTTGGTTCTTTGGAGAAAAAAAAAGTATTTCAAAGGGAAACTATGTTCCATGTTCTGGTGCCAACTCCTGCTTGGTCTAGGTCCAAGATGTAAGTATTGTCTCGTGCGAAACTGAAGCAATGAGGGCAATAATTAACTTGTATTAATTGATATATTTGTATTTCTGTGTCCTTGTTACATTGCCACAGATGCATCTCTATAGCCAGGGACCTACAGTGCTTAACAAGAGAAAAAGTGAAAACAATGTAGATCTTCAAATCAAGATACAGGTTGTTTTGTTTTACAAAACAATACAAAGACAGCATTTACTCCCCATTCACACACATTAGATAAGGGATAAACTTTATGATTATAGTGTAAAATGTAAAAGCATATTCTCTAATAAAGTGGTAATTAGTATGCATCCTTATTCGAATAGACCATGATACATTGCCGATTCGGTATAATCCTGATTAATACAATTACTTCTAAAATGAATTGTTCTATGAATATATCATTTTTAAGTAATTTATAAAATGTAAGAAACATAGCATGCAAATATCTATCTTACATTTATACAAGAAATATTTTGCTGTGATGAAGCGATCAAACACAACATCAGTCAAAACATCCTTTTTACAATTAAAAATGATTCTTTCTGAGAGATTAAGACTTAGGTCTATGAATATGACTACATCCTCCTGACCACAGGACAAGTTCGGGGTGTGGACAAGTTCGGGGACTTGGTTGATTGCCATCGTACCCCGACGGAGTGGCACGTTGCTCATAATATCAACCACTAATTTGCCTGGCTCGATTGTTTAAAACTCGTGGTATGTGCAAACCACCTAATATATGGATGTCAACTTCTTTATTATGAGAAATGTAGGTTTTTTTAATGGAGAGACCTTTTACCCATGAAACCATCGTGTGTAAATATATAAATAATATATATATAGTAATAATCAAATAAGTGGAGTAAGATTGAACACAGTTTTAATTAGTATTATGTTATATTATATATATAACGATTGAATGTAAAAAACTATACCTTACAAAGCGAATGCATAATATTTTCACATGTTTATCGTCAGGTAATTGTACCGGGATAATATAAATATACTATACATGATGCTAGAACCAAATACTAGAGGTACAACAGTTCGCAGTAAATATACCACTCAAGACAAGACAAAGAACGCAAATTGAAAGGCTGTGTGTTGCAATACCTAACCATGACAGATTAACATTAGTTAAGAGAAACATCGAGTGTTCTTAACTTTTTTGAGTAGTATATAAAACGCCATCACCAACCAGTCCCGATTATCTGCCGAAACATATTCCTTTTGGCGTAAAAGGCAAAATAGTGGTGAAAATTATATGGATGAAACATTGAAAATCAGTGATAACACCAGGTGTTCGAGAGAAGGGTAAGCATGTCCTGTCCTACTAATATCAGCCGCCACTCCCACAATTTGCAAAAAATCCATTTAAGTGAATAGTTTACTAAAGAAGCCATGATTTTCATATTAGTGTTGCCTTTTCATATTTTTGTTAATTCGTATGCTACGTGATTCTTCCAGTCAAGTGTAGTCAGTGATATATACATAGAGGAAACATAGCACAATTGGAACGTAAACTTGGTTTTGTTTAAAACGAAAAACAAATGACGCATATTTCGCCTAACAGTATGGACAATATATTATATATTACAATATATTTTTAGACAGACTTAAACCAAGGCATAACTTAATTCACCACGCTCGCCGATAAGGTAAAAAACTTCAGTCGCCACGTTTTCGACATTTTCATCAATAACATTGTCCCTTGTTGCCTGTTTCAGTGTTTACGTCACCGTGACGTCGAGGCGGACACGTCTGTGACAGCCCGTCACGGCCTGCACGCTCAAGGGAGGAGGCACCATTTGGGTGCATAGTTTATATGCCTTGATATGGAGTTCTACATGTATATCGTCACGTTATACATATAGGCCGTCACACAGTAATTGGAATTATTTATGCTTAAACAAAGAACGACTTCATGACATCTATGCAAAACAATTTTATGTCTTTGTTGCATTGACGTACAGTAAAGTACGGTTAAACGAACTCAAAGGGACTACTAATTTTAGTTCGTTTGAACCGTAGTTCGTTATAAGCATATATACAGCATAACTACAGCAAATAGTCGGGACCAAAAAAGTAGTTCGTTATATCAGTCAGTTCGTTATAAGCGTGTTCGTTATAACCGTAGTTTACTGTATTTCTTAAATTAATTAAAAAGTTATATGTATGCACTTTGGGATGGGGTAATAAGTAGGTTAGTAAGCACCCCGACGGTCCAACCAGCAGCAAAAAATACTATGTAAGTCAATATTTCCTTACACTCGACTTCGTATTTGATTTTGCATTTGTTAAGCATTTGTAAGTTCGTTTTGGTCTTCATACTGCAATGCACCGCTATCCCTTCAGTGTGCTTTAATGGTTGTCAGCAAATTGTATGCCGCAATCCCTTCAGACAAATAGCCATGATATACACTATTTCAATGGAAATGCAACATCTATGTTTAAAATAGTGAGTGGGTATGGTTTTACGCCGCTTTTAGTAATATTCCAGCAATATCACGGCGGGGGACACCAGAAATGGGCTTCACACAATGTACCCATGTCGGGAATCGAACCCGGGTCTTCGGCGTGGCGAGCAAACGCTTTAACCACTAGGCTACCCGACCTCCCCTGTTTAAAATAGACCCTGTAAAAATAACCATTGAAAAATGCTGCAACACTATAATTGTCATTTATGTGTGACCCGTCTGTTGACCCACGATTGTATGATCTGATTGAACTTAAAACCCTAACAGTTCGTTCTGTTTAAGACGTAACAATGTCTAGACTGGACGCAATTTATTATATTATACATTTATATGCTGCACGTATCCAGGTACCAGTATCTGCTCAAATGCGGTTTTTTTTATTCCCCGAATTGTGGATCCGTTTGCATTCCCGATATCATTCTCAACTCCCTGGCGAGTATACAATCCAAGCTGCGCTAGAGGGTTTTTACATCCACCTCACATATCGGGTACCCATTCCCTGCTGGGTGAACAGAGGCACATTTAAACTAAGTCACTTCCCAAGGGTGACATATTGCAATAACAGCCCACGCCATGACACGGGTATACTTTCACTTTCCTACCTAATCAATTATGATGTAGGTGTAGCAGGGCGTAAAGTCATCCAACAGATGATTTCCTTACCTTGTCGGCTTCCTGACGGGGTTAACCTCTTTGGTCATGTGGACAAGGCGTCCGACCTCGGATCAGAAGGTCCGTGGTTCGAATTCCCTCACGGGACTCGGAAAATTTATGGCCGCTACATTGGCGCCCAACGTAGGGATGAGCGCGTTTATATTAAATTTGAGCAAAATAAGTCTCAGTACCCTACTATGCGGCCCGGGACGTGCCTTCTGTTGACGGGGGAGTATGTAGCAGGGCGTCGAGTCATCCCACAGATGACAAATGGTGTTTAGGTAATCCTCGAAAAAACGTAAATGGTTCTCACCTGTAATCTTTTTCTTTTCATAATAACTTGTATCGGATACTTTGATAATAAACGGTGATGATACTGTCTGCGGTGCCGTTCCATGATGTCCCAGGGGAAACATTGATGGACACGCCATTTCTACAGCTCCAAAGGAATACCCCAGTGTCCGTGCAAAGAGGCACGATAGTAACACAGTCACAATACACAGGTGCATTCTGGCAAGGTGAGCTAAATGTTTATTTTGTCCAGAAAAACCACCTTTGATGATGAGACAGAATATCCAGTACAAGTGTTATAGTAAGGGAAAATGGTACTGGCGTTACCGGAAGTGCGCCCCAATGACAGGTGTCCAGTCGCAGGATGTGGTCGAGCCCAGTTATATGACAGATTAAAGCGGTGGCCCTTTGTGTGTACCTTCTTCCCGGATGACATCTATGGCGTCATCAAAGTGTCACAGTGCACGGCGATCGTGTGTCAGCTGTGTGGAAAGCATGACTTTTGGTCTGACATAATGCATCATGCAGTCACAATGGCACTCGGAACTGTTGGGCTTTGATATGGTGCATATTTCGTTTGCCTTACTAATTAATATCATAAGTAATGCATAGCTGCAAGTTCGTACCTTAAAGTCTGTGACTTACCAATAATTGTACATGTGTAATTATGTAGACAACTCATTCATAAAATGTAAGCAGGATTGTTTTTTAGTGAAATATAGCATGCTTGCTTGTTTACTGTAGAATTGTAGCATTGCGAGGGTCTTTGTTTTGGCGACCAGTGTTTTCTGCTGAATAATATTTATCGAAAGTGTGTTTGTTTTCTTCGAGGTGCATGTTTGAAATACATTTTTGTTTGTTTCCTGGAGCTGTTTGTGTATAAATTAATTTAATTTCTGTTTCTCCGAGGTGTTTGTGTATAACTTAATTTCATTTCTATTTCTCCGAGGTGTGTGTTTGTAAATTAATTTCATTTTTTCGCCGAGGTGTTTGTGTATAACTTAATTTCATTTCTTTTCCTCCGAGGTGTTTGTGTGTAACTTAATTTCATTTCTGTTCCTCCGAGGTATTTGTGTGTAACTTAATTTCATTTCTACTCTTTCGATATGTGTGTTTGTAAGTTAATTTCATTTTTTCCCTGTGGTGATTGTATGTAACTTAATTTCATTTCTGTTTCCCCGAGGTGTTTGTGTGTAACTTAATTTCATTTCTGTTTCTCCGAAGTGTTTGTGTGTAACTTAATTTCATTTCTACTCTTTCGATATGTGTGTTTGTAAGTTAATTTCATTTTTTCTCTGTGGTGATTGTGTGTAACTTAATTTCATTTCTGTTTCCTCGAGGTGTTTGTGTGTAACTTAATTTCATTTCTACTCTTTCGATATGTGTGTTTGTAATTTAATTTCATTTCTGTTTCTCCGTGGTGTTTGTGTGTATCTTAATTTCATTTCTGTTTCTCCGAAGTGTTTGTGTGTAACTTAATTTCATTTCTGTTCCTCCGAGGTGTTTGTGAATAACTTAACTTATTTTCTACCCTTTCGATATGTGTGTTTGTAAGTTAATTTCATTTTTTTCTCCGTGGTGATTGTGTGTAACTTAATTTCATTTCTGTTTCCCCGAGGTGTTTGTGTGTTACCTAATTTCATTTCTGTTTCTCCGAGGTGTTTGTGTATAACTTAATTTCATTTCTGTTTCTCCGAAGTGTTTGGGTGCAACTTAACTCTATTTCTACTCTTTCGATATGTGTGTTTGTAAGTTAATTTCATTTTTTCTCCGTGGTGATTGTGTGTAACTTAATTTCATTTCTGTTTCCCCGAGGTGTTTGTGTGTAACCTAATTTCATTTCTGTTTCTCCGAAATGTTTGTGTGTAACTTAATTTCATTTCTGTTTCTCCGAAGTGTTTGTGTGTAACTTAATATAATTTTTCTCCGAGGTGTTTGTGTATAACTTAATTTCATTTCTGTTTCTCCGAAGTGTTTGTGTGTAACTTAATATAATTTTTCTCCGAGGTGATTGTGTGTAACTTAATTTCATTTCTGTTTCCCCGAGGTGTTTGTGTGTAACTTAATTTCATTTCTACTCCTCCGAGGTGTTTGTTACTGCTAAAGTTTCACTGTTTTCATTCAACGCCTTTGATGTAGTGAGTGTGTCATTGGTAACTCTTGCACCGCTTGTGAGGAATTTGTATTTTATTTTAAGCGTCATTTGCTTTTATTTATCAATAAGTGTATCTTTACAAATTTTGTAACAGTTTCTTAACGAGGTATTTCTTTATTGTTGAGGGTCATTGTTTTCTTCTGACTAAGTGGAAATACTTCACAAATATGCTAATGTTTATTACCAATCATGTGGCATTTTTTCAATGTAATACTTCCCTATTTTCTTCTTAGATATTCCTTTACTGTAAATGGTCAATGGTTTCTATGGAAAACTAATAAGATTGAAACTGTTGAGAACTAAGATATTTGTTTTTCGCTGGGCCATTGTTTTTTTGTTTTACCGATGTATTTCCTTTCTGTTGATGTAGTTGTTTTCCACTGAAGCATTTGTTAAAAGAGAGGATAATTCTTTTCTACAGATGTATTTCACCATTGTGTAATTTATTTTCTTTATAGTTATTTGCATATTGTAACTCGAATATCTGGTGTGTAATAAAGTTTTACAGCATTTACTTCACTCTCACTATTACGATTACGACGGTAGGGTAGCCTAGTGGTTAAAGCGTTCGCTCGTCACACCGAAGACCCGGGTTGGATTTCCTACATGGGTACATCGTGTGAAGCCCATTTCTGGTGTTCCCCGCCGTGATATTGCGGGAATATTGCTAATAGCGGCGTAAAATCATATTCACTCACCCACATTCACTTTAGGTTAGTTAGGTTTGTTGTTGCCATTAGGACTTTTTCTTGTGGCCATTTTGCCTTTTTGTGGCCGGGCGGGCGGGCGGGCGGGCGATTTATGAGTGAGTGAGTGAGTGAGCGAGTGAGTGGCGTATTCGCTGTAATTTGACGTCGGGTTGTAATGTTTTCACTGAAGTCCCACGTCGCTTTGGTGCCACCTTACAGATAAGCATATTACTTTTAGCGAGCCACCACACAAGTGTGATATGGTGACCGGCTTGCTCCACTAATAGGGATCTAGTGTGCCTTTGTATCACAAAGAGGAATGTGATAGCTTTTGAAGGGAAAACAACGCTTATACTTTTATTTTGTAACTGTGATATTGAGCTAGCCGGTGCTGTTTTTCGTTACTGTTTTTGTGTGTGCAGAATTAAACGCCGATTCATGGCTATACTATTAACCACGTTAAATCACAACTAGGTCACCATTGAAAAGGAAGTTTATAAATAAAGTGTACGGTGATATGGGTGAAGGGAGATAACTCCACTTCTGCACAAGATGGCGAACAGTGTTTATGGTTGAGTTTGTTTGTAAACATGGAGAACTGATTACTTCTACAGGTGTGATAGTCCGCACAGGTGAGTTGAGGAGTAGCAGAATAACAGGTAGTTAGAAGTGTTATTTCTATATAGGTCGTGTATGTCTGTTGTCAATGTAAACACGATGTAATCCCGGAACTACCGCGAGGAAGCCACGTATATGTAACCGTATCTTGACCCACATTTAGACTACACCATGTTGGGTGTTTTTTATATCAACAATTTGTTGTACACTAAGGTTAGATAAGTAATGTATACAGTGATGATGTTCATATGATGTTATTGACCTGTTCATGTGTTGTTATAGATCTGTTTATGTGATGTTATTGATCTGTTTATATGTTGTATAGATCTGTTCATATGTTGTTATAGATCTGTTCATATGTTGCTATAGATCTATTCATATGTTGTTATAGATCTGTTCATATGTTGTTATAGATCTGTTCATATGTTGCTATAGATCTATTCATATGTTGTTATAGATATGTTCATATGTTGCTATAGATCTATTCATATGTTGTATAGATCTGTTCATATGTTGTTATAGATCTGTTCATATGTTGCTATAGATCTATTCATATGTTGTTATAGATCTGTTCATATGTTGTTATAGATCTGTTCATATGTTGTTATAGATCTGTTCATATGTTGCTATAGATCTATTCATATGTTGTTATAGATCTGTTCATATGTTGTTATAGATCTGTTCATATGTTGTTATAGATCTGTTCATATGTTGCTATAGATCTATTCATATATTGTATAGATCTGTTCATATGTTGTTATAGATCTGTTCATATGTTGCTATAGATCTATTCATATGTTGTTATAGATCTGTTCATATGTTGTTATAGATCTGTTCATATGTTGTTATAAATTTATTCATATGTTGTATAGATCTGCTCATATGTTGTTATAGATCTATTCATATGTTGTTATAGATCTGTTCATATGTTGTTATAGATCTATTCATATGTTGTTATAGATCTGTTCATATGTTGCTATAGATCTATTCATATGTGCTATAGATCTGTTCATATGTTGTTATAGATCTGTTCATATGTTGCTATAGATCTATTCATATGTTGCTATAGATCTGTTCATATGTTGTTATAGATCTGTTCATATGTTGTTATAAATTTATTCATATGTTGTATAGATCTGTTCATGTGCTGTGATAGATCTGTTCATAGTTATGTAATGCTCTAGGTCTATTGATATGGCGTTATAGATCTGTAGATGTAATGCTTTATATCTTTTCATATGCCATAGACCTGTTCATATGATGTTATAGACCTGCTCGTATGATGTTATTGATCTGTTCATATAGTGTTATAGATCTGTTCATATGGTGTTATAGATATGTTCATATTATTAGTATTATAGACCTGTTCATGGAGTTAACATGATGTTATTGATCTGTTCATGTGCTGTGATAGATCTGTTCATGTGCTGTGATAGATCTGTTCATATGGCGTTTTAGAGCTGTACATGTAATGCTTTATATCAGTTCATATGCCATAGACCTGTTCATATGATGTTATAGACCTGCTCGTATGATGTTATAAATCTGCTCATATAGTGTTATAGATCTGTTCATATGGCGTTTTAGAGCTGTACATGTAATGCTTTATATCAGTTTATATGCCATAGACCTGTTCATATGATGTTATAGACCTGCTCGTATGATGTTATAAATCTGCTCATATAGTGTTATAGATCTGTTCATATGGCGTTTTAGAGCTGTACATGTAATGCTTTATATCAGTTCATATGCCATAGACCTGTTCATATGATGTTATAGACCTGCTCGTATGATGTTATAAATCTGCTCATATAGTGTTATAGATCTGTTCATATGGCGTTTTATAGCTGTACATGTAATGCTTTATATCAGTTCATATGCCATAGACCTGTTCATATGATGTTATAGACCTGCTCGTATGATGTTATAAATCTGCTCATATAGTGTTATAGATCTGTTCATATGGCGTTTTAGAGCTGTACATGTAATGCTTTATATCTGTTCATGTGTTAAGAGACCTGCTCATATGATGTTATAAATCTGTTCATATGGTGTTAGAGATCTGTTCATATGGTGTTACAGACCTGTTCATGGTGTTATAGATCTGTTCATGATGTTATGTATCGATTCATGTTATAGACCTGTTCAAGGTGTTATAGATCTGTTCATGATGTTATAGATCGATTCATGTTTTAGATCTGTTCATGTGCTGTTATAGATCTGTTCATAGTTATGTAATGCTTTAGCTCTGTTCATATGGCGTTTTAGATCTGTACATGTAATGCTTATATCTGTTCAAATGCTAAAGACCTGATATGATGTTATAGACCTGTTCATATGATGTTATAGACCTGCTCATATGATGTTATAAATCTGTTCATATAGTGTTATAGATATGTTCATATGGTGTTATAGACCTGTTCATGGAGTTATAGATCTGTGCATGATGTTATAGATCTTTTCACTGTGTTGTAGATCTCTTCGGGATGTTATAGATCTGTACATGATGTAATAGATCTTTTCACAGCGTTGTAGATATGTTCATGATTTACTGATCTGTTCATAATGTTATGTTAATGTTATGTTATAGACCTGTTCACTGTGTTATAGATATGTTCATGATGTAATAGATATATTCACGGTGTTATAGATCCGTTCACGATGTTATAGATCTGTACTTGATGTGATAAATCTGTTCATGGTGTTATAGATCTGTTAACGATGTTATAAATCTGTTCACGATGCTATAGATCTATCCATGATGTTATAGATCTGTTCATGTGATGTTATAGATCTGTTCACAATGTTATAAATCTGTTCATGTTATAGATCTGTTTACGATGTTATAGATCTGTTAACGGTGTTATAGATCTGTACATGTGATGTTATATATCTTTTCTATGTCAACAGGTGCGGATCACAGTTTTATTGAGTCAATGACTGAAGTGAAGAACAAAGATGAGGTAGAACCTGATATGATATTTATCTGTTTCATTTACAAATTCACTTGAATCTGTATATACAACGCACCTGTACATTCCAAATTACGTACATATTGTAATTTCTGGCAGTATTTTTACCTGGACGAATTGAAATGAAATTCCAATAAACTGTCCAGATTGACAGGGTTCCGCAGTATGTATTAATTGTGTGTTTATTATTTGTTTAACCCCGAACTCAACAATATGCCAGATATATGATGGCGGTCTGTAAACATCGGTTCTGGGCCAGACAATTCAGTGATTTGACATCATGATCATCAATCTACGCAATTGGGATATGATGACATGCATCTAGCCTGCACTCCCCGATCCTGTTAGTCGCCTCTAATGGCAAGCATGGGTTGCTAAATACCTATTCTAACCCGGATCTTCACAGGGGTGTATGTATCAGTGATGTTTGGGGTTGGGTGTAACTAGAGGAGAGAAAGCCCCCTGCGTGTGTCCGGGATCAATAACACCGACTCTGAATACACACACGGGGGCGGTGGGGGCTGTCTCGTGATTCAGGGGCGGTCGGGTAGCCTAGTGGTTAAAGCGTTGGCTCGTCACGCCGAAGACCCGGGTTCGATTCCCGACATGGGTACAATGTGTGAAGCCCATTTCTGGTGTCCCCTGCCGTGATATTGCTGGAATATTGCTAAAAGCGGCGTAAAACCATACTCACTCACTCACTCACTCACTCTCGTGATTCAGGGCACCGCTCGTATATCCGATTCCGCAAATGGGTGAAAAGCATATTTCTATCTGCTGACGTGATATTGGTGGGAGAGGGCTAATAGCGGCGTTAAACCATACCCACTCGTGGAAAAAATAAGCACAGTTTGTGATGCTATTTAAAATATAATATATCTTCTCTTCTATGCATTATTGTTGTCTTTCCAGAAGGGGAGCATGCCGCCGGAAGTGGTGGACTACAGGTCAGGGCGAAGGAAGGCGGTGATCACGATAGGTGTGCTACTGACCTGGGTGTGTTTTGTCCTGGCTGTTGTCAAGCGCAGTGTTGCAGGTCTGTCTGTCTGTCTGTCTGTCTGACACGTCACCTCATTTCACGTTTGTTTCTTTACCTTTTGCCTCATATTATGAACGATTGGGGTAAAAAGTCACACAATCAGCCAAGTCACTGAGCCTGACCACCCGATCCATTAAGGCGTCTAGCTCGACAAGCATTGTTTGCTGGGATCCTATGATGCTAACCCGAGTCCCCTCGGACCTGTGAAGGAGTGAGTGAGTGAGTTGGGTTTAACGCCGCATTTAGCAATATTCCAGCAATATCACGGCGGGGGACACCAGAAATGGGCTTCACACATTGTACCCATGTCGGGAATCGAACCCGGGTCTTCAGCGTGACGAGCGAACGCTTTAACCACTAGGCTACCCGACCGTCCCTGGACCTGTGAAGGAATGAGTATTAGCTAGAACAAGAACTTGTAAAACAGTGACTAGTGACGTCATCTTCAGGAATAAAGTTAACAGCTCAAAGTCGAAATAAAGCAAATTCCTTTTCAGATCATTTATGCCCATCATCACGCGCGGTTTGAAATGACCAGCATCCCACACGTTGTTATAATGTAGTGCCTATGTAGCTGTTCGTCGTTGGTTTACGCCGCACTCAGTAATAGTCCAACTATATCACGGCGGCCTGGTCCATATAACCAGTGGTTGATGTTATGGGAGAAGTCTCACGCCGTCGGCTAGGATGATGTAATAGGATATTTACTCTCCCTGGAGATTCATTTCAGGACGGAATTTTTTGCCAAGGATATTATTTCTACAGCTAGTATCTTACTAACATTGGAATATTTTCCATATAAATATTCTTTCCTCGGGGTACTTTTTGACCTGGAAACAGTGTTCGTTTACAATGACACACACACCAAGTCACCAAGACATTTCTTACGACAAGTAATATAGTGTGGTGATCTTTGTTAACCCGGTACATTATGAGAAGGCGTTTTCCTACACTTAACATACTCAAAATGTTATTCACCTTTCACTCTTGTGGTTGGTTTGTTGTTTTACGCCGCACTCAGCAATATTCCAGCTATATGACGGCGGTCTGTCAATAATCGAGTCTGGACCAGACAATCCAATGATTGATATCATGAGCATCGGTCCACGCAATTGGGATCGATGACATGCTTCAACCAAGTCAGTGAGCCCGACCACCCAATCCCGTTAGTCGCCTCTTATGACAAGCACAGCCGCCTTTTACGGCAAGCATGGGTTGCTGAAGACCTATTCTTCCCCGGATCTTCACGGGAGTTCACTCTTGTGAAACATACTGATATCATTCCCTTGCGAAACAAACTGATAACACCTTAGATTTTTTTATATGATATGGTTTTCTTCCAGTTTCTATATTCAGATGTGCTTGCCGTAATCACACATGCAATAATGGGTCTGTTTCCTTCAGCTTCCTTGTCGAGCGAGAGCCTGTCTGTGGAGTACGTCACGCCGCTGTTGTTTATCCTCCTCGTCTCCGTCGTCTTTCTCGTCATCGCCTGTCTCCCCAGCACCCTCAAAGGGGAGGAGGAGGAGGAGGAGGGGGAGGAACACGTTGCTCTCGCCTAAGATATTGACAACGTTATGAACATGGTCAAACACGCGGACACCGGAATCATATGACGTCCGTTGATGCCGACTTTGAGTGCTCTGGTGCCATGTCCATAATGGGCCCTTACTTTACTTCCTGGTGACTCCTGAAGCCTTATTGTCGGGAATTATAGACTATAGTTAGTTCCTATACTTGTTTTACATAACAGCTGGACATAGGCTTGATCTGAAACTGTCTGGGTGGATGGAACAAGTGGAGACAAACATGTAACACTAATTTCCCATATTTTTTCCATTTGGGATTCAACATTTGTTGGTTTGTTGTTTAACGCCGCACTCAGCAATATTCCAGCTGTATGACGGCGGTCTGTAAATAATCGAATCTGGACCAGACAATCCAGCGATTGGCATCATGAGCATCGGTCTACGCAATTGGGATACGATGACATGTATCAAGTCAGCGAGCCTGACCACGCGATCCCGTTTGTCGCCTTCTACGACATGCATAGTCGCCTTTTACGGCAAGCGTGGGTTGCTGAAGAATATTCTACCCCGGATCTTCACGGGTCTGGGATTCTAAAAATAGGTGAGCATTAGGAGTCAGGCACCTTGGTTAATCGGACAATAAGCTCTGATACATGTTACACAAGTCATACTGAGGGTTGCATATTTTACGAGTATACATGACTACGGCTCCTTTTCAAAATAAATGGAGTTGTTTGTTTCTATCAAACATATTTTTTCAGAGTCTTAATCTTAGTCTAATGACAAATGTGCATGTGTAATCAAGATGGTGTTGAGGGAGCGACTGACGGCTCTTCTGCGGATGTTGTAGTTATGGCCCCTTCCACAAAGCGATCTATGTTAAAACATAGGGGTGGGGGTGATGGGTTAGCCTAGCGTTCGCTCGTCACACCGAAGACCCAGGTTCGATTCCCCAAAGGGATACATTGTCTGAAGCCCATTTCTGGTGTCCTCCGCCGTGATATTGCTGGAATATTGCTAAAAGCGTAAAACAGTACTCACTCACTCGGATTGAGCAATCCATTATTAGCCAGTGGTGTTTTTCACGAGCGTTTTGACATGGTGCCAGGGTGAAGGTTACTGTATATACAACGAACAACAATTCATTGCTATAAAACCATTGGGAATATATTTGTATATTTTGTTTTTTACGAGCAACGGGACGTCCATTATGCATAATGCTATATGTCATATTACTATGTGTGTGGTTGGTAATATTTGTTTACTAACGACGTGGAAGTGTTTATGCAGGAGGTGGGTTATGTCTGGTGTGTAGAATACAGGAATGAACTCACACTTGTATGACTAACTGTTAATAAAGTCCACACTTCTGTCCATTTGTCCAACAACCATCACACACACACATTTGATATTTCTTCAACAGGCAAGGTGCACTGGTTTTGTTTAAAAATCATCAAAATATTAATCGTTATCATCTATTTGTCAAATCTGCGTGCATTTGTTCGTAGGTATTTTCTCTTTAGACGACACATGTGGAATTGTTTAACAAATAGTGATGATTTTACCACACCTTAATGTAATTTATAATCAAAGGGGAACGCCAGAAACCTATGATAATGAGTTCGAACCCCGGTTGGTTCGCCCCGATTATGTTTCTAGGTTTGTCAGCACCATACCCGTGCTCTTGGGTTTTACCGAAGTGGTAAAAGTCTGAGACCTGCATCACTTCGGGCTTTCTTCCCACATTAAGCTGACACACCGTGATATAACTGTAATACTGTTAAAAGCGGCGTTGAACCCAACTCACTCACTCATAATAAAGTTTAATGCTCTTATGTTTTGTTGTGTTCAAGTGCATAACGTAATTTGTACGTATTTAAATGGTGGATTTTCATTTTGGGATCACACTTTGCTATGGCAATAAATAATGCATAAAATAAAGCATGAATCACTTCGAATTTTGATTATTCTTTTGAGAATCACCATCTAAATTTTCTGAAGAACGTAATTAACTGATGATGCAGTAACTGGAAGACACTGCAAGACTCCACAATATCCCATACCCTGAAAAAATCTTCAATGTGCCGAAAGACCATAAAAAACTCGGCCATACACCCGAAAGAACCTGAAAGACTCGGCGATCTCCCGAAAGACTTGGTATCATGAAAGAAACGGAGATACCACGAAAGTCTCGACGATATCCCAAAGGCCCTGAAAGACTCGGCGATATCTCGAAGGATATAGTTGGCAGAGCCCTGCTCTCTTGGTTGTGTGGAGTAAAGCAGTAGACTATGTCGAATGAATTCAGGATCTGGGCAGAGGTAATGCACCGTAGACAGTGCTTCTGTAATAAAACATGGTAACCCAAAGGACCCCGAGACATAACTGCGCACCAGTACGTTATGATTGTCGTGCGAAGGGACTAAAACACTGTTTCACACCCTCCCTGAACATAAGGTGTGTCACACATGTACATATACACAAAACCATATCCCAATTGGTAGATACACAGTAAATGGCATATGACCTATCAGGAATCCATGTATAATAATACTGCGCACAGTATGTTATGATTGTCGTGCTTTCACTCTTTTACACCTTCCTGAACATAAGGTGTGTCACACATGTACATATACATAAAACCATACCCCAATTGGTAGATACACAGTAAATGGCATATGACCTATCTGGAATCCATATATAATGTAAAGCAATATATCTGTAACAAATGTTATATTTAGAATAACACTTTCTTAGTAAAGCACAGATTCTAGTACTTTTGGGTTGAGTCCCATCCTCACCTTATCACCAGCACACAAAGTCAGTGATCTAACCCACTCAGCCACCAAGGCTTCCACAAAAATGAAAGTTTGACAACTGGTATAGTCTAGATCATGTACTTTGTGTACCCCTCTGACAAGTGTAAAATATATGCTTTGTTCCCGGACCTGTCTGGGATCCGTAAAACAATATATTTTAATTTTTCCTGACCTGCCTGGAATCTGTAGCTGACGTAACAATGGATCTCTGTTTTCCCCAAACCTATCTAGAATCCTCAGCTGCTGTAAGACAATGTGTCTCAATATTTCTCGACCTATTCTGGGGCGGTCAGGTAGCCTAGTGGTTAAAAGCGTTCGCTCGTCATGCGGACGACCCGGTTCCATTCCCGACATGGTTACAATGTGTGAAGCCCATTTCTGGTGTCCCCCGCCGTGATATTGCTGGAATATTGCTAAAAGTGGCGTAAAACCATACTCACTCACTCCCGACCTATTCTGGAAAATAGTTGACGTAAAACAATATCTCTCAATATTCCCTGACCTGTCTGGAATCGGCAATAAAACTTTTCCCCGAGATCATCATGAATAAGAACACATTGGAATGTTTCCATGTTTATTATACAGGTAATTGTATAAGTGGACGGAATGTGAAACAGCATGTAAAGTGACGTACATGACTACTGGTGCAACAACAATATCTACACTGTACAACATCTTCAGTGTCAACGACGAACGCTATAAGGAATATCACAGAGAGAGGCTACACAATACACAATCTTGATAATAACTCGCATGTCGTTGTTCAAGGGTGAATAAACAATATAGTCCATGAGAAACAAATAACCATACAATTAATGTCAATACATACTCATTTAAATACTTCTATCGTGGTTGTATAATATGAACATAAATACTATCAACTTGATACACACAAACATCGTATCTTGATACCACTTATCCATGTGTACTGTGATAATCAAGTATTGTGTATGCCTTGCTATTAAGATATTATACTGATGGAAGAAAATAAGGTATCTGCTTTAAATGAAGGCATTGGGCTAAAAAACATTTAATAGTCATGGTTCTCAGGCACCGCCTGATTCATCATAAAGTCCGCCTCACGTTTTGTTTTTATTTCCATTATAAAAAAAAATAAATTAAAAAAATATCTTTCACCAATTTACAAGGGACCAACCAGTATATATTTTCAGACACTCCTTCCACTTTTTATATCTCTGAAAGGAGACAATTTTTTTTTACTTCATGTCACCCAGCAAAATCTTTTGTTGTAAAAACCTGAGGTAAATTATTATTTTCCAGTATTGTGTGGAACAAATTTATATTATTAAAAAAATCTCCCAAGCCCCCAATGTCAAATGATCGGTCCCCAACATGCCTTATTAGTTTCCATATAAAGCATTTGCACTGCAACAGTAAAACTTCACATGCTGATAAACTGTTCCCTTATTTTATTTCTTCAGTATATGCCTAGGATAGAAGGATGCAAATCTGTAATACTGGGCTACTAGCTACACAAAATCTGATAAAATGAAACAGGAAATAAAATCCTGAAAAATATTTTATACATTATATGCAGAACCTACACTATCTAATGCTGGTGAAGTGAGTGGCTTAATTTCATCATGGAAGTAACGTTTCAATCTTAGAAAATAATAAAAAATACTTGACATATGGAATATTAATATCTCAAACATGTTCGCTTAGTTTGGCAAGTACATGCAGGTGTTGGTTTTATGGAAGAAGTATTTCAATGTCTGAATGTACATTGTCCTGAAATTAATCTTTGATAAACGAGCAATTTTGACAAATATGTGTCAAGTTACATGAATAGAGTACATCGTAAACTGTCTACATGTTGGCATTGGCACAAAGCAATAATTACTTTAAATAATTTATAGAATATGTTTTTATCTACACTATAGGCAGATAGATCTTTGGTTGGGGTGGTATTGTATAAGTCACACAGTGTTGTCACATGGAAGACACACACACACACACACACACACACACACACACACAAACACACAAACACCCACACACACACACATGGAGGCAGGGAAGCAGTCTGCTAGACTGGGAGGTTACAGCATGGACCTGCACCAGAGAGCTGATTGTGGGTGGGAGTACATGCAGGGGCTACATGACTGGTCCTGAGTGGCACTACTAGGCATGTGTCCATATCACAGGAGCAGTTGTCATTTGAGTGAGTGAGTGAGTTGGGTTTAACGCCGCTTTTTTCAGTTAATGTGGGAGGAAAGCCCGATGTGATGCAGGTCTCAGACATTTACCACTTCAGTGAAACCCACGAGCATGGGTATGGTGTTGACAAACCTAGAAACATAATCGGGGTGAAACGGGATTTGAACCCACAACCATAGGTTTCTGGCATGCCCAAGGGATGCAACTCTGCACAGCAAATCAGAGCGCCTTAGACGACTGGGCCACCCGTGCCCCCAGTTGTCATTTGAAACTGAGAGTATGAGTGGAGGTAGGAAGGCGATGTTCATGGGGAGTAAGGCCTTGAGAACCTGATTACGTAAGGACAACACAGACACATATACACTACTCCACTTTTGATAGAGATTATCTTACCATAATGCACAAAACTGTATCTCATATGTCAAGTGTATATTTAAATAGAATGACATATCTGATTATCCCTATCAAAAATTGAGTGGTATATAAGAAAACAATCGCGTAAACCATCAAGTAGAGTATCAATCATGTTACTGAGTCTCGTACTTCTCCACATGAAACCTCAAATGAAGACAAGTATAGCTACCCAGTTCATAAACATCACATGAAACAATGTCCTCTAGTACAAGTTTGGCACTACCAGATAACACTATAAATGCATGACTAAATGCTACTGATTTGTAATATCAACACTAGATCCACCCCCCTAGAAGCACCTAGAGAACGTAACCACTAGCAAACTGGTAAGTGCTACAATGTAATACGTATTGATAGGTATAGTACATATTACCCGGTATATTATATACATATCACAGATATACACGACAAACAACCCTCTATAACAAAACTGTTTGAGTGACAAAACAGCTATACTATTCATATATCTGTGTAATGAAGTGCATCAACAAGTGAAGGCCCAGTCATAACAATCATATCACAATATGTATAAGTGTTATACCCTCATAGACTATACATGTATATCACAGTATATTATGAATCACGTTCAATGATTATAGCACTATCATAATATGGTTTCATCTAACAATATGTATAACATAACAGATCACCTAAGAAATAGAAACTTCTGATGATAAATATACTGAGTCATTAGCTTCATCAACATGAGGGTAATATTATCCATTTTCTGTTATACATGTATGTGTGTTCAGTCTAATTAAAATCAGATCTCAGTTCTCGCTACCGCTAAACAAGGATCTGAGGACATCCCATTACGGGTCACGTCAGAACGACCTTTCACCCGACCAATCAGAGCATCGCTTACCAGATTATGAAAGTGACAGTCGGAATGTGATTTCTGATCATGCAGCCTCAAAAACTTTAACTCCGAATGATAGTTACGGGTTTAACGATTGTATTCATACAATCTAGACCATCTATTAGCCATTCCAGAATGTTCTTTTGTTCAGGTTTCAAATTTGTAATCGAGAATTTGTCAAAATATGTTTCGAAGTGTAGTCGCCAATTTGAAATTAGTGCCATAAAGCACGAGAAAGCTGGTTTCTGATTGGTCATTCCATTCGGTCAAAGTTCGAGCAAGGTCGGTCTGACGTGACCCGTAATGGGATGTCTTCAGATCTTTGTTTAGCTGTAGCGAGAACTAAGATCTGATTTTAATGAGATTGATGTGTGTTTCAATGAACACTTAAGCCATGAAGTCCGTGCTCTGTGAAGGCCAGTCAGGAACTGCCAGGTTGATGAGGATAAGACACCGGCCATCACGTGCTTTTGTCATCATGCCACTGGGTCTGTTTGGGGAAATTGCACAATGTCACACATGCCAGTTCCCTCTGAGGAGTTTGGGCTGAGATTCTGCTTGATGAACTGTGGATGTTCTGGAATTCCCTGATGAAGAGCCTGCTGTAGAATCTACTTGCCCTTGCGGTGTACTTTAGAGAGAGGGATTTCTACCTCTGTCAGTTTGTCATCTTTGTCTTCGTCTATCCATCTGCAACATCAACATGACATATGGAACTCACATTTTCATCATATTAGTCATGACTGTCAAAAGCCCATGTAAACACTGACAACCTGTGGAAGGCATATTATTTTCTTATTTTCTCATACTACAGAGGTATTTTAGAGGCATCCAAATATCCAAATTGCCAGTTAACTATCTCAAAAACTGATGTGAAAACCTGATAGGGAATTATGGAATTGTTACCAACATTTGCAATACACCTGGCGCCAAATAACTAATTCAGTATGCTCAGATAAATCCTCTTCCTTCCCCACATGAGCATTGTCTCCACTCACATTAGCATTATCAAACACATTAGCATTGTCATCACATACATAAGCATTGTCATCACTCACATTAGCATTGTCATCACTCACATTAGCATTATCAAACACATTAGCATTGTCATCAAACACATTAGCATTATCAAACACATTAGCATTGTCATCACACACATTAGCATTGTCATCAAACACATTAGTATTGCCATCACTCACATTAGCATTGTCATCACACACATTAGCATTGCCATCACACACATAAGCATTGTCATCACACACATAAGCATTGTCATCACACACATTAGCATTGTCATCACACATATTAGCATTATCATCAGACACATTATCATTGTCATCACACATATTAGCATTATCATCAAACACATTAGCATTGCCCACACTCATGTTAGTTCTCATTCTCACAACAGCACTGTCCTCAAGAATCCTTGCTCACATATGGAAATTCATTCATATATCACAAACTGAGGCAGGTGAAAATGTTAATAAAAAATGCCGACTTGCCATGGGCTCAAATGGTTGCTCCCTGTCTCCAGCTGCTGGGTGAGCTACATGACATTGAGACAGCTGAGCCTGATAGTACTTACTGTCCATAGGGGAAGACAAACTGTTCCTTGTTGTTGATCTTGACCGTGACGGAGTCGAGCTTCCAACCCGCTCCAGCCCCACTGCCATCATGGCCGACAACCACCTTCTCCAGACGTCCCAGGTCCACTGCCTCGATTTGGAACGTGTCCACCTAGGTCAGGAGATGCAGCAATGGTGACTAACTAGCATAATACCATTATTTCAAAACTGAGGGCCAAAGTTATGCATTAATAATTACATGGAATAAGATGGAATGTCAGAGTTAAACTAGCAACAAAATAGTCCCAAATAGTCACCTCTCCATTAACTATAAAACACTCTGTTCACAGAGAAGGCTCTGACATATCATTAACTCACCGATCCTGTTTCAAACTTGTTCTTGTCTTCCAGACTATTACGAAGAAATCTTTTCCCAGAATCCCCTTTACTTCCAATGAGGTTTATGTAGACGCTGGCATCAGTGCCGGACCCCCAGTCTGTGGCTGTTGTTGTCTGGACAACATACTTGTACACTGGGGAAGAAACGGAAGTGAAAGTAATTACAGCAATAACATATCCTTGACAACATACTTGTACACTGGGGAAGAAACGGAAGTAAAAGTAAATACAGCAATAACATATCCTTGACAACATACTTGTACACTGGGGAAGAAACGGAAGTGAAAGTAAATACAGCAATAACATATCCTTGACAACATACTTGTAAACTGGGGAAGAAACGGTAGTGAAAGTAAATACAGCAATAACATATCCTTGACAACATACTTGTAAACTGGGGAAGAAACGGTAGTGAAAGTAAATACAGCAATAACATATCCTTGACAACATACTTGTACACTGGGGAAGAAACGGAAGTGAAAGTAAATACAGCAATAACATATCCTTGACAACATACTTGTACACTGGGGAAGAAACGGAAGTGAAAGTAATTACAGCAATAACATATCCTTGACAACATACTTGTTCACTGGGGAAGAAACGGAAGTGAAAGTAAATACAGCAATAGCATATCCTTGACAACATACTTGTACACTGGGGAAGAAACGGAAGTGAAAGTAAATACAGCAATAACATATCCTTGACAACATACTTGTACACTGGGGAAGAAACGGAAGTGAAAGTAAATACAGCAATAACATATCCTTGACAACAGGGGAGGAAACAGAAGTGAAAGGAATTAGATCAGTGACACAACTTTTTTTTGCAATTTATTTCATGGAAGATGTCAGTCAGGAGAAGTTAAGTGTGCAAGGAAAGTAAACACATACAGTCAAGTCTCGTTAATCCGACACTCGTTAATCCGACACTCGGCTTTATCCGACACAAATGATGGGAACCGATTGAATCAGTGCTATTTAGTCCCGTTAATCCGACATTCTCGCACTCCGACTCCGACACACCTAATTTGCAACAAATTGCCGAAATCACTCATTAATCAGTCTCGTTAATCCGACACAGTGGTCAGCGTACTCCGTGGTCATCTGCCCGCGAGTACACAACCCCGTGACACGCACTGGCTGCAGAGATTAACTTAACAATTAACAGGAAAAGCTATTCAAACCTGTATGTACAAAGCTATACAAATGTAGTTTACAAATTGAAGCCAGATAAATGTGCATGAAGCCGGTTTAAAATACGAACAGGTATATAAAACATGGTCGACTGGTATGTAAACAAGAAAGCATGGATGACTTCATTAATATTCAAAGCCTGGCTACTGATCTTGGATCGGCAAATGCGATTGGAGCAACGCCACGTGGTATTGCTGTTGGACAATGCCCCATCCCATAACTAATGTGAAATGTCACTTTTTGCCACCAAACACCACATCGCACATTCAGCCACTAGATGCCGGGATCATAAAGAATTTCAAGCTTTATTATAAGAAACAGCAAATGAAATTACACCTCGACAATGTTGATGCTGAAGAACCACAAGCCCTAGACATCAAGCGAGCAGGGGACTTTGAGAAATGTGCCTTCAAAATGTTAGAAACAGAAAACACTGACAGACTATTTTAAGTAGATGAAGCAAGTTGTTAGGACAGTAGCACTTGCATTTACACGAGGAAACGTGTGTCGTTGATCATGTGATAAATTCAGTGAGTAATGTCTCTATTGTTATGTATAAATGGGAAAATTATTATTATTTTTGCACAGTCATTAATTATAAATTAAGGAATGAATGAATAGACAACATAACAATATTAATATTTCGTTTTTAATGATTTTATTACAAGGTACACACGGTTATTATCTATCGTGAAGACGTCCGATTTTCGATCACAAATCACTTAATTTTGTTAATCCGACATACTCGTTAATCCGACACAATCATGTGCAACCAACGATGTCGGATTAACGAGACTTGACTGTATATGGAACTGCTGTTGCCCTCTGCAATATGATGCAATTCTAAGTGGACAATCAAGGTGTTGTCTCTCACCTGCTTCTGGGGTTTTGTTGGGCCAGTGAGCTGGCACCTCCACAGTGATGTCCCCATGGTTCTCTGAGAAGGACAGCCAGCGGTTGATGGGGAATTCAAGACGTTCATCTCGCTCCCTGTCGATCAGCACCACCTGCACCAACACCAACGTCACTTAGATACTACTCAAAGAAGTTAAAGAACACCTTATTCTTTAGTACTACTTTACTTTATGTGTCATGCCACTTACATACTTTTATGTTACTTATATACTACTCAAAAGAAGTTAAAGAACACCTGATTCTTCGGTACTACTTTGCTTTATGTGTCGTGCCACTTACATACTTTTGTTACTTATATACTACTCAAAGAAGTTAAAGAACACCGGATTCTTTGATATCTGTCATGTCAAGGTGTTCTTTAATTTCTTTTGGGTAGTATATAACATCTGAAGGACACTTGGGTTAATTATTCTAAGTAGCTGCCTGTCCATTTTCATTCAAGTCTGGTGTTCCATTGTTCCAGTAATTATCCCACTGATCTCACATGGATTAGAACCTTATGAGCATATCTTCTATGAAATTTAAGTTTTCATAATCAACATTTAAAATGTCTCTGGTGGAATTCTAGAGGATGCATCTAACTTAACATCAGTATGACAATCTGGCAATGGGCATAGTCATCAACTGATCAAGTGATGGTTGCCAATGAGTGAGTGAGTGAGTGAGTGAGTGAGTGAGTGAGTGAGTGAGTGAGTGAGTGAGTGAGTGAGTGAGTGAGTGAGTGAGTGAGTGAGTGAGTGAGTGAGTGAGTGAGTGAGTGAGTGAGTGAGTGAGTGAGTGAGTGAGTGAGTGAGTGAGTGAGTGAGTGAGTGAGTGAGTGAGTGAGTGAGTGAGTGAGTGAGTGAGTGAGTGAGTGAGTGAGTGAGTGAGTGAGTGAGTGAGTGAGTGAGTGAGTGAGTGAGTGAGTGAGTGAGTGAGTGAGTGAGTGAGTGAGTGAGTGAGTGAGTGAGTGAGTGAGTGAGTGAGTGAGTGAGTGAGTGAGTGAGTGAGTGAGTGAGTGAGTATAGTTTTATGCTGCTTTCAGCAATTTTCCAGCAATATCACAACTGGGGACACAGGAAATGGGCTAAACATGTATTTTGTTCATATGGGGGATCAAACCTTGGACTTTGGCATTTGAGTGAATGCTAAAACCACTAGGTTCCCCCACTAACCCTAAATGGAAGAGAACAAGTAAAACTAAAAGAAACTGATACTTAAGCTAGTGGGTTTGTTGGTTTGCTTGGCCCCAGATATACACTCTATGTGAGGTGCCCCTACCTGTTTGACTCTCCAGCCTGCCGCCATCCCACTGTCATCGTGACGTAGACGGATCTTCCTGATCTTCCCAACCTTATTGGGGTCCAGAAAGATCTGCCGACAAAGAAATAAGTTGTCATGTTTCATAACATAGATCATCAATACACCGCACAATAACCATGACATCTCCATAAAGTGGTTAGTAACTATAAAGTCAATACAAAATAAAGTGTATGTAGTGAATTGTTATGTAATGTTTTTTGTCATTGATACAATAACCAACTAAAAACATTTGGTATCACAATTTGGTATCTACATTTAGTAGGCTCTGTACAACGATGTGATGCCTACTTGTTCAAAAGCTATCTCATAATGTTCCCTAAACAGTAAGATAGCAGTTCCCTGATGCTTAAAACAAACACTGCAGCCAATCATTTGGCACCATATCTTAAAATGGCACAATTCACTTGGGCTTCTGAAGTTACTTTAGAGAATAGAAATATGTCTTTAACTTTGATTATTTAAAGAATGACAACACACAAAGAAGACATTATTGCCCGTGTCCACTCCCGTATCATAAATATCATACATTAGAAATAAAAAAATATGTAACACATTCACCAAAGGCTCACATAATAAACTTACCGTATTTGACGTAATAAACCCCCTGCTCTAACAAGCGCCCACCGCGATATTTGCTAATATATTGGCTAGTGAGACCCCTATTTCTAATTCTGAGAGCGCCCTGGGCGCTTATTAAGTCGAATACGGTATATTCCTCGTATGTTATATTTAAGACATGGAAGCACACTCATTTCAAAATCTCTATCTATCATTTTCTATGATTGACGGGTTTATTCATACATTAAACTAGTCTCATTATGATGCTAATTGCATACCGTATATTGTTGTGTATAAGGCGAATTCTTTGTACCTAGAATTAGGGGGCTTTCAAGGGGGTTGTCCTATACACAGGGTCGAATAGTTTTGATGTTTTCTCCCCCAACACAAAGACATAACTGTGAGCATGTAACGCCGGAAATACCATGTCAACAAATCGGTTCTGAAGTACACAAACTAGTCATGTAATTACACTGTATGGTTATAAAATTTGTTCATCTTAGGCTAAAAAAAATAATAGTCTTGGTTCTCAGACACCGCCCTAATCATCATAAAGTTCGCCACACGTTTCGTTTTTATTTCCATTCTTTAAAAAAACAACCAAAAGATCCTTAAATATTTCAAGTCCAACGGTAGTCAAACACTGTATTACACTATTTTACTCATCAAGGAATACATTTATGTAGGGAGGCCCTTTCCCAGGTTAATTGTACACAATTGTTTATTGATCACACAACTGTTTATTGGTTACATACTAGTTTGAACCATCCCCCCAAAAAGACACCGCCCGCCTGCACTATATTTTCAAAAACCATTGCCTGAGAACCAAGTCTTTTATTCTTTTAAGCCTTATATCATGTATATCTGGACATATGTCTGTAATCTATTTTATAAATTTTATTCAAAATTTCTTCTCATTCCAGGATGGTTTTGTCAACTCTGGGCCCCGATCCACAAAGCCATCTTAGTGTTACAACTGTCATATGTTTATGTTAAAGTATGGAGTAACAATAATCGTAGCCTGAAGGTACTTTCTGCAACAGTCGCTGGTAACCCTGTAGAGTGTAGTCAGATCTTGAAGACGGGACTGTGTACTCTCAACTCTCTAAGGCTAAAAAAAAAATAGTCTTGGTTCTCAGGCCCCGCCTGCATCATCATTTAGTTCGCCGCATGTTTTGTTTTTATTTCCATTCTTTAAAAAAACAAACCAAAAAATCCTTAAATATTCCAATGGAAGCCAAATACTGTATTCCACTATTTTACTCATCAAGGATTACATTTATGTAGAGAGGCCCTTTCCCAGGTTGATTGTACACAATTGTTTCCTGATTACACAATTGTTTATTGGTTACATACTAGTTTGACCTACAAGAAAAAAAACCAAAACGACACCGCCCACCTGCACTATATTTTCAAAAAACATTGCCTGAGAACCAATTCTTTAATTTTTTTAAGCCTACTGTAAACACTGAGTTGACGTACATCAAAGTGGTCAGTCCTGCTGACATGGAAGTGACCCTGCAGTCGCTCCTCCTCCGACTTTCCGCGGTCGCCGTAGACTGTGAGGAAAACACGGGCATCTGTGGCGCTGTCCTCCTCGTCGCCTGTCGTCACCAGCACCTGCCAGTCACCGGCTGGGGATACAGGTATTTATAAGTAAATATAACACTCTATGTTTATACCAGTAACGTATCAATATACAGTCAAGTCTCGTTAATCCAACATCGTTGGTTGCACATGATTGTGTCGGATTAACGAGTATGTCGGATTAACGAAATTAAGTGATTTGTGATCGAAAATCGGACGTCTTCACGATAGATAATAACCGTGTGTACCTTGTAATAAAATCATTAAAAACGAAATATTAATATTGTTATGTTGTTTATTCATTCACTCCTTAATTTATAATTAATGACTATGCAAAAATAATAATAATTTTCCCATTTATACATAACAATAGAGACATTACTCACTGAATTTATCACATGATCAACGACACACGTTTCCTCGTGTAAATGCAAGTGCTACTGTCTTAACAACTTGCTTCATCTACTTAAAATAGTCTGTCAGTGCGTGTCAAAACACGGGGTTGTGTACTCGCGGTCAGATGACCACGGACTACGCTGATCACTGTGTCGGATTAACGAGACTGATTAATGAGTGATTTCGGCAATTCGTTGCAAATTAGGTGTGTCGGAGTCGGAGTGCGAGAATGTCGGATTAACGGGACTAAATAGCACTGAATCAATCGGTTCCCATCATTTGTGTCGGATAAAGCCGAGTGTCGGATTAACGAGTGTCGGATTAATGAGACTTGACTGTAGTCAGTAATATATCCATCTAGTCAGCTACACATCAACTCAGGGGAATATGCTGTCACCTTCTATGATGGAATAAGTGAATGGGTTTCATATTGTAGACTTAGACGAAATCTTTTGAGCCTGAACATGTCTGTTTATGTCATTTTCTGTCAATTTTAGGGTTATTATATGGACTAATATTAGCTCTGCTTACTAGACCGAACAGAAGTTTTCTAGATGTGGGCTTTGGACAGTGGCTAAAGTCACGTACAGACTTGAAGACAGTAATCCATTACAAGAGTCATTTAGTGAGTGAGTGAGTATGGTTTTACGTCGCTTTTAGCAATATTCCAGCAATATCACGGCGAGGGACACCAGAAATGGGCTTCACACATTGTACCCATGTCGGGAATCGAACCCGGGTCTTCGGCTGGCTTGCGAACGCTTTAACCACTAGGCTACCCGACCGCCCAAGTCATTTAGTATGAGGTGGCAGCACACTAATTAGTCCTATGACAGGTAGCTGATGATAATGTTAATATTTCAATGATACTGGTGGGATAAGATGACACACTACTCACACAATATGGGTGATGCTGGGCTGAGCTTTTGTCAATACTGAGCAGACATAGTTGCACATGATCCGATGTGCCAGATATTATGTTGAACAAGTGTCGGATTCATTAAGGTAACATATCATAATTTTCCAGAATGGTATGATGAAGATGCAGTGGTGCTTATCAGATTATTGTAGGTTACTTATATTAAGTCTCCAGGACGGTATTAGGAAGATGCAATGGTGGTCCTACCTTTTGGCTTCTTCGCCTTGATGGTTTCAGTTATTGGCAGTACACGCTCCAGGGTCTTGTCATCCTGACCCTCGTCCAGCCATCTGTAACACCATCACATCTTCACATCCCTGACATCACAGCAACAGTCACTCCATCACATAATTGCATCATTATCTATCCCTCATTTCATAGCAACATTCCCAACGTCTCATCCCTGACGTCACAGCAACAATCACACCATCACATAACTGCATCATTATCTATCCCTCATTTCATAGCAATATTCCCAACGTCTCATCCCTGATGTCACAGCAACAGTCACACCATCACGTAATTGCATCATTATCTATCCCTCATTTCATAGCAACATTCCCAACATCTCATCCCTGACGTCACAGCTTCATCATCATTACATCATTGTACTTCTAACTGCACTCCACTATCTGTCCCTACCTGGCACACTTGAAGACGTATTTATCATTGCCCTCCTGTGGGACTTCTATAACAACTTTGTCCAGGAACCAGCCCGACCCAGACCCATAGCCATCATGGCTGACCTTCACCTTCTTCAGCTTGCCCAGTTCCACAGCCTCGATCTCAAACAGATCGCACTGAAACATACAACAAACAAGGTCAGAAACTAACAGGGGACAAGTCATTATTGTGTAATTGGCTAATTTAGTTTGCTTAAACAATGCTCAATTTTTGTTTTGAAGGTTTTCACAATGTTCACAAGTTTCACGTGGGAAAATAATTGCGAGATTTCGGACTTTCTCCTACTTAAAACAAAGTTCCATCAGTTGATGTCTCAAACTAATCGTCAAGTGATATTCACTATACTATGCTATACTATGGGAGGGTAACCGCTCTTGTTTAACTATGGGGGGGGAACCCTTCAAGAAAAACTATGGGACGATTTAGTACCCATACCCAAACTATTGGAGTGTTAGCAAAATGATTGCATTTACCCAACTGTCATTAAAGTTCACGTGACTGTGTTTTAAGGAAAGGTATATAGATCCCATGAGCCTCTTCCATGAGCTACTTGACCTATCCTTCTAGGGCTGGGACGTGTGTCTCGGGTACTTGGGTCGGCTCAATTTTTGTTTTGAAGGTTTTCACAATGTTCTGTGTAATGGTGGAACAGAATTTATATTTTGTTGTTGTGCCATGCTTTTGTAGATCCAGAACATACAGTACATGATACCTAATATATTTCTGATCTGGAAATGTGGAGCAGAGATATGGAAAGTAGCAGAACTCTGTTATTGTTAAAGACATGGACCAAGAGATCAAAGATGGTCTGCAGAATTTGTGAACAGAAGTGTACCATTGTGGACATTTCTCTTCAGTGGGAAAGATTTTGTTTGTTTGTTTGTTGCTTAATGCCTCACTCAGCAATATTCCAGCTATATGACGGTGGTCTGTAAATAATCGAGTCTGGACCAGACAATCCAGTGATTGACATCATAAGCATCGATCCACGCAATAGGGATACGATGACATGCATCAAACAAGTCAGCGGGCCTGACCACCCGATCCTGTTAGTCTTTTACGGCAAGCATGGGTTGCTGAAGACCTATTCTACCCTGGATCTTTACGAGTCCAGTGGGAAAGAAAAGAATTCATAGTCATGTATAAAAGACACATGATACAAGGTGTCTGGAAATATTTAGGCAATGCTCAAGGCAACCTCCAAGAGCAGGACAGCAATATCACACTCACATTGCCTTGTTCAAACTTGTTAGCATTGGTGTAAGACCCATGGAGATGTCTGGTGCCAGTGTCGCCCCTGTCGCCATATATCTGTATGTAGACATTGGCGTCGGTGCCAGCATATTTCACATCGCCCGTGAACACCTCAACATGGTACTTGTACACTGAAGACAAATATTTAATGACATTTACTGAATCTCTGGATGGGGAACATGGGATATTCTGAGAGGCAAAAATGTAACAAATGATAAAAAGTTTCTAAGATACCAACTTCCTCCATGCCATTTATCAAATGACTGGTGCCTTCACAAAACCCAAACTTAAACTGTAACAGTATCTCAGATTATTTTGAACTCCTGTGGAAAGTAAGTATAGGTGAATGTCCGAAATCTCGCGATTATTTTCGCACGTGAAGCTTGTTCGAGGCCGTTAGTCCGAGAACAAGTTTCACGTGGGAAAATAATTGCGAGATTTCGGACTTTCTCCTACTTAAAACAAAGTTCCATCAGTTTATGTCTCAAACTAATCGTCAAGTGATATACACTCTACTATGCTATACTATGGGAGGGTAACCGCTCTTGTTTAACTATGGGAGGGGAACCCTTCAAGAAAAACTATGGGACGATTTAGTACCAATACGCAAACTATTGGAGTGTTAGCAAAATGATTGCATTTACCCAACTGTCATTAAAGTTCACGTGACTGTGTTTAAAAGGAAAGGTATAAAGATCCCATGAGCCTCTTCCATGAGCTACTTGACCTATCCTTCTAGGGCTGGGACGTGTGTCTTGGGTACTTGGGTCGGGTGGATCTTGCGTAGGACCCGGGTACTCACAGGACTACCTGACCCTGTGGTTAGTCGCGTGATATATAGCTTAATGACTAAAACTCACAATAGCTCAGTAGTTACACTACAAGTCGCTAATGTTCGCATTTATTTATGACGAATCACACATTCCTTTTGACTTGTATATGTATGAGTAAAGATAAAGCTTCGGTCAGCTTCAGAAACTCTTGATCTGATTGTGTGATACATGTATCTAAACAGTTCTTGCCAGGGCTGCGGTAAAACAATTCCCAATCAGACATTTTGTTCCCACATCTTGAGACCTACCGTGGGTACCCGCGTAGAGTCGGGTAATAGGGGTTCGGGTACCCGGGTATCAAATTTTGATTCGTCCCAGCCCTATACCCTACACTGGCCTCTTAACCCAGGTATGTCACCCACCCTGCAGCATCTTGTCTTCGTCCTTGTTGTACACGGGTAGCTCTAGGGCACAGTCCGCATAGTCTGTCACTCGCACCCACTTCTGACCCTGGAATGTGTACTCCTTCCTTGTCTTGTTGTTCATCACCGTCACCTGCAAGGGGGAAGGCAAAATCACAGCTCGTGACTGACATTTATCATCCAAAACTGGCTCCCACAGGAGATATCGCTTGGGTGAGATCAAGCGATATCTACACTGTAGATATCACTGCAATGAAATTACATCACAATGCTTTGCAGACCATTGTGACATCACTGGTTACCATGACGTCACAATCAAATGACATCACTAATGGCTCTGCTACTGAAGCTGTTAGCAGTACTTTTTACACTGAAGACACTGCTAATTATTGTCTACAAATTGAAAAAGTTGGAAGAATGATGTTGGATGATAAATTAAATCTCACCCTCGTGTCTTATGATATCAAATATATCAACACTCGTTGATAAAAGTGGCAAAAATCCTCGGCAAGCCTTGGAATTTTTCCACTTTTATCAACTCGTGTTGATATATTTGATATCAAAAGACACTCGGGTGAAATTCTCTATATAATGCACAGATCCTGAGGGAGGCACTCCTCGTTTTGAAGAATATACAGTAAACTTCGGTTATATCGAACTCAAAGGGACCACTAATATTAGTTTGTTATATCCTTTGTTCGTTATACGCATTTCGACCGTCAGACATCTTTTATGAAGTCATGTGACATCATGTTAATTGATAAATAACAAAAGTGTGCCCTGTACATGTACAGAATATATCCACTTCAACCACTGTGTTACTATTGTTAATTAAGGGTATAATTTGAGGACCAGGTGTCAGTACTTAAGAGTAAATCAATTGCCTTCAATTGTTCAGGTCAGCTCAGGGATTAACATTTCATTAGACACTTAAACATTATCGTTGACAGAGTACACACGGGTGCACAAGGTGAGTTTTGCTATATCCGTTATTTCGTGTTCAAATAGCATGTTCCTTATATCCATCCACTTTATATGATATAATATATGGCAAATGGCCGGGACCAAAAGAACAGTTTGTTATATCTGTCAGTTTGTTATAAACATGTTCGTTATAAACATAGTGTACTCATCATCTTAACTATAAAACCCCCGATATATAACCAGATCGTTTGGTGACATATTTGAAGACACCAACAATTAATTGACTAATTTTTTGCAAACAAATGCAAATTGTTTCCTGAATTATTTGCATTGATCATTTTCATGCAAAGTGTGCACACATACATTCCCCACCACTTTTCCAAAAGGTTGTATATATATATATATGTATTGTTAATAAGACAGTTAGCACAGGACCCTGCAGCAGTGAGACTTACGCTGTCTGGGAGCCAGGCGGGGCAGGAACTGAAGTCCGCGTACCACTCCTTTTGCCGATCTGCCGCCCCGTCGAACGCCAGCCGCACCTTGTACACCTCACCGACGTCTCGACTCACCCGCACCTGGGGACAGCAGTGTACGGTGTGGGATATGCTTACAGACCTCACCACATATATAGCACCATCTGGTGAACACATCCTTTCTTAATATTACTGGCCGTTTAATATCAATGTTCAACATTTCTACATCAGATCAGATCTATAGATCTATACTCATTAGACCATCTCTACAGATCAGTTCTAAAGATCTATACAGATCTATAATGATCAATTCTACAGATCTATACTGAATAGATCAGTTTACAGATCTATACTGACCAGTTCTACAGATCTCAACAGATCAGTTCTAAAGATCTATACAGATCTATAGGGATCAGTTCTACAGATCTATACCGAACAGATCAATTCTACAGATCTATATTGACCAGTTCTTAAGATCTATACAGATCTATAGGGATCAGTTCTACAGATCTATACTGAACAGATCAATTCTACAGATCTATACTGATCAGTTCTAAAGATCTATACAGATCTGTACTGATCAATTCTACAGATCTATACTGATCAGTTCTAAAGATCTATACAGATCTGTACTGATCAATTCTACAGATCTATACTGACCAGATCAATTCTACAGATCTCTACAGATCAGTTCTAAAGATGTATACAGATCTATAAGGATCAGTTCTACAGATCTATACTGAACAGATCAATTCTACAGATCTATACTGATCACTTCTAAAGATCTATACAGATCTATAGGGATCAGTTCTACAGATCTATACTGATCACTTCTAAAGATCTATACAGATCTGTACTGATCAATTCTACAGATCTATACTGATCAGTTCTAAAGATCTATACAGATCTGTACTGATCAATTCTACAGATCTATACTGATCAGTTCTAAAGATCTATACAGATCTGTACTGATCAATTCTACAGATCTATACTGACCAGATCAATTCTACAGATCTCTACAGATCAGTTCTAAAGATGTATACAGATCTATAAGGATCAGTTCTACAGATCTATACTGAACAGATCAATTCTACAGATCTATACTGATCACTTCTAAAGATCTATACAGATCTATAGGGATCAGTTCTACAGATCTATACTGATCACTTCTAAAGATCTATACAGATCTGTACTGATCAATTCTACAGATCTATACTAATCAGTCCTAAAGATCTATACAGATCAATTCTACAGATGAATACTCATGTGGTATTTTCTTGAGGTTCATATTTATATATTCTAAGCATATAACGTGCAAATACAGTAATATAAAATGCATCCTATGTATTCATTTCCTCAACCTGAAGAAGACAAGAGTCCACAATATTTTAAAGATACATCCATGGGCATATTTCGATGTTTCAAGCAGAGAGTGATCAAGATCCTCCTCCTCACATCAAACTTGTCTTTTGCTCCTGGTCTGAACTTGAAGTCGTCTTGTTCCCCGATGATGACTGGCTCACTGTGACCTTTGTCTCCGTACAGCACGAGGGTGACGGCATTTTCAGTGCCATCCCCTCTGTTGGCGCCGGTTGTTGTCCACACTGTCCATGGGTCACCTGGAAAGATGAAACATGAGGACTGGGAACGATCAGAGGAGAGATAATGTCAGGGGTTCATTCAAATGACCTATTCTGCCCAATGGGTGACAAGGTCTGATGGTACAAGGGACCGATTCTGCCCAAAGGGGAGACAAGCATAGGATACAAGGGACCCATTCTGTCCCAGACAAGGATGGGATACATGAGACCGATTCTGCCCAAAGGGACCGATTCTGTCCCAGACAAGGATGGGATACATGAGACCGATTCTGCCCAAAGGGGAGACAAGCATAGGATACAAGGGAACGGTTCTGTCCCAGACAAGCATGGAATACATGAGACCGATTCTGCTCAAAGGGGAGACAAGCATGGGATACAAGGGACCGATTCTGCCCAAAGGGGAGACAAGCATGGGATACATGGGACCGATTCTGTCCCAGACAAGCATGGGATACATGAGACCGATTCTGCCCAAAGGGGAGACATGCATAAGATACAAGGGACCTCTTGTGTGTGAGCTACATACCTGTCGGTGACTGAGGTTTAGGTGAAGGTGTCTTCTGCTTGGCGGCAGGTGAGGCACGTGAGGTGGGTGGAGGTGCGTCAACGACAGGCCCGGAGTGCGGCACCAGGGCCCTCTCTATAGCATGGTCATCCTGCCCCTGATCCAGCCATCTGAAACCACATGGTTCGCACTTCTTGATAAACAAATAATATAGGGAACACGATGACAGTCAGTATCTAGATGCAATATACCAACCTTTTAATACCAACCTAACATTAGCAAATGGTATGAATTTTGACGGTTGATGTTATCATGGTTACCTCTGATATTGTTACCATGGCGATTACAAATTTGACTGCAGATCATATTAATGATAACTTACCTGTTACATACAAAGACATATTCCCTGTTTGTTTCTGTCGTCTCCTTGACAACCATCTTCTTCAGGTATAATCCTCTACCTACAACACAGTAAAATGGGCTCAGACATCATCAGACAAACATAGAAGACAGCATACACTTTCTCAAAATATAAACATAAGACTAAAATGGATATCCCAGGTATTCCCAACTAACCTTTCTCCCTGTATGTGTGTCCGACGATGACTCGCTCAATGTCCAACACTGACACAGCCTCTATCTGAAACTCGTCCGTCTGGTTTGGCTGGAAGGTCTTGGCGTTATTGACGGAGCGCTTCAGTGTTCTGTGGCCAGTGCTGCCTGCCTCCCCGAATATCTCCACATACAGCTGCAGGCCGGACCCAGGCTTGGGGACATCTCCCAGGTGCACTGACACCTGATACTTGACCACTGGAACAGGAGGAGAGGGGTTTCAGGACTCTACTCTACTCTATCCCCCTATCGCTAAGGTCAGTGATGGGCCTCCCCGAATATCTCCACATACAGCTGCAGGCCGGACCCAGGCTTGGGGACATCTCCCAGGTGCACTGACACCTGATACTTGACCACTGGAACAGGAGGAGAGGGATTTCAGGACTCTACTCTACTCTATCCCCCTATCGCTAAGGTCAGTGATGGGCCTCCCCGAATATCTCCACATACAGCTGCAGCCCGGACCCAGGCTTGGGGACATCTCCCAGGTGCACTGACACCTGATACTTGACCACTGGAACAGGAGGAGAGGGGTTTCAGGACTCTACTCTACTCTATCCCCTTATCGCTAAGGTCAGTGATGGGCCGAACTTATCGACTGACAATCTAACATTCAGCCTAGGATTATTGTTTAAAGCCCCAACATCCGATCAGCCTAATCGGGGTGCATGCGCAGTAAATATTTTACGTATAAGGAAAATGGGCGGAGCTTACTATTTATAGTAACCCACGTGTCTCAATCTAAAATACATGTGGTAATCGGCAACAGATGAACACCATTATGCACATCATCGTAGGTAACAAATTAACGTTGTTAATCTATTAAAATCATTTAAATTTTTTTTACCTACGTTTACTCGAGGAAAATGGCGACATAGTCCTTCCAAATCTGATCCCACATGTTGTAAGTTTTCCGTTTGAGGACTTTGGTCTCGGCCTGACGTCTTGGGTTTCTAGCATCCATGACATATCTTGATGATGTTGTTGGTCTATTTACGTGTTCATTCCAGTCTAATACTGCCATATTCGTCCGAAAACGATAAACATCGTCAGAAAAATTAATTCTTTTGTTATGATATTGTAGCAGTGAATTGTTGAAACTTTCAACAAAAAACGTGTCCATACAATGAACGTAGTCGTCGGTATGTTTATACACAACAGTATTTTTCAAAGCTTGACACAGAAGTAGCTCAGCCTTTGGGTCACAAATAAGTGTTTTGGATGATTCATAGTGCGCGTCTTGTCTACATCTCGACGTTTCTGAACAGTTATTATGGATATCCTTGTAATGATTGACCACATTCATAATATTATCGCGGAGCTTGTTGGCATCTTGATCGTTGTTCCTAATGCACCAATAAAAATGAGTCTTGATACTTCCTGCTTTGTCCGATAACTCGCGATGCCACGTCACATCCTCTTTGTATTTTGGACCCAAACACACACATTTAACCTCCTTTGTAACATTTTTCGTAGCATGCCATGTGTCATTTGTTGACGTTGTATCAGGGCGCTCCTCCCTGATAAATTTATTTATGACCGAATTCCTGTCATGACAATGTAATTTCACATGTACTCCGACACCATTGTCAACACTATCAAGATATTCATAGATACGCTGAGTTCCAATAAGTTCGTGTTTTTGTGTGCAGGCATTGTCTACTTTTGATACAGTTTCCGTCCTGATAACTTTGTGAGTGTTAGCTCCAATGCAAACAACATCAGTAAAACGGGAGTTTTTCCGTGTGGCATGGCGAGCGTCAGTGAGTCACTTCTAAAAGTGCATCCTCGCATGATTCACGACTTAAATCACAAACGACTTCTTTATAGTTTGAAAACATGTCAGATATGTAAGCTGAACCAAGTCTTCCAATGTCAGCTGCTTTCGCAAATCTGTCGTACTGATTGGGTAACATTCCAGACACAAGGTATCCATGACACATGCGAGAGTTTACCAAATATTTATTACCAAGATAGGGTGAACTGGGCCATATTATCACATGATCTTTTTCACATCTGAAAGTAACATAGGCAACATGTCCAATCATTTTCATGTCCAATTTCTGAGCAGGAAACGAGCATGACAAACTGTGCGAATAAAGTCGACCACAGAGCTTTTCAAGAGCATTTTCAGAGGCACAAAACATCTTTTGATTGCATTCATCCGTATTTTCACACTTGCAGAATGAAGAATCACGCGTAAAAGATTCGTCAGTAATATTCCCATCGTTTGCATCATCTGTTAAAACGTTTGCACGGACTGGATCGATATTTTTCTCAATAAAATATGAGAAAGTATTATCGAGAAGTTGTTTGTTTGTCACAAGATTAGGGTTCCCTTCTCCAAGAAAAGTTTTGATTTTCTTCGCTTGTTCATAAATGAAATCAATCTCGTCTCTGTTTTCAGCTGAAAAGTTAATTTTTCCTTGTGGTGAAGTTTTTCTCTCCGAATTTCTTCGTTTCACAGCTTCTGGATTGTCTTTTGAATATTTTCTCTTAATCCCGTTACTATCGCTTAACATTCTAGCAATACCTGCCATTTTTAACAATATTCGTCACTCTAGATCTACAGATCGGTTGCATAAAATCAGCAGACAACAAATAGAGAAAAGCGGGAAATTGGGCGTGGCTTATGTAACCCATAGGGGTGTGACAGGTGACTTTCGCTTTTGATAAGAGTTTAACTTTGAGACTTTTTCGAGAACCTAACTTGAGTTGCATATATATTGTTTATATAATACAAAATTGGTCGGTTTTGATTGTTTGAATGCAATGAATGCCATTAACCCTCCAGACCAACACAACCCATCCAACCCGTCGTGTATTAGACTACCCACCAACGCTTGGGTCACGCGACATAAGAAACAGCTGACCAAAACAACGCGCTACCATTATTTTGAGGGTTGTAGAGGGTGCTTTTCATAAGTTGAAATTTTGATTTATGACGACTAGCCATGCCTAAATATGCTTATTTGTAATGTGAAATGATACTTATTCACGGTAAATAATGAAACATTCCTTAAATCGCTACAAATCGTATATTCATCAAACTTTTTCATGATGTGTAATATATCTTTCATATAATGAGCGCTTCCAAATTCTATCGGTTTCTAATGGGTGTTACAACCAAGAAAATTTTGACAGGTCGCTTTCACGTTCGTTCACTGCTTATATATTTCAACGCTTTCATGATGTCATCCAAGTTCACTATTACACTAAATGTTGATGAAATGCAACAAGAAGCCATTCGAAGTTTATTCAATTACTCGGGATGGGATTACGATGCCGCAGTGCAGGACGTTTCGTCGTGTGATGCCAGTGTTCAGACGCGGGAAAGTGATGCAACGATTGACGAAGCCATGGAAGACAAGTTGAGTGATGCAAGTGTAGATGTCACCGGTGAAGAAGATTCGTCAGAGAAACCCCCTACTTTTATTGATGCTGGGGATGAAGTGAACGTTTTAGATTGTGATCTGAATGTCAGTATCGACGATCGTTTCCAGGAAATTCAGGAATGTGAATTTTGTTTTTGCCGCCCGTGTGTGACAACATTTCCTCAAAGATGGCTTGGCCGAGGCTCCGCCCCTCACGACAGAAATAGTGGGGTTCGCAGGACTATTTACAAGAACTATTGGTCGATGTTGGATAGACGAAATGCATGGAGGAATCCAAGGTATCTTTCCAAGAAGACAAGACTGTTGAATCGTGACCATTTGGACGAAACTGTTGTTTGTGTGCGCCGGGAAATTATGCCCAATTGTGTTTTGAACCATGTTCGTGGATTATATCCAAACATTCCTAATCGGGATTATATGGGACATAGGTGGTGGTAGTCCTCAAAACTCTTTCCAAGAACTGTTGGACGATGTTGGACAGAAGGAATGATTTGAGGAATCATCGAGGGATCTTTTCAAGACTGTTGACTCGTGACTGTACGAAACTGTTGATGATAATTCGGACTAGTGTGCGCCGTGAAATTATGCCTGATTGTGTTTTGAATCATGCATGTGCTCGTGGATTCAAATACATTGTATATTCTGAATATGGATTTTATGGAACATACGTGGTGATAAATATGCTAAATAAGTTGAAAGGTAAGACGCCTCCTGAAGTAAACATCGACTATTCATAACCTGCATATTTCTATAAACAAGCACTGTCTACATATTTCAAATTGATCATCTGATTTGTAGAAATCGAATCAAGAATTACTTCATATTGTGTATATGTGTAAACTGTTATATTAACATGTCCACCAAAGATGATAGATTTGTGTATAAATAAACTACATATTGTCGACATTATAACTTTTATTTATTTTGTATAAGTTAATTTGCATAGTCCCGTTTACAATGTTTTCGCCAAATGCGGTGCACAAAACAGTCGTAAACTGTATGGGTATGTGTTCATTGTGGTACTGAACTTAACGTCTTTGTAATGCCATTTGGTAGTTTCTTGGCAGTTTCGTTGCAAGTAAACAAACACTTCGAGAAGTTGTGCCATGTGCGAGTTCGCCACGTGGTTTACTATAATTAGATTCGCTCGCGCAGTAGATGTCAGCTGACCGAAGGCTAACTCCTCCCACTTCTGTTGTTTCACAGACGACTGGATTTTTTACAACCAAACATCAGATCGAATGTAATATTTTTTTATATCGTGTGACTTTTGTTACACTGACTGGTGTAGGGCAAATCTGTCTGCCAAGATTTGGATGTGAATGTTGTCTCGTTCTTTAGTTATTCAAGATTTTGGGTCACCGATTACTGGCTGACCGATCATCGCAACGTCTGTCAAACACTAAGATCTCGCAAAATACCGCGCTATTTATAGTCCGGTTGGGACTTTAAGACAAGAAATCTTTTTGGTCACTTCTTCAAAACAATGTTTTCTCTGAAAGATTGAATTAGTGGGGTGGTTTTACCCTTCTTTTAGCAATATTCCTGCAATATCTAATATTCCTGATGTTCCTGCACCAGAAATGTGCTTGTACCCACGTGGGGAATCAAACCTGGGTTTCAGAATGACGAGTGAACGCCTAAACCACTAGACTCCCCCACCACCCCTTTCTCTTTCTTTTTCACAACACAAAGCACGTCCTGCAAACATTTTGTACTTCTAATTAAATCCTGAGGCCAATCTCTTTCTTTCCACTATTCTTCTAAAAAAAACTATTTTTTTCACAAAACTCCCTGCCACCCCTCCAAGAATATCAAATGGTAGGTGTCTTCGGCACAGGTCATTTATTACAGGAGGGGGGATGGGTCAGAGGTTTTTGATGCACTTATGTACTGAAAATAATTACCCTTCCAGAGAGACTGTCATATGTTTTGGTGACCCTCCCCTGGTTCCCTCTGACCCACCTATCCCCTATAATAAGTGACCGGTCCTGTAGTTACAGGTATTGAACATTCCTGGCATATCTGTACATAATTTTCTTTTGGTTAAAAATGCCTGAAAAGGAAACTGTTGCTTTTGCAATAATTGTAATTGTGACAATGTGTGTGTGACGGGGTTTAAAACAATTGTCATCAATTTATCAGGATGTCATGATTGCATGACCCCAATCTAATCTATCTTTGTCCCTCTCTCAACTCACCTGGTAGGGTCTTCACAGCCGGCCATAGCACGGGGAACTCCCTCCAACCATCTTGGTTGTCGTCAACGGCAACCCAACTGTCGAAATTGTAGGAGAAACAGTCCCTAGTTTCCTCATCCTCAAAGCGAATCTAAAGCAGAGGAGTTGACTTGAAACACAAACACAATTTACTCGAATCCATCTGAAATATATTGTAATTATGAACTGCTTACCAAACATGCAAAAACTATACCCCAACCTGAAGAAAACTGAGATCTTAAGGAAACTAAACAATTACCTCTTTCAGGTTCCATGCTTTCTCACTATCGTTGTCACGGAAACCAATTCGTACTTTTGTCATTTCACCAATATCCTCCGCCAGTTTCACCTGCAGCAAAATGAATTTATAGTAAGGGGTTATACAGTTAAAAATATAACTGAGTATAGACTGCGTACAAATTCTGTCTCTTCTCATCATAAAGGTGATGCAATGCAAGCACAACTAGGAACCAGTCTATCTGTATGAGTTTTGTTACAGCAATTGATTTGTTATGTTCTTGTCAGATAACCAAATATTGTGTAAGGAACATGGAGACATTAGATCAGTGTATGTACAAAACTGTAATGTCAAGGTTAGTGGTGTGCATCAATGAATGATTATGGGTGTTTAGTTAATGTACATTAATTTAAACTTACTTTGCAGTTGTAAATTGAATCGGAAGAAGATAAATTCTCCACCAGAATTTTAGAAAATTCCACAAGAAAAAAATCAATGCTTATCTTGCACCTTCAAAGTATCTCTTGTAATGATCGTCACTGTCTAACAGGTAAGCCAGACCTGGGTGCTGTTGTACCAAGTGATCTTAGCGCTAAGGTGTAGTGGTAAGGTTGTTTTGTACAATGGCATCCTGTCAGAGGTCTGCCACACTCACCTGAGAGAGGTCGGTCTGACGAGGCTGGAAGGGTTTGCTCCTGGAAGACTTGAGTGGCAGTAGTGAACTCTCCCCTCTCTCCCCACACAGCACCACCACCAGATCGGACACGTTGCCCCTCGTCCCACCTTCACCGGTCACCGCCTCTATCTTCCACTGACCACCTGGACACAAAGAGTCAGGACATCAAGTACTGGGAACACATGACAACAACATCAGGGATACCTGTGGCATGAAAGCTGCAAATCCATTGAGCCTGGACCAGACAAACCAGAGTTAGCAGTGCAAGAAACAATCAAGTCAAACTGTCAAGTGAGGGATAACAAAATTTAGTCAGATCCTGGATGACAAATCCATGGATTGGAATAAAAAACAAGCAGCTGCTGTAAGGGCTACCTCAGCTCTTCCCATTCAAGAATCACCCACCATGCATGGCTTTAACATTCAGTACCAATGTTGGGAATATGTCTCACGTGTTGTCCATGACAAACTGTTGCATATATCCTGGTCCCTACACACCATAAAATGACACTTTGTCATCAATAACAAAAAAGTTACACAAAGCTTTTTTCACAACCAGTTAGGTTATAACCTACTGTTGTGTGATAACGATAAAGTTTGGCGATTTATTTGTACTGGACACGATGTACAAAGTGTCGGCTGCTGTTAAAGCCAAGATGGCTGTCACCATGCATCATGCGAGTGATATCGCGCAAGTGTGACCTTGGGACAGTTTCATCAAGTGTAACTCCAAGGGAGTAATTATAGTGTTGTTGTTTGCAATCCTGACACCTACTAAGAACCAAGTGCGAAGACTCACGCGACACTGGAAGATCATCGGCAGATTCGGGGGGCAAGGCCACTGCACTTGGTCTTGTACCACTCAAGGTCAAGGTCTCATCAACCTCCTGTGATTTGCTCTTATCACTTCCTAGCCACCTGCAATGGAAGCAAAAACTAGGTTATATGTGGATGTTAAAGAAATAATGAAAGCATCTTTTAATACAAAAACAACAACAAAAAACAAAACAAACAAACAAACAAACGCTATCACATGAGTATGGTTTTACCAAGCTTTCAGCAATATTCCAGCAATATCACGGTAGGGGACACCAGGAATGGGCTTCACACAATGTACCCATGTGGGGAATCAAACCCAGGTCTTCGGCGTGACGAGCGAAAGGTTTAACCACTAGGCTACCCAACCGCCCCTATCATAAGCAGCATGATCTCTTCCTACCTATCAGCCTCAAAGATCCTCTGGGTGTTGTCGAATGGCCCCGCCTTGATGCTGATCTTGTCCAGATGCCAGGGTTTGCCTGGCCCCTTAGTGACTGTCACCCTGTCTAAATCCCCCAGGTCCACCGCGCTAACAATGAAGGCATCCACCTGAACAGAAAATATACAGCTCAAAAGAAGTTAAAGAACACTCAATTTTTTTATATTACTTTAGTTAATCTGCCATGAATTAAATAGTTTTTGCCATGGCAAAATAGTTTCAAACTTAATTCATAAGGGACAGATCGGTTAATAAATTTCAGGTAGTGGGACTACTTTTTGCCAAATTCTTTTTTCAAAGAAAAATGTGTGCTACAGCTAAAAAGATATCACATCAGACTATCGATAGCTGAAATTGTGCCACATGAAGTACTGTCCCAGTCACGCCCCTATGAGTACTCTGACTACCTGCCCAACCTATGGGTACTTGGCCCACCTTCCACACCCCTATGGGTACTCTGACCACCTGCCACACCCCTATGAGTACTCTGACTACCTGCCACGCCCCTACGGGTACTCTGACCACCTGCCACACCCCTATGGGTACTCTGACCACCTGCCACACCCCTATGAGTACTCTGACTACCTGCCCAACCTATGGGTACTTGGCCCACCTTCCACACCCCTATGGGTACTCTGACCACCTGCCACACCCCTATGAGTACTCTGACTACCTGCCACGCCCCTACGGGTACTCTGACCACCTGCCACACCCCTATGGGTACTCTGACCACCTGCCACACCCCTATGAGTACTCTGACTACCTGCCCAACCTGTGGGTACTTGGCCCACCTTCCACACCCCTATGGGTACTCTGACCACCTGCCACACCCCTATGAGTACTCTGACTACCTGCCCAACCTATGGGTACCTGGCCCACCTGCCACACCCCTATGGGTACTCTGACCACCTGCCACACCCCTATGAGTACTCTGACTACCTGCCCAACCTATGGGTACTTGGCCCACCTTCCACACCCCTATGGGTACTCTGACTACCTGCCACACCCCTATGGGTACTCTGACTACCTGCCACACCCCTATGGGTACTCTGACTACCTGCCACACCCCTATGGGTACTCTGACCACCTGCCACACCCCTATGAGTACTCTGACCACCTGCCACACCCCTATGGGTACTCTGACTACCTACCACACCCCTATGGGTACTCTGACTACCTGCCACACCCATTTGGGTACTCTGACTACCTGCCACACCCCTATGGGTACTCTGACTACCTGCCACACCCCTATGGGTACTCTGACTACCTGCCACGCCCCAATGGGTACTCTGACCACCTGACACAACCCTATGGGTACTCTGACTACCTGCCACACCCCTATGGGTAATCAGACTACCTGCTACGCCCCTATGGGTACTCTGACTATCTGCCACACCCCTATGGGTACTCTGACTACCTGCCACGCCCCTATGGGTACTCTGACCACCTGACACACCCCTATGAGTACTCTGACTACCTGCCCAACCTATGGGTACTTGGCCCACCTTCCACACCCCTATGGGTACTCTGACTACCTGCCACACCCCTATGGGTACTCTGACTACCTGCCACACCCCTATGGGTACTCTGACTACCTGCCACACCCCTATGGGTACTCTGACCACCTGCCACACCCCTATGAGTACTCTGACCACCTGCCACACCCCTATGGGTACTCTGACTACCTACCACACCCCTATGGGTACTCTGACTACCTGCCACACCCATTTGGGTACCCTGACTACCTGCCACACCCCTATGGGTACTCTGACTACCTGCCACACCCCTATGGGTACTCTGACTACCTGCCACGCCCCAATGGGTACTCTGACCACCTGACACAACCCTATGGGTACTCTGACTACCTGCCACACCCCTATGGGTAATCAGACTACCTGCTACGCCCCTATGGGTACTCTGACTATCTGCCACACCCCTATGGGTACTCTGACTACCTGCCACGCCCCTATGGGTACTCTGACCACCTGACACACCCCTATGGGTACTCTGACTATCTGCCACACCCCTATGGGTACTCTGACTACCTGCCACACCCCTATGGGTACTCTGACTACCTGCCACACCCCTATGGGTACTCTGACTATCTGCCACGCCCCTAAGGGTACTCTGACTACCTGCCACACCCCTATGGGTACTCTGACTATCTGCCACGCCCCTAAGGGTACTCTGACTACCTGCCACACCCCTATGGGTACTCTGACTACCTGCCACACACCTATGGGTACTCTGACTACCTGCCACGCCCCTATGGGTACTCTGACTACCTGCCTGGCCCCTATGGGTACTCTGACTACCTGCCACACCCCTATGGGTACTCTGACTACCTGCCACACCCCTATGGGTACTCTGACTACCTGCCACACCCCTATGAGTACTCTGACTACCTGGCCCTGTTGGAACTTGGTTGACTTGTTCAAGTTCTTGCGGAGCGGTCGACGTCCGCAGTCCCGCCCCTTGCTGTACATGTTGAGGAAGACGTCAGATTGTGTCCCAGCATTCTTCACGCTGCTGGTATACACCATCACCTGGTAGTTGGTCACTGAAACAGTTGTCAGGAACACTTCACACTACTAGTGGGGATTACAGAACTTCATGTCAAGACTTGTTGCCATGGTTGCCTTTGTTACAACTGTGTATTGACCAACTCATATTCTGTCCTTTTTTCTCAAAGGTGGCTCATCAAAAGACTTAAATAGGCAGAATACTAAGGAAACAAAGAACATGTTTTGTGGGATATAGTGAGTGAGTGAGTATGGTTTTACGTCACTTTTAGGTATGGGCTTCACACATATTACCCATGTGGGAAATAGAACCCGGGCTTTCGTTGTCAGGAGCGAATGCTTTAACCACTAGGCTTCCCGACCACCCCTCGTTGTGAGGAGAGAATGCTTTAACCACTAGGCTTCCCGACCACCCCTCGTTGTGAGGAGCGAATGCTTTAACCACTAGGCTTCCCGACCACCCCTCGTTGTGAGGAGAGAATGCTTTAACCACTAGGCTTCCCGACCACCCCTCGTTGTGAGGAGCGAATGCTTTAACCACAAGGCTTCCCGACCACCCCTCGTTGTGAGGAGCGAATGGTTTAACCACTAGGCTTCCCGACCACCCCTCGTTGTGAGGAGAGAATGCTTTAACCACTAGGCTAACCCACATCTCCTTGTGTTATATAATGAGCAAAGTGTGGTTGATAAGTGGCGGGAGGACATACCCATGGCTCTGTAACACAAGTAATACTCCTTATAATGTCTTACTTACTATAAAATTAAATATTTATTTTCAACTAAGGCTTGTATTGTACAGATTATGGAGACAAATAGGAACATGTATCATCAACATATTCACAAGTTCGGAGAAGTTTATTTGTGCTTATGTAACATGTACTGCTCCAAAACATCACATCATGTTTTATAAAAAACTTTTTAAAATACATGTTAGATACTGAGGGCCCTATCCTGTCCACAATACACAACTGTTGTACAAGAGAGAGTGTGAACATGCGATTTGAACATGAGTCATCCATTTAACAAAGCCACAGACCATGTGAGCAACTCTGAACATTTTGTAGCCACTATCTGTCAATGAAGAAAATGCTGAAAGAGCTTACACGGAGGAAATGTTTGGCCTGGTTTGATGAGAGGGAGCTCCTTGCTGATGTCACCGTCGACCTCCCCGACCCAGGAGTCAAAGTTGAAGTTGAGACTCTCTCCTGTGTCTGTATCGTTCACAGTCACCTTGAACAAGACGAAGACATTCAGGCTTGTTAGATTCAGAATGAAAGGAATGGATGAGGTTTCTGGGGGAACAGAGGGGAGACTGAGGTTTCTTTGGGAACAGAGGGGAGACTGAGGAGGTTTCTGGGGGAACAGAGGGGAGACTGAGGAGGTTTCTTTGGGAACAGAGGGGAGACTGAGGAGGTTCCTTTGGGGACAGAGGGGAGACTGAGGAGGTTTCTTTGGGAACAGAAGGGGAGACTGAGGAGGTTTCTTTGAGAACAGAGGGGAGACTGAGGAGGTTTCTTTGGGAACAGAGGAGAGACTGAGGAGGTTTCTGGGGGGACAGAGGGGAGACTGAGGAGGTTTCTTTGGGAACAGAGGGGAGACTGAGGAGGTTTCATTGGGAACAGAGGGGAGACTGAGGAGGTTTCTGGGGGGACAGAGGGGAGACTGAGGAGGTTTCTGGGGAAACAGAGGGGAGACTGAGGAGGTTTCTGGGGGAACAAAGGGGAGACTGAGGAGGTTTCTGGGGGAACAGGAGGAGACTGAGGAGGTTTCTTTGGGAACAGAGAGGAGACTGAGGAGGTTTCTTTGGGAACAGAGGGGAGACTGAGGAGGTTTCTGGGGGGACAGAGGGGAGACTGAGGAGGTTTCTGGGTGGACAGAGGGGAGACTGAGGAGGTTTCTGGGGGAACAGAGGGGAGACTGAGGAGGTTTCTGGGGGGACAGAGGGGAGACTGAGGAGGTTTCTTTGGGAACGGAGGGGAGACTGAGGAGGTTTCTTTGGGAACAGAGGGGAGACTGAGGAGGTTTCTGGGGGAACAGAGGGGAGACTGAGGAGGTTTTCTTTGGGAACAGAGGGGAGACTGAGGAGGTTTCTGGGGGGACAGAGGGGAGACTGAGGAGGATTCTGGGGGACAGAGGGGAGACTGAGGAGGTTTCTGGGGGAACAGAGGGGAGACTGAGGAGGTTTCTGGGGGAACAAAGTGGAGACTGAGGAGGTTTCTGGGGGAACAGAGGGGAGAATGAGGAGGTTTCTTTGGGAACAGAGAGGAGACTGAGGAGGTTTCTTTGGGAACAGAGGGGAGACTGAGGAGGTTTCTGGGGGGACAGAGGGGAGACTGAGGAGGTTTCTTTGGGAACAGAGGGGAGACTGAAGAGGTTTCTTTGGGAACAGAGGGGAGACTGAGGAGGTTTCTGGGGGGACAGAGGGGAGACTGAGGAGGTTTCTTTGGGAACAGAGGGGAGACTGAGGAGGTTTCTTTGGGAACAGAGGGAAGACTGAGGAGGTTTCTGGGGGACAGAGGGGAGACTGAGGAGGTTTCTGGGGGAAGGGGGGAGACTGAGGAGGATTCTGGGGGAACAAAGGGGAACAGAGGGGAGACTGAGGAGGTTTCTTTGGGAACAGAGGGGAGACCAAGGAGGTTTCTGGGGGAACAGAGGGAGATTGGAGAGGTTTCTGGGGGAATGGGGGAGACTGAGTAGGTTTCTGGGAGAACAAAAGGGAGACTGAGGAAGAGTCTGGGGGAACAGAAGAGAGACTGAGGAGGTTTCTGGGGGAATGGGAGAAACTGAGGAGGTTTCTCAAGGAACAGAAGGGAGACTGAGGAGGTTTCTGGGGGAACAGAGGGAGACTGAGGAGGTTTCTGGGGGAATGGGGGAAACTGAGGAGATTTCTCGAGGAACAGAAGGGAGACTGAGGAGGTTTCTGGGGGAACAGAAGAGTGACTGAGGAGGTTTCTTTGGGAACAGAGGGGAGACTGAGGAGGTTTCTTTGGGAACAGAGGGGAGACTAAGGAGGTTTCTGGGGGTACAGAGGGGAGACCGAGGAGGTTTCTCGGGGGACAGAGGGAAGACTGAGGAGGTTTCTGGAGGTATTCGGAATATGGTGTGGTGCACTTATAGAGGAAGTACCTGCTGTATTGTCCACACTGGTTTCTCCTCCTTCTCCTCTCCAAGTGTCACTCGCACCTTCTCAATGTCGCCGATGTTGCCCAGCTTTATACCCTGTCAAAACAAATACCACACTAACATTTGTAGAGCGTCTTCTCCATAACAGAAACTGATTGAGATCAACAAAGCCTAAGGACCAAACATCAAAATGACATAAACATAAACTCTGTCCGAGGGAAATGTCTTACCGCAAACTTGTGAGTCTGACCCGGCATCAGATGTGTCTTTTTCCCATTGGTCAGTTCCAGGGCTCCCTCCATGCTGCGACTACCATACACAAACATCGTCACTGGCCGTGGTTTGCTGAAGTCGGTCTGTGCCATGTCCAACTTGTCTTCTGTTGCCATGGTGACAAAACATGTCCATACACCCTCTGCAGGACAAAAGACAAACATGGATCAAGAATGAAAGTGAGTTAAACATCAATATTCACTGTGAAATTGAAATTAGAACTTACACAAATTGATTGCGGGGCTAACTTTGTGTCAGTCAATTTGAGATACACGTCTCTGGTGCAGAGATTCACACCAGCTGATCAGTATCCTACAATTATAACTTGCACGCAAGATCATGTTTCTTTAGGTATCATTTGGGACCTAAACGCAAAGGTTACTCCTCTAAAAAAAGAGAACACGTTTTGTGGAAAGAAATTGACCATTTGAATTGTCGTACTTGACTTAGATCGTTGAGCTGGAGTAATTTCGGGTCCTGGTTGAAGGTAAGCAAGGGGAGTTAACTCTCTGACCAGTCGACGGTCTTCACAACCGGAGTCCATCCACCTGGGAAGTAGATGACAAAAACAAGTTAATGGGGTTCAGATCATTAGTGGAAGCTATATCATGGCTATCTGGACACCAGTGACTGCCCCATTCCACAAAGTGATCTCAAGGCTAACATATCTTTTAACATAAGTTTAAGATAGTCTCAGTGCTAAGATTGCTTTGTGGAACGGGACCCTGGACTATACATATGTGATCAATACCTGCTATCATGTACAACACAGCCACTAGGATAGCCGGTGTCCACACAGGAATATCAGATGTAGTTCCAGGGCACAACACAGGGCACAACACAGTGCTGAATGGCAATGCTTCTTGTACGTCATTGATAAAAAAGAAACTTTTGCCAACTGATATCATATTTTCACTAACAAAACTGAAGACAGTGCCACCTTTGTCTCTTTAAAGTTACTCCTCAGGATCTCAATATTTGTTAACATCTTACATCCATTGGCTGTTACAGCCAGAACTAAACATATTGATGACACAATCACAGCTGTACCAAGTGTAGTGTATATGCAATCAAGGTTTGTAATTGTATGCATATGTATGGGTCAGAGGTCAGGGTCTCGTTTTGGGATTGACCATGTGCGAGCCAGTATCAATGGCGGCGCCCTGTATTCATTACACTGACGACAAATAAAAGTCTCCGTTTCGCTCCTTCAAGGATCATGTCATTTATCAACAGAGCAAGGATCATCAAGAACATTATACCAAGGCAGTGGTCTAAGGTGACCCCACCATGGAAGGAACACAGGGTCCCGGGGTTTGTATTCTCAACTTGACCCAATCGTGATCCTCTGCTTCTCTCCTCCAGGCCTGTGTTCATGGGATTCACTAAAATGGCTACAACATGCAGCAGGCTTGGCTCTCCTTCAACCTGAAGATGCCATGATAAAACTGAGGTAATGTTCACAGCAGCATATGCAAGCACACTCACTCCCACGGTAGTAGGGACCAGGAAACCACTGGTTTAAAGTATGTACCAATCTCATCAAAATAAAATCTTAGTGCATGCTCTTGCTACACATACAAGAAAGTGAAAGTCCAGGGCCCACTTGCACAAAGCGATCTTAGCGCTAAGACTATTGTAAGCCTATGCTAAAGTATGGGAGTTAAGATCATCTTAGCGCTAAGATCGCTTTGTGCAAGTGGGCCCTGATGTGTTTTCTAATTATGCAACTTCGAAAAGGTTAACACGAGACATTCAAAATGACAGTGATGGGCTGTACAACTGATTCCGTGAAAATCATCAGCTTTCTCTCGATTCAATGTGACCAACATTAAAAAAAGGAAGAGACTTTCCATAGCTTGAGGGAAGAACTGCAATACAATCTGGGCCATCTATTAGAAATTCCAGAATATTTTTTGTTCAATTTTCAAATTTTGAATCGAGAGCTTTGTCAAAAAAAGTTTTTAAGTCAAACATGGAATGGAAGTCGACAATTTGAAACCAGTGCCGTAAAGTTCTAGAAAGCTGCCTTCTGATTGACAGTTGACCATCCATCCATCATCCTTTGGGATAAATTTTACATCAACAAGGTGCTTGTGACCAGGGTCTCAGGTGACATTACAGAGTCACCTTGCCTCACCTGTTGCATAGGAAGACTGTCTCTGGGGCTCCCTGCCTGGACTTCCCTTCAGGGCTGATGGACACCCGATCACAATGCCAGCCAGCCCCGCGACCAATTTCATTGTGGCCAATCAGAAGTTTGGAGATCACACCAAGGTCAAGAGTTTGAATTTCAAATTCATCCCGCTGTAAAAAAGAGAATTTACTGAAGGCATGGTTATTTTGGGTATTGGGTAATGGTGATAAAGTTTGCACATTATACACCGGTTGTCAGTTGAGCTCTGTGTTCACAGGGGTGCTCGGGTAGCCTAGTGGTTAAGCGTTCGCTCATCACGTCGAATACCTGGGTTCAATTCCCGACATGTGTACAATGTGTGAAGCCCATTTCTGATATCCCCCGCTGTGATATTGCTGGAATATTGCTAAAAGCGGTGTAAAACCATACTCACTCACTCACTGTGTTCTACATATAATGCTATATTTGACCATTATTAGTCACCAAGCTCAAATAAGCGTATTCTTGTCTTCAAAAATGATTTTAATTGTTTATTAACATCACAAAAAGATATTTTCCTGTCTAGAGCTTATCATTCATAATGATTATTGCTCAACCTTGTTAAAAACCAAATGGAATTAATAGGAAGTCGTTTATAATCACCCACATTTTATATGCAGCCTTGGCACCTAATACATCAAACATGGTATGTGTTTCTTGGTTGAAGTCCATTGCCACAATTATGTATCTGTCAAATTGACTGCTCAAACTGTAACCTCAACAAGAGAATGAATTATTTTTATAAACTGACCTTTCCTTGCCGAAATGGTTTCTTGCTGCCCTGAGGTAGCGCCAACACTCTCTCTCCTGTGTCTCCCCACTGACCAATGACAGTGCAGAACACCTCAGCGTCAGTCTCCGCCACGGGTAGATCCCCCGTCACCACGGCAACCTGATACACCGTATCTAGGGAGAACAGTATTGGAAGAGTGTTTGTATTCAGTCCAGGGAAGTCATCACAGTAAAGTCATTTATAGCAGAGGAGGATCAAGGATTTTGAAACGAGAAACACTTCCCAAGTTCAAGAGAACATAAGTAGCAAGGAACGCAGATTGACATGTAAGGCGTCTGACAGAAAAATGGGTGACAAGCATAGGTGAACATATCTAAATTTCATGAATTTATGCCCCTACAAATGCACTCATAAGGAGTGTTTACGAAATAACCAGGCTGCAATCATGGCCCACAGACTTGAGAAGAAGCTGCAGGCCCTCATTTAAATAAAATGCAGCTCATTGTGACAAATAAATCAACGTATAAATTTACTGCAGGCCCCATTAAGGATTGGTTGGTTTGTTTGTTGTTTAACGCCGCACTCAGCAATATTCTAGCTATATGACGGCGGTCTGTATATAATCGAGTCTGGACCAGACAATCCAGTGATTAATATCATGAGCATCGATCCACGCAATTGGGATCCATGACATGCATCAACCAAGTCAGCGAGCCTGACTACCCGATCCCATTAGTCGCCTTTTACGGCAAGCATGGGTTGCTGAAGATCTATTCTGCCCCGGATCTTCACGGGTTGCCCCATTAAGGACCCATACAAATTTGAAACTACGGGCTCAACACAAGATCTACCTGCCACGGGCCTAAGGGCAGGCACCTATTTTGAACACTGGTCATTGGGCACCTTCAGGTCACATTTTCCTGCCTAAACGATTGTGCAACCGAATATGTCACGTAGAATGGCTGTAACTCTTATTGGTCTACATAGCTTCAAATTTTACCGTAAACATTTCCCTATATATTTTGAATTTTGCTTGGGCAATGAATCCTCTTATCAACATTAACTAATCTGAGTGATATTTGTAGACCAACAAATGCAGGTGCTATGGCTGATATTGACCTACCTTGTAATGGCGCCATGTCTGGTCTGATGGTAGGAAGCTCTATGGTGCCGTTAGGGTTGTCGGTGGAGGATTTCACCCAGTCTCTGTACTCCAGGTTGAACTCCTCACCCGAGTTAGCATCCTTCAACTTCATCTACAACATACAGGATAAATATGCAATAAAGGTTTGTCAGTTGTGTCCATGAAAGTACATGTGAAATGACACTGTAATGAAAAATAGTATCTTAATTTGGCTTCTTTGCATGTGTTTGCTACTGCTACAGCAAAGATCTGAGGACATCCAATTCCTGGTGATGTCAGAATGACATGATGTCGACATTAGCAAATCAGAAAGCAGCTTTCTTGAGCTTTACAGCACTAATTTGAAAGTAGTGACTTCTATACCAGACTTAGTTATAAAAATATTTAAACAAAAGTCTTTGATTCAAAATTTTAAAACTGAACAAAACATAATTCTGGTATGTCTCACAGTTGGCTGAGATTGTACATCTTCCTGAGGCAAGAGAGTTAACTGACTATGAAAGTCCAGTTTCCACCCTTGCCGAACTAGGCTGGTATTATGGAGTTACATTTTGGCTGGACTAACGAGTCAATGCATAGTCCAATCAAAATCGCGCAACGAAATCGAAAACCGGTTCGTAAACTGTCGTGAATATTTCGGTCAATTGCAGGATTTGCAAAGCATGTGCACCGCCAACTCGTTGTCAACAGATATTTTTCAAATCATTTCATGTTTTAAAACAAGGTGCTCACGTGATTTGATGCACTTCACTATGTAAAACCGTTCAATCATAATATAGATCTTCATTATTGATCAGATCGTCTTGACTGGGCGCCACCATTTCGTTTGAAACAAATGCCAGTGATACGAGAGGTGGAATCTGATTGGTCCATGGGAAAGGTTTAGAAGGGACATAACTTGTAATAACAACTGGCGTTAGGATCGAGCCCAGGAATTCCAGCCTAGTACGGCAAGGGTGGAAACTGGACTTTTAAAGTCAGTTAACTCTCTTGCCTCGGGAAGATGAGATTGTATGGCAGTATGTCTCATGGGCTACGGAAGGTCTCTTCTGTTTCAAATGTCTATCCCATTGAAGTGAGACATCCTCAGATGTTTGTGTAGCAGTACTGAGAACTTAAATCTGTCTTTTAATGAAAATGTGTCACCAGGCATTTTTGCAGTTAGTTAGCAGAAAATGTCTTAGCGGCCATAAAAATTCAGACAATCTTTACATTCATGAAGCTAATTTTAAAATCTGACAGGACAAAAGTTATATTGCCCGCCCTGAAAAAAAGCATTCCCTAAATGACTAGCATACTGGTGAGAAACATTTTCCTAACTATTCGTGGCCAGATATTATGTACTCTTTCACACATAAGGATAGACAGTTGTGACATAGCGTTAACATTGGAATGTTGGAATGGAAAACACCAATTCATCATTTACAGGAAACATCCGTACAGATCGCCATAATGGTACTTACCTTCTCCAAGAACCAGGAGGAATTGCCTGCTTTGGAATCAAAGAAGATCCGGACCTTGAACATTTTGCCTATCTTGCCCACATTCAGCTGAAAATAAATAGGTACAGGGAAGGGACTTATCTAGGATTCTAAACTAAATGCCCATGGCAGACAAACTGAGAAAAAAAAGCTTGTTCAAAACTGAGATTTTCTTTAAAATCCTTCTTTTCTTAAAATTGTTTACAAACCTGTAGAGGTTATGAATTCTCTGATGAAATCCTCCTTGGGGCACTTATTGCATTTTCCTTGCTCAAGAAAATCTATATGACATAGTTGTAACCATTTTCCTTAATAAAAAATGTTACCACACAAAAAACTTCGTTTTTGTATGATATACGACCACCCTTACGGGGCCTCACCCCCAACGGCGCCTCACGCCAGGGGGAGCAACTCTCACCCAAATCACTTTCCATATGTCAAATGCTGACGGAATGTGGGGAGGTGGGTGGCCGTGCCCCAAGGAGGATTTCATCAGAGAATTCATAACCTCTACAGGTTTGTAAAATTCTCTTTCTGATTAAATCCTCCTTGGGGCACTTATTGCATCAAGACAGACTCCCAAAGATAATCTAGGAAGTGGCATCCGTCAGCAACAGGCGTAAATAAATACATCGTATTTGATTATTCAACAGAATAAAATATTGAGTTCAATAAATGGAACCAACCTTATCGTGAGGCACCACCGTCGAAAGGCGGGGGCTAGAGACAGGGCGTGGTCGACCATATATTATGATAAAGCCTGTTTTTGCAGCTTGTCATAAGTTGAGAACTCGAAACACCTCCCACCCCCCACACTTTTTTTTTGAACAAGTGATATAAGGGCGTAGATCACGAGAGACCATAACCAGCGCTGAGCTAGGCCAGAGGGTCCCCGAGGATCGAAGGAGTGCGTGCGCAAAATACGAGTATTATCGAGTAGTAAGGACTGATATTTATCGACCGCAGAAGATAAAATCCGGACCATTACTGAGCAGTATAACCGGAAGACTGTCTAAAATCTCGAATGCTCAATCAGCTAGAGATTAGAACTTTGCCCAGTTTGGAGAACTGACTGACCAAACCGAGTACGCTCGCTTGAGTGTTTGTCGAGTTGGTAAGGTTTGATGAATCGTGCTCGGCTGGCTCCAAATAGCCGCGGAGCAGATCTGCTCAAGGGGCAGAGCCACGGCGTACGCTTTTGACGCAGCCACTGCTCTAACCTAATGAGCCTTCAACCTGGTAGGGGGGTCCCTGCCTGTAAGCGTATACGCTGTACAAATGGTTGAAACTATCCACCTCGAGATAGATTGTTTACTCGCAGGTGAGCCAACCTTCCTACTGCAGTAACAGCAAAATAGTTGGTTATCCTTACGGACACCCATATTTCTGCTGATATAGGCCTTGAGAGTCGTGCGGACATCCAAGACATGAGCATGTCTTGCAGTGGTCCCCGACGAGGAAGGCTGTGAAAGAGCAGGTAGCTCAATAGGAGCCGTTCACGTGGAATCGTGTGCGACCCTAGGACGGTAATAGTCCGGTAGACGAAAACTGACTGTCCCGGTGATATTTATCGACCCCATGGAAGACAGTTATTTTGGGATCGGCTGACATAACACGAATGTCGCCTACCCGTCTGCCGGACGTTACCACCACAAGGAACGCCGTCTCCCAGCTCAACAGCTGAAGAGAGAGAGACGACAGATCCCGAAAGGAAGGACCGGACAGCCAATCGAGAATGATTGACAAGTCCCAAGGGGGACTGATCCGCCGGACTGGCGGTCGGATCCTGTCCACACCTGCTAAAAAGCGCTGCACTAATCGGTGTGCACCCAGAAGTGCCCCGTCGACATGGACGTGAAAAGCTGCGATAGCTGTAGAGTACCCTCGGACTGTTGATGCGGCCAGGCCGTCATCTAGTCGCGACTGGAGAAACTCAAGCACGGATACGAGATCTGCAGAAAAAAAATCTGCAATCCCTCTATCGACACACCAGGGCGCATAGCAGGCCTATCTATCGTACTGAACGTTTGTCGAATCCCTCCGCGAAGCCAGTATCGTGTCTGCAACTCGTGCAGGAATACCGCTCTTCTGGAGGCCAATCCTGACAGTGGCCAAGCCACCCATTGAATCCTGAGATTCGGGTGGAGGGCCCCATTCTGGGATAGGAGGTCCGGTCGTAAAGGTAATATAACAGGAGGCTGAGCCAGAAACCTGAGTATTACTGGAAACCCACTCTGCGCCGACTAAAGAGGTGCCAGGAGCACAATTAGTCGCGCAGGCTGAGTGCCTAACTGAGACAGGACCTTGGAAATCAGAGGTACTGGGGAGAATGCCCACAGAACTGTCCGTCCAATCTAGCTGAAAGGCGTCCGGTGCCACCGACCTCGGGTCGTGGACTCGGGAGCAGAACGTTGGTGTCTGGTTATTTAACCCAGACGCAAACAGATCCACCTGTAACGACCTGTATAACAGGGAGAAAATCCCGAATATCCCCGGGTCGAGCCTCCACTCGTGAGGAGCGAGGATCCGGCAAGACAGAGCGTCCGCACGGACGTTGTCCACCCCCGGGAGATAAACAGGTAGCACCCTGATATCGTGAGAGTCGCACTATAGTAGGAACTGCCACGTCTTTCGTCGAAGCGACGGAGACGCCATTCCCCCCTGCTTCTGGATGTAAGTCATCGCCGTTTGGTTGTCCATCTCTAGACGAACCACTTGGCCACGAAGCAGATCCGGGAAGCGTTGGAACACCAACCTGACCGCTCTCAGTTCTAGCACATTGATATGCAGTTTGATCTCCTGCTGGGACCATAGTCCCGAGGCAGTGTGATCATTCAGAACGCCTCCCCAGCCGGAGAGTGACGCGTCTGTTTGAACTGTGAGAGACGGAACGGGAGTGATTCCCGACCTCGGTCCACCACTGGAGGTGTGTAATGAGCCACTACGGAGTCTCGAGCACAGTCTCGAGATCTTCCGAGTTCGCCCAAAGTCGACGGAGTGCTTGTTGAATGGGACTCATTCTCAAGCGCGCCCGCCAGACCAAATCCACTGTCGCCGCCATGTTGTCCAGTAACTGGAGCCATGTACGAGCAGTATGACTTGCGCTTGATATCTTGTGACAGAGATACACGTCCTCTCACCGTGTTGAAATTAGCCACTAGGAAGACTAGATTCTGAGTGGGGCTCAGATCTGACTTCTTGAGATTGACCATCCACCCTAGAGTGATCAGAATATCTATCACTTGTTGTGTAGCTATCTGACTCAGGGATTGCAATAGAGCTCTTAGTAACCAGTCGTCGAGGTACGGATGGCAGAACCGACCTTTTGACCTGGCCACTTGGGCGGGAATCAACATCAGCTTGGTGAACACCCTCGGGGCCGTGGAGATCCCGAATGGTAGAACCCTGAACTGATAACACCTCCCGTCCAAAGAAAACCTCAGGTATTTCTTGAACTCGGGGTGTATTGGTATGTGGAGATAGGCATATTTTAAGTCTATTGACGTTAGCCATTCTCCTGTCTCGACAGTTGAGATCACTGTTTGGTGACTAGGAAACAAGTCGAGTAGAAGCCCTCGCTTTCCTGTCCCTCGGGACCCGGTTCGATCGCAGCTTTCATAAGAAGTGCGTCGACCTCGGCACGGAGGAATTCCGCCTTCTCTCGGGTAGCAGGCACCGGAGTGTGCTTTATCCCGGAAAAGTGGAGGAGCGGATGAGTTTTCCCGATAACTTGCGACTGTGGGTTCACCTGGGGCTCTTCGGGCGCTAATGGGAACCCATCGTTCCCAGCCCCGCGAAAAAGCTGTTGGCCTCGACCAGCTGCCTTGCCCCGGCCCGTGCCTCTCTTGCTCCTCCCGGCGCCCTTATACCTGAAGGAAGCGGCGGCTTCCAAGCAGGTGTGGACATCTGACCCATGTGTTAGCGTAAGAGGGGACGATTGGAGAGGCCCGCTTACGCGGTTTTAACGCTTGGTACCTCCAACAAGGCCTTATGAGTCTTTGATGGAAGTATACAATTGAGCAGCCTCTCGGACCACCTGCTGAGCCCCAGGGAAGAGGGTGGCACCCTCTTATACGGCAAAGCAAGTAGGTCTTGGCGTGTGTAAGTCGAGTATTTAGATACCGACATCCACCGCTTGCGCATGCACATAACAGCGCACATCATCTGCGAGGCACAGCTACGAATAGCGTCCCGCGCAAGATAACTGAACTTCCGTTAGTTGCGCGGCAAACTCCGAAGAGTCGGCCGGCCCCTCTCCCGCTAACTCCCTCTGTACAGCCGACAGATACGCGGAGTGTACGGACACACGGAGCTGTTGGCATGCATTATGATATTGCTCCTCGAAGCATATGTAAGCAGCCTTCAACTCCGCACCGCACACGGGAAAGGGGGGGCAACCGCCGGCCCTGCTTGACCTTAGTCAAGTTGGGTGTCTCCGACTCTGGCATGGGCGCAGCCACCTGAGGCAGTACCTGGACAATCCTGTCCCGCACGTGTCTCTGCACCCGGCCCGAGGCCGAGTCCCGGTGCCGAGGTGCCTGAGGTTCAAGGAAACCCACCTGGCACTGGGCTAGGTATCCACTGGTGAAAGCCTTGGCCTCGGAAGAGGCGTCTGGCTCCGCTAGGGAAAATTGTGCGTCGGTAGTGCACGGGCCGGCGCCCGCCACCCCTTTGCTGGGGAGCGACCTCGAGCCAGAGCCGAAGCTCGGTCTCGGATCGTCCCCGAGACAAAGGGAACCAACCTGGCTCCGGGCTAGGTATCCACTAGTGGAAGCCTCGGCCTCGGAAGAGGCGTCTGGCTCCGCTAGGGAAAATTGTGCGTCGGTAGTGCACGGGCCGGTGCCCGCCACCACTACGCTGGGGAGCGACCTCGAGCCGGAGCCGAAGCTCGGTCTCGGATCGTCCCCGAGACAAAGGGAACCAACCTGGCTCCGGGCTAGGTATCCACTTGTGGACGCCTTGGCCTCGGAAGAGGTGTCTGGCTCCGCTAGGGAAAATTGTGCGTCGGTAGTGCACGGGCCGGTGCCCGCCACCACTACGCTGGGGAGCGACCTCAAGCCGGAGCCGAAGCTCGGTCTCGGATCGTCCCCGAGACCAAGGGAACCCCCCTGGCTCCGGGCTACAAATCCACTAGTGAAAGCCTCGGCCTCGGAAGAGGCGTCTGGCTCCGCTAGGGAAAAATTGTGCGTCGGTAGTGCAAAGACAGTGCAGGAGAGGGTGCAGTGCTTACTACGGGGACCCTCGAGCCTTCTCCCCCGGCCCCCAGAGAGGGAGCGGGGGAGACAATCTCGGCAGCTTTTTTACCCTTTTTAGATGGGGAGGGGGGGGGGGGGGGGGGGATGTCTTAGTAGATCTGATATCTACCCCCGCCTTTAATAGACCTCTTTAAAGTGGAACAAGTCAACTTGTTCTTTTTTGGGGGCCCCGGGGGGTAAAGGCAATGTCCTCCGCCAGACATATTAGGCAGCGTTCGTGCCTGTCTTAGAGAAAATAGAAGCAAAGGCGTAATGTAGAATGCGATTTGTAACGCGATACTAATAGCCAATGTCGTAGTATAATTATAACACCAAAGGGGCGTGTTACGCGCTAAGGTGTAAAACCCGTAAAATAGGTAAGTGTAGTTTATGAATTAACACACCACCTTGGGTTTTGTAAAGGAAAAAATTGTAGACCAATGCTGTATGATATAACAAAACCCCAAGCCGTTTCTTAATGGCCTTGGTGTTACATGTATCAGCCCGTGGAACTACAATATGGACGCCATTACGGCCATTTGAATTCAAAGGTACCGTGCACGTGGCGTATTATTACAACTCTATAACTTCACAATGCGAGGTATTACGCCTTTGCAATGAAAGAAATGTACCATACATACAGTTTGGTCAGCCATGGTTCTTGTCGAACGATAGATTTCTCTTATTTTTGTCTTGTGTGAAATATCAACACGTCTGTCTCTTACAGATGACATAAGGAAAGTGATTTGGGTGAGAATTGCTCCCCCTGGCGTGAGGCGCCGTTGGGGGTGAGGCCCCGTAAGGGTGGTCGTATATCATACAAAAACGAAGTTTTTTGTGTGGTAATATTTTTTATTAAGGAAAATGGTTACAACTATGTCATATAGATTTTCTTGAGCAAGGAAAATGCAATAAGTGCCTCAAAGAGGATTTAATCAGAAAGAGAATCAGGGGTATCTTAATATTTCATTCAATGTAAAATATGTAACCATAATATCCTCTCTTTGTTTACTGGTCAAGGCAACATGACTACAAAGCATTTAGTATAATACATGTATCATTCTCAACAAATACAATTTGAGGTCAAAATGTCTTGAAAACAGTTTGGAATGTAGATAATTCACAATATTCCCAAAATGCACCAGAGCACCCTCAGCCAAGAGTAATGGTTTATATGTCCAATTGAAATCATGACAATTTTTCAGCAAAAGAATCTGAAACTTACTATGGTAAGCCTAAACCTAGTCAGCTTCATGGTGTGAGACATTAACAGATGTGGAGCTGTTAAGGTTACATCATAGGAAAAGTCTGCACCAAGCAAACAGTAATGGAAGCTCCTATTGCTTGGTTCAACATGTCAATACAATTATTTCAACAAGCCTTACCTGCACTTTAAGGCAGGACCCAGGACTGAGAGTACCATCCTTGTTGATCTGCTTGGGTTCCGTGTGTCCAGTTGTACCGTAGATGACCATCATGACCTTGTCCTTGGCTCCTGCGTCACTCTGTCCACCAGTGTACACCAGACCTGTCCATTTTCCTCGACTTGTGGGCTCCCTCTTGTCTCGGATCCGGAAGGCGATGTCTTCTGGCACTCCGGTTGATATCTGAGTCTCTGTAACAAAGAGGCTTATGTGGAGTTTGTGGTTATAAAATGCCATATTGTAAGACTTCCTTGTAGAACTGAGAGGTGGTGAAAAAATGGGGTAATTGATTACTGCACTTATAATGCAAAGTGCGTGCCTGTGTGTATGTGTGTGAGTGTGTGTTGGTTGTGCTAGTCTAGTCTGGACTCATGACGGTTTAATGGTGCTAGCTCACTGAGATACCATGTCTCAGTTTAACATGGATACCCGACTCAGACACAGTGTACTGACTCCGAGCCAACCAGTCTTTGTTTTATCCCCATAATGCCGAGCACCAGGCAGGGTAACAACAAGCACCATCTTTTAACGCTTTTTGATATGACAAGGCTGGGGATTGAACTGCTGACCTCTCTGAGAAAATCACAACTTGTCACGAAGTATTAATATCATTCTACTTTCAAAACTGTATGATGATCAGAATTCTAATTTTAACTTTTAAATATCTCACTGCATGGGTAAATAAATCTTCCAAAAAGCTAACATATCCAATCAGAAATGTTTCTACACATTGCAGAGGATGTCTGGTTCTACTGAGGTCAATAACCTAACCATGTGTCTTCCAATTTAATTCTTAACAGCCCTGTCAAGATTCGGGGTTGGAGCCGATCCCCAGCACCTATGCTGGTTTTAAGAGGTGACTGAATGGTTCAGTAGGCTCAGTAACTTGGTTGATAGCATGGCATTGTAACACAACAGCATGAATTGTTGCTAACAATATCAATCACTGGTTTGTCTGGTCCAGATATCATTATTTGTAATCCGATGGTATATATGTGGAATTTGCTGGGTTCACATGAAACAACAAACAAACAAATCTTAACAAGAAAGCAATGAAGCTGCTGAACACTCTATATCTAAGATGTTGTAAAGTACCTGACACAGGTAGAGACTTCAAAGTGTCCTTGCCATCATACCGCAGTGTCTGGTTACATCGACACACACTCTCAAACATAGCCGACACATTGTCCATCACAGTCACATGCTCCACCGTCCAGTCGTTATCTGACAAAACAAACATTGTCATGTCATGAAAGCAATACATGTATTGGCAGTACCATCATAGTCTGAAATACTGAACAGGGTGCCATTGTACAACACAACCTCAGCGCTATGACTGTCTTAAGTCTCTGCTAAGGTATGGAAGTTACGATCACCTTAGCGCTAGGATCGCTTGTGCAACGGCACATAGAACAGTTTTATTATGAAATTGAACTCTCCCCTACCCATTTGCCCTCAATGTTTCAAACAAATTACATCTCAAGTATTAAGACTTTTTTTTTTCTTCTTTCTTTTGCCAAGGTTTTATTATCACTTGAGAAGCCACGATTTCATAAATAGCCCTCACATGCCTACGTGGCTAGAGGTTACTAGGGCTTTGACTACCTTGTGCAAATCACTCAAAATAAATTCTGTCTCAGTGGACACTTTTAAAAATGTCAACTATTGTGTTTATTAACACATATAACGTATTAAACTCTTGGCTCAAATACCGAATATTGGATACCTTGCACCATATTGGTAAGAAATGTGCACAACCTCCTTCCTTAGTAATGGTGTCTAAACTTTTTAGCAGCCATTTTTAGACGCCTCGCTAAAATAACATGGGGTATGGGGGACGTGAAACAAATGCTATCACAAGTAAATTTCATTTTCACTTTCAAAAGATAATACAAATACAAATGTAACTCAGGTTTGTTGAAATGTGGCTCTGATGGATGTCATTGATGAAGGTGCTGTCCACCATTATGGAACTTCTATTTATGAAGAATATTTTTCCATGTTGATGTCCAATTTGTTATGTTTCTGAATTGTTTGATATGCAAATGCAAGGTTTAATCTAATTAACCCAAACAAATGCAAGCAAACTCATTTTTGCTGTTTATTTTGAGCTTCACTGCTCTATTTTAAATGTAGTCAAACTGTCATGTGCTGCTATATAAGTAGCATCAAACAAACATGGCAGATAGGTGTCTGGTATTTTGTAGGTGTACCTAAACCGACATGAAACTGTTCAAGCCTAAATGATTTGACAAATAATTAAGTGCACTCTATTTAGAAAAAAGCTGCCTGACTGTCATCTGATAGGAAGCTTTCTTGAAGGAGAGCATAATTTGGCAACACTTCCCCACTTCCTAGGTGGCCCAGTCGTCTAAGGCGCAATGATTAGCTGTGCAGAGTTGCGTCCTATCACCTATGATGGTGGGTTCGAATCCCACGATTTGCCCCGATTACGCTTCTAGGTTTTTCAGCACCATACCCGTGCTCGTGGGTTTCACCATGTGGTAAACGTCTAAGACCTGCATCACTTCGGGCTTTCCTCCCACATTAAGCTGACACGCCGTGATATAACTGGAATACTGTTAAAAGCTTCGTTAAACACAATTCACTCCCTACTACCGATATCAATTCAATTTATTACTTGAAAACCCATCAATGGTGTAACATGAGCATGCTTGTATACATTCAATAAATAAGACAAGGAAGACGACAGGGATGGAAATTTAGTTTCAGCAGCACTTTTTTTAAACAGTACATTAATAAATTTAGAAAGGTTCTATAAATTTAATGCTCTATGAGATTAGAACAATTGTTTAATTTGAACAAATTCAGTCATTCATAGATAACTTTGGGAATGTAAATAGTTCGTTGCTGGAGAAGAGCTTCACATGTGAACAGATAGAGACACTCATCCCCAACAGGAGTCACATAGTTTATGCACTCATTCCACTCTCAGAATGGTGTGCCAGCAACAGGTTTCAAGGAGCATTTGTTCTAACTAAATTTGAGAAAAGGGTAGTACACATTTTTAAGCAATAAGACATAATTTTCAAAAGATAAAGTTTATTAAATTATTTGTAGTACACAAACCCTTTGAACTTTCCATAATGGAGCTGTGCCAGTTTGGCAGATCTTGATCTTTAAATATATAAACAGATGTTTGTTGAGAAGAGAACGATAGGTAATGTGTCCCTGAGGGACATCAAGACTCACCTCTCCCCTTCCCCGTGAATTTAAGCTGCACCTGCTGGAGCTTGCCCACAGAGACAGCTGGGACCACGAACACATCCAGGTGGCCGTCCTTCCACATACTGTTCACTCCGTTCAGGGATCCAGTCAGTGGGCGGAGTCCTGTGTTGCCATGGATACCATGCAGGTTGACTGCTACCTGTGCCCCTGGACAACCATCTCCCCGACCCCTCCCGGTCTGGATCATCACCACATATTGCAGGGCTGCAACGACAAACAAGGAATCAGTCCAAGAAAGAGTGTTCTATCCCAAACACAGATTGTTTCTTTGTTTAACGCAGCAGTCAGTGATATTCCAGCAATATGAGGCTGCCTGTAAATAGGCAAGTCTGAACCAGACAATCCAGTGATTGATATCATGAGCAACGTCTTTAGTGTAGTGACCATGGCATCTCCTTGTATAAAGATATATGACTGTACATGCATGAGGAGGGTACCAACACCACATGAAACCTCAGTCACGAAATGAATGCTACCAATGAATGAACAATGTACTTGATTTCCTCTTTTGTAATTAATGTTTGACAATATATCTCGTTCTAATGTGGACAACCACATGGATCAAGGCCTAGTGATCTATTGGCTTGAGGAGTGTTGGTCTCTGGTCTTATTAACTGCTGGATAGAAAGCAATTATCTCAAAAACTAAATATTATTTGGTAGAGCTGAATTTGACTAAATATGGTATTTGACATTGGTTATCCTGTATATCCGGGTCATGACATTTCTGCAAACATTGACTATGTCCTGTTCCACAAAGCGACTGTAGTGTACAACATGTATTTGTAAGACTGTACATCATGCTTAGGTACTTGTACGACCCACACCTAACTTGGGGGGAACATCAAGCGAAACGTCGTCTGAACCAAAGATGTATATACGTCTTTGTCTGAACTGAACGATAATTTATTCGTAACTGACCAAAGGTACATAGTCATGACGTCACTCCCGATGCTGGGGCACGTGATGTATGGCGTAGTAGCGCGTGGAGATTGGCGTTCACACTATGTAAACAAACCTAACACAACAGCGACTTCAGTGCTGAGATGATCATAAGTCATAACTCCCATACTTTAACATGGACTTATATTACTTGTAGCTCTGAGATCACTTTGTTGAATGGGACCCAAACAGTCAACATGTCTGTCTGTCATAAAAACAATGCAAGTTATGTAGCTTTGAGTGCATGTTCAGATTGGACTCACTGGGAAGCGGCATCTGATTGGGTCTGTCGGTGACAGCGATTTCCCTCACAGTCTGTCCATCATCCTTCTCTTCAGCCAACCACCTGTCTACATACAGCATTAGCTCCTCCCCCGTGGAAGAGTTTGAAACCTTCACGTAGTCGCACCTCCAGGCAGGGCTGGCACTAAGAGCCTCATGCTCCAGGCGGATCTTTGTCAAGTCCCCGATGTTACCGGCATTGATCTGCAACCATAACATAGACCTTACAGTTCCTACTACGGCTGAAGTGATTCACTGGAGCACGATTAAATGTTTCTCTAAGATACTCGGGTGGCCCTGTTGTCTAAGGCGCCGTGATTAGTTGTGCAGAGTTGCATCCCTTGGACACGCCAGAAACCTATGATTGTGGGTTTGAATCTCGGTTCGCCCCGATTATGTTTCTAGGTTTGTCAGCACCATACTTGTGCTCGTGGGTTTCACCGAAGTGGTAAACGTCTGACACCTGCATCACTTCGGGCTTTCCTCCCACATTAAGCTGCCAGCCGTGATATAACTGAGTACTGTTAAAAGCGGCGTTAAACCCAACTCACTCACTCTAAGATACTTGAACTCTCACTGATATATGACATGAAAAAGCTATTTTTAAAACTGTGTACAGACAACTGACCTTTCTCCCCAAACAACAATCTACCTCCCCAACCCACAAGTCTCACCTGGAACTTGCCCTCTCTCCCAGGATAGAGCACATCCCCCTTGGGGTCTGGGACATGCTGTGGTTTGGAGTCACCGTTCTTCCCACACAACGTGACAGTGACATTTGACTTTGTCCCTGCATCTTCCTCATCTGATGTCTTGATGATCACATCATACACACCATCTGCAAGTTTATGGGCCCATTTGAATAGTAATACATACTGCAGAGTGTAATAATGAAGTATCTTTCCAGATGGGCTGAAAACAGCGGATAAACATTGATCGATGAAGACTTCAGCAGATAAACACTGATGGATCAAGACTTCAGCAGATAAACATTGATGGATCAAGACTACAGCAGATAAACATTGATGGATCAAGACTTCGGCAGATAACATTGATCGATGAAGACTTCAACAAATAAACATTGATCGATGAAGACTTCAACAAATAAACATTGATGGAACAAGACTTCAGCAGATAACATTGATGGATCAAGACTTCAGCAGATAAATATTGATGGATCAAGACTTCAGCAGATAACATTGATGGATCAAGACTTCAGCAGATACATATTGATGGATGAAGACTACAGCAAATAAACATTAATGGATCAAGACTTGAGCAAATAAACATTAATGGATCAAGAATTCAGTAAATAAACATTGATGGATCAAGACTTGAGCAAATAAACATTAATGGATCAAGAATTCAGTAAATAAACATTGATGGATCAAGACTTCAGTAAATAAACATTAATGGATCAAGACTTCGAGATAGACATCTGGAGCTACTCACTGTTTTTGCCATTCTTCTTTGCTGGTGACTTCTTGCGGGTATCTACAGTGTCTGAAACATCAACCAACATTCTTCATCATATTGGATTTGTCTATAACATATTTATGCATCTAATACTGTTTAGGTGTTCTCATCTCTCCAAAATGAAACTAATTAATCTGGGTTTTGTAATCAATTCTGGTGGATATATTTCTACTTGACAGCCATGTTGAAATTTCTCCCTTGTTCAGAACTCTAGTGAATGTGATAAATGCCATGAATCTGGTTTTACATTTTTATGTCTTGTAAAACAATGTGTACATATTTCTCTGTTTTAAATCAGATTTTGCACCTTCATGATAATTCATACACTTCATACTTAAAAAAACACGTGATTGAGAACATAAGGTGACTTCTGACCTGATCTAAGCATTGCTAGAAACTGTTTGCTTGCTTAATGTCATACTCCGCAATATTCCAGCTAGATGATGGCAGCCTGTAAATACTAGTGTTTGGACCACACAATCCAGTGACTGATATTTTGAGCACCTGATCCATTAGGTCACCTTGTTGGTACAACAATCACATGCTAGGGAACTATTTTAAACTAGAATCCCCATGGGATTGTTAGAAACAGATTGAGTTTCAGTACTAAATAAATACTTCAATAATCAAGTGATCACGAACATGAGGTGACTTTTGACCTGATCTAAGCCTTGTTAAAAATAAATGGAGTGTCAATTATCAATAAACACACTTATGACTATACTTTAATTATCGTTTATAATGACAATTCAACACGAAAGTTGCAACAATGATTTAATACATGAAACACATTCAATATAACACATATCTAACAAGTTTGGCGTAAGGGGATTCTCACTGTAAACATGTGACTAGAAAGCTATTGGTACATGTACATGACTGAGCATCAGTCATGCCCAGCTAGGGATCGATTCGCCTTTCACAACTGACAACCTTCCCAAGCATTGGGTATAAACACAGGAGAATCGACTACATGTACCTGACTTATGTGTACCTGACTGAGCATCGGTCAGGCCCAAGCTGTTGGGATCAATTGTCGAGAGTGATACATAGAATACTAAGGTTTCGACAATTAACTACACATCTATCATTCTACACTACAGATAGAAACGCATTAGATGCTAAATACCATGGACATGATGGAGGTCAAGCCTGACCTGTGTTTTGACAACATGCATCCAATGCATCCCATCCTAATGACTGCAGGGGTAAATATACCCAAATCGAAGTAAAGAATTGACTGAGAATCCCCCAAAGGCATTAAATATACATCTAGGACAAGCAGTTACCCCTATTTTGTGCCATCGCACGCTGAGCCTGTGCTATGGATGATTTGGGCACCCGAATATATCGAACATAACAGTCTGATGACCACCGGCCTAGAGTCTTGATCAGGTGGTCTGGAATATTAGCTGTGGAAGCTGAGGTAGCCGCACCAATACGAAATGAGTGACTGTTGTATTTATCTTGGTCATATCCTGTCATAGACAATGTGTGTTTTAATTTTTGAATAAAGAAAGACCTGGTAAGGGGTATATTCTGCTCATTAACAAATAAAGGATCATGTTGAGCAGCTCCCATGGCCCTCCTATGATGAATAAATTCCTGTAGACAACGTACCGGACAATAAGATGTTGGAACTGCATGGATGGACAATGTTATACCCCTGCGAAACGGATCTGTCTTAGACGATTTAAGTGTCAAATCAAACGATGTACAATCTGGTCTAAACACGACAGAGCTGAGAGACAAATGAAATTTTGCATCAAAATGGTCACATGTAAATTCTCCACAACGTAGAAAGCCAAAAAAGGCGACTGAACACACAGTCTTCATCAATAAGTCTGTGAACGGTGAAAAGAGTCCTTTCTCTAGGGTGATCCAAATCTGCTGTAAAATGTCAACAGTAATTGGTAATCGCACACTTGGGTTAACACCTTGTTCTTTCTTAATAGCTTTCATGATTGTTTCTACTCGTAGCAGATTCCTAGAACACCATGGATTCGGCACATTATGCCTCAGATAAGTGAATCTCACTCCACACAGATAACTCTTGATGGTCGTATTACGTAAATGTAGTCGATGATGACAGTGGGCTACAAACAATAACAATGAATCTTCCGACAATAGAGGTAACACACGGGGCTGCCACACGAACCCGCACATAGCCATGAAGGTTAAAAAGGCTTGAACCCCTGTTCTGTATACCGCCCTCGTGGCTTTTGACACAGCTTGCGACCACAAATCATCTAAGTCTGGACTGGCGGTAAGGTGAGCTGACACAGATGTAGACATGTTTCTGGTGCAGGTTCGGCAGTGGGAGCTAGTTGACGGAACTTTGTCATCTGGAAGCGAGATAAAGCATCACCAATATGGTTAACTCTTCCGGGTATATGTCGGGCACTGAATACAAAATTATATTTGGCAGCTGTCAATACGAATTTCCTTATCAGACACATGATGAATGGAGATTTAGAACGACATTTGCAAAGTATGTCAACAGTAGCCATATTGTCACAATGAAATCTGATACTCTTGTTAGTCCATAGCTTCCCCCAGATTGCAGCCGCCATAACGATAGGATAAAGTTCAAGTAAGGCAATGGACATGTCCTCTGTGGTAGCTTGCAGTAAGTCAACCGGCCATGGAGCAGCAAACCATTTACCCTGGAAGTAAGCTCCGAAACCAACTGATGCAGCAGCATCTGTGTAAAGGTCAAATTGGGGGGCTGCGATTAGGTCTTCCAAGAAAAACGACCGGCAATTCCAATCGCGTAAGAATGCTCTCCACATATCAAAATCTAGACGACATTGTTTGTTCAAAGTGACCCGATGTCGTAGGTGTTTCACAGAGTGAGCCAGTTGTAGGAGGTAACTGATGAATGCCCTACCCGCTGGAATGATCCGCATAGCAAAATTTAGATGGCCAATAATGCTGAGCAGTAGCTGCTTTGTGACTTTCTTGGCACCTTGAATAGTTGCCATGATGGATATGATTCTTGCAACTTTCTCAGTAGGTAGACGCGCTTCCATTCTATCAGTGTCCAAAATAATCCCCAAATATTCCAAACATGTGACCGGTCCGACCGTTTTATGGGGGGACAGGGGGATATTCAGTTCCGAGAATAGGCATTCTAGTTTGTTCATGGTGCTGATGCCTTGTACCAAATTCTTATCCACAGTCAAAAAATCATCCAAAAGATGCAATATATTGACAATGTCATACACATGATTGGCGATCCAACACACTGCTGCAGACAGGCCATCAAACAGTTTTGGACTGGACCGGCATCCGAAGACCAAGCGAGTGTAATAATAAAGCTGATGATCCCATGATATGCCATGTAAGTTATATAAAGAAGGGTGAATTGGAAGCATTTTGAATGCATCTGTTATGTCCACCTTACATAGGTAAGCATGTTGTCCCATGACTTTGATAAGTTGGATAGCGTCGTCCACTTTCACATAGTTGAGGGAGAATTGTTCTTTATCAATTAATGAGTTCAAACTTGGGTTTTCCACATCATCATGTGGGGCCGAGAGGTCAACAATTAATCGTTTCTTTTTGGAATATTTCCCTTCCACAATGCCTATTGGATTAACCCTGTGGTGAGGGAAAGGAGATTGCGTAAATGGACCTATCAAATAGCCTTTGTATAGTTCATCTTGAATAATGGTGGCTACTGCTTCAGGATTGTTTCGAGCTGATAACAGATTCTTGCAGACAGTAGTGTGAGTAGGTGGACATGTAATGCCTGTGTCAAAACCAAATTTAAAACCATGCAGCAACGACTGAACGAAGGCACGGTCTGGGTGATCAGACAACCGTTGAGACAGTTTATCCACGTCAACAGGAGATGGGGTTCCCTGTAGTCACTGTCGGTGCTTTTTGGCCGAGGATGAATTCTGGACAGGTGTTGACTTGCCTGCTGGGAATTGAGTCTCTCCTGTGTTATGCCAACATTCGAAAGCAGGGTGTGGCTTTCGACATACAGAACACAAATGTCTAAATCTACAATTCCCGTGAACACATTTCTCAGCATTAAAGTTGTTGCACAATGGGATACCTTTGTGTATGAGCACTTCCCTTCCCCGGCGATCCATGCCTCTGCGTTCTGTGTTGAGTTCTCTGTCCCTAGTTGTGGGAGTATGGTTAAAAGTCTCTCCTGGTTGGTGATGTATGGACTTGGCATCAACCATAGAACAGAACTGCGTCGAATGACCAATGTCATCACACAACTGGCAAGCAGTGATTCTGCGTCCTGTAAACACAGCTCTATAGATGGCATCATCGATCTCTCCCCATGGGAGTCTACAGTTATGTTGCTCAAGATAAGCTGCCGCTTTAGCCGAGAAACGTTTGTGATATTGATAAAAGAGTTGGTTCTGATACTGATTGTGCATATCAACTATCAGGCGCTGATATTCGTCAAGTTCGGCTCGTCTCTGCGGCCAGCGTAAACACATGATGGCTTTGTACTTTCCAAAGGCTGTAATGAACATGTCAAATGTCAAGGGCAACTGCAATCTGGAGTCATGAGGACTTTTGAGTTGCATATTTACATTGTCTACCTGAATGGTTCTGGCATTGGACGTTATTTCGTCAGGAATGAGTAGTAAAGCAAGGTTCACATCCTTACCTTCCTGAATGCTCTTCCGGAGAGATGGAGAAACAAGAGCTACGTCTGGTAAGTGATGAGCTTGAGGCTCACTGGTGAACACATATGGAGTAGTTGATCCTGTGTTGTTCGACTCCCGTATGGCAGTAAATAAACTGAACGGCGGTGACATCGCATGGATAGGTGCCGGGTTGTCATGTGGTTGACCCGGTTCAGCAAAAGTGGTCTGCAAATGAGAAGTGTGTGGCACCGTAGCAGGCTGATTCCTGGCATCCATTTGAGTGCTCAGCGTGGCCACAGTCTGCTGTAACTGGTTTACAGTGTCCACAAGCTGGGCGATTGTTGTGTCCGTGTGTGCCTCGTTAACACTCGAATGAGGGGGCACCGTACCCTCATGAACTGTCGCTGTGCTGGCTCTGGCTGACGATCCGTCCGACGATGCTGACCTTTGTCTATCAATCCTTCGGTGACGGTCTGGGAGGTTTTCTGTGTAAAAGGTTTGATATTGCGCACGTGTCAACCCCCCGGGAGGCTTAATATCCAATATTTCCTCGATGTATGCACAGATACGTCCCGTAGTCCAATTCCGTGGAAAAATCTCATACGGGCGACTGTCTACTGCACTGAGAGGGATCGTTGTACTATATCGTCGCCGAGGCACCCCGACATCGGGCGCGGCCATGTTTGTTGAAAGCGAACCGTCTGGAACATCGCCAAGACTTGCTGTTTCACTGCGCACAGTATCCTGCCTGGATATCCTGCTTGACGTTCGCTTCTTGCGAATTTTAGGAGCCATACTGCTGTCCGCCTGAGAGAACCGGCACACTTGATTTTAACTATTCGCTCGTACGTACGGAATCAAAAATTGCTTGTCATTGTTGTGACCCCTGCACAAGATGGCTGACCTGAATCGTAATTGCGCATGCTCGTACTTGGCATGCTGGGAAATTGCTGTATCCTGTTACTATAAATAGCATCACGCACGAGACATGTATGTATTACGGACGTTTGTTTATTATAGATTCTTATAATAATATTAATACATAACCGGGTGGTTAGTATTACACTTATCTGGTAATAAACTGCAGAAGATGTCTTCTGGCTTTTAATGTTGTTATGTTACCTAATAATGAAACCATAGAATATAATTAATGACGTGCCAATGCCAAAAGCTGATGGAATTAATACGTAGCAATTATTGTATATTACATTAAACTTGGAAAATATGAGACAATAACGACATAGCAGTTTTAAGTTGTCATTATAAACTCACTCAATATACATTGAGCACCAACACAATTAAGAATATAAGGTGACCTCTGACCTATGAGTCGGAGTGTCCTCTCTGTGGCTCCGTCCCCCTCCCCACTGTCCAGCCACTGGTAGCAGGGGAAGACATACTGGGCACTGGGGCGGCTGCCACCTTTCTCCGTCACCTCCACCTTGTCCAGGAACCAACCAGCACCGTGACCTTGGCCCGAGTGACCCATAACCAAGTTCCGTATCTCTCCTAGGTCCACTGCTTCAAACTCAAACACATCGCTCTGAAAGGAAGCATATGATCACATACAATACACTTCATCTATGTTTGCGCCAGGGGTCCGGAAACGGTCATATGCGCCGGACATGGCCAATTGGGAATCTCAAATGTCCAGTTTTAAATACTGCTTACCTGACATTTAAATATTTCTGTCCGGCCTTTTTAAAAAACAAACAACGCTACCTTCGGGGTTCAAATAATTGATGAGTGTTATTGTTTCCCTTCAGCGAATTCAGGTGAATAAACAGGTATAACAAACTTGGTCAATAAAAGTATGAAATTTGATATGGTCCAAATAATTGATGAGCTTTATCGTATCCCATTTGGCGAATAAATACACTTATATTCCCCCTTACCTTCCCCTTCCGGAATTTGGGTCCATCAGATGGGTTACAATACAGTCGTCGACGCCCCGTGTCACCATGGCTACCAAATAAGGTCATGTAGACCTCCGCATCTGTCTCGCCTGCCCAGTGATCTCCAGTGTAAACAGTCAGAGTGTAGTGATACACTGTGGAAAGACACAAGTAGTAATGTGGCAGGTAGTCAATAGTTCAGAAGAAAACTGGAAGTCTCTTCATTCAAGATGTATCACAGCATAAAAAAATGTGGCCATGGCACTGTAGCTCACCTGGATACTTGTCATCAGTTTAAAATGTCAACAATGACAGATATTTAAAAAAAAGTTGCTGTCAGCATTGCTTTTCAATAAACGGAGTGTCATGTGTAGTACAATGACATCCTGAAAATGTACTCCAACCAATAAACATTACACAGTGCTTGCCGCTTCTGGATTCACATGCCTTCAGTGGCATTGTCGAATTGCAATTTGCGTAATTTGTTCACTTTATATAGGTGTTCTATTTCGTGGGACCTGTGTACTTGGCTGTACTCTAAGCCAGATAGGGGACTCTTGCAGTACTTTATTGGGATAAAATAAACAGTTGCAAGAACAGTAGGGCTTGGCTTCACCTCACCCTTTTGTAATCACAACGGCAACTTTATATTCCAATCATATATCCCGATAAAGTACTGTCAAGAGTCCCCATCTGTGACTTGATCAAGATCATGAAGAGCTGGAATCATACAATTTATACAAACTGATCATTACACAACAAGCTGTTGAAATTGTGAAAAGTGCCTTGGTCTATTTGTTTTTCTGTGGAAGAGTGACTGAGTGAGTGAGTTGGGTTTAACGCCGCTTTTAACAGTATTCCAGTCATATCATGGCAAGTCAGCTTAATGTGGGAGGAAAGCCCGAAGTGATGCAGGTCTCAGATGTTTACCACTTCGGTGAAACCCACGAGCATGGGTATGGTGCTGACAAACCTAGAAACATAATCGGGGCGAACCAGGATTCGAACCCACAATCATAGGTTTCTGACGTGCCTAAGGAACGCAACTCTGCACAGCGAATCGCGGCGCCTTAGACGACTGGGCCACCCGTGCCCCTTTCTGTGGAAGAGGCCCAGTTATCAAACAGGAGCAAGTGACATGTTCTACCTTGGTCGACTGGCTTGCCTCCCCTGACAATTGCAACTTCCCTAGACAGGTCAGAATCTTCCATGCCCCGCCCTAGCCAGCGGTCAAACTTGAACACAAACTCATCCTTCGTGTGCTTGTCCTGCAGAGTGACCTGAAATAACAAAAGGCAGAGTGTATCTTGTTTGTTAGTTTGTTGTTTAACTTCACACACCTCAATATTCCAGCTTTATGATGGTGGTCAGTAAGTCATCAAGTCTGAACAAGTCAGTCCAGTGATTGACATCATGAACATTGATCTGAGCAAATAGGATATGAATACATGCTTAAACTAAGTCAGCAAGCCTGACTATCCAATGCATTAGTCAAGAATGTATCACACAGATTAAGCTACAATGGATGGTGCCAGAATGTATCACACAGATGGAACTACCACGGATGGAGCTAGAATGTATCTCATGGATGGTGCTGAATGATTTACTGAACAAGGCTGGCATGTAATACGGGAGGCTGTTCAGAATGTCCTCTCAAATGTACGCATGTGTAGACCTGAACCAGGGCTTTCAGCAAGACAGGTGACCACACTAACCAATGGACCTCCAGTGAGTCTTGTTTAGATATATAGACATGGTACATGCATGAAATGGATAAAAGTATCATCAGATCTTTAACATTCTCCTAACCTACATATACATTATTTACAGTCCTTTACAACAAACATAAGGTTGTAAAAACCCCTGAGGAACAAAAGTGTACTGACAAGCCAAGGTCTTTACAGACTGACAGCCAGCCAGACAGACAGACAGACAGACACACTTACATCTTGTAGGTGCCATCCTTTCCAGTTCTCATGGTCATCTCGGGAGATACGGATCTTATACAACTCCCCAATATCTCCCACCGCAACCTGGTGGAGAAAAAGCAGATCATCAACAAAATCAATAGCTTCATTGATATAATAACTATGCATAATGTATTTGTCTCATCTTAATGGATAGATCATAATTTAATTGTACCCTCTATAAATTTTGACTTCCTTCCAAGAAATAATCTGGTATTTGCAAAGTTTGAACAGATTTTGGCTCTGATCACACAACATTTTCACATATTATGAACACAGGTTTCAATGTCACGAGGAATTGGCCAATACATCAACTGTTTTCGGTACAGACCTCAAACTCATCCATATTTCCTGGTTCAAACAGCTTGGCCTGTGGTGATGGAGCATACAGGGCGATGTCTTCACTGTTGCCGGTGTTGCCGTAGAAGGCAATGGAGACTTTGCCGCCACTGACAGGTTTGGAATCACTGGCAGTCTTCACCAGCAGCTTGAAGTCTCCCTCTGTCACAGAGATGAAAGGGCAGATGAACCCAGGCACCACGGCACAGTAACAAGACTGTGTGCACACGCTGAGTGCACAAGCAATTACGTAATACATTGAGCACTTGCATATATCACATACATGGCGGAACAAGCTGATTAAACTCAGAACTTTTTACAAATTGCAGTGCCATCTGGCGCTCTTTATTGTCAACGTTAGTGTCCTTTTTGTGCACTGACGTTCTTTTGTACACATTGTTCTTTCTTTACATGGGATGTCTTTTGTTTGCGATTTTTTTATTGGTATCATTTGTCGTTGATTATTTACTCTGTCTAACATAGGTGAGTCTGAGACTGTAACTGGCCAATAGTCTCTGTCTACAGGTGAGACTGTAACTGGCCAATAGTCTCTGTCTACAGGTGAGTCTGAGACTGTAAGCGGCCAATAGTCTCTGTCTGCACTGTTACTGGTGCTGCTACCCCCTACACTGGACAAGGGTACTCACGTGAGACGGATGGTGGGTCTGCCACCATCAGCTCCCTCTCTATCTTCTTGTCCTCCTTCCCACTGTCCAACCATCTGTGTAGAAGAGAGAACAGTTTCTCCGTCATACCATCGGTCTTACTCTGCCCTCAGCCATGAATAACTTGCAGTGAAATTAATGCAGCTTCTATTTTCTAAAATATCATGTTTTGTAGGTTTATCATTTAAAGTGGATTAGTTTGTTTAGTTTTTTCATTATTGCTTTTCCCATCTGCTGCAACCATACAATACACAACTAATGTTGCCTTGAACCCCTACTTTTTAAAGCATACCTATCTTTTATACAACTGAAAATTGTAATGGAGATAGGGGAAACTTTCAGCAAACATTTAATATTACCATGACTATTTTTAATAAAATTAAAGATTACTGAACACAAATAAATATATGCACTCCCCTTTCAAAAACGTGTAATGAAAGGAACCTGGTAGTATTGTCATAATATTAGAATATTGTTATTTTAAAGAATACTATTAAAATTCACATCAGGTCTCCTGCCAACATTTGCAGGGGCTTGGAAGACTCGGACCTGTCAAGTTGCAAATTGTCAGGGGAGGCAAGCCAGTCGATCAAGGTAGGACATGTCACAGCAATATTCCAGATATATCATGGCAGTCTGTAAGGAATAGAGTCTGGACCAGACAATTCAGTGATTGAGCATTGATCTACACAATTGGGATACGATGACATGTATCAACCAAGTCACAAGTCGGACCACTCAATACAGTTAGTATCCTCTTACGACAAGCATTGGTAGCTGAAGACTAATTCTAACCGGGTCTTCATAATGGTCCTGACCACTGCCAGACATACTATTCAATACAACCAGTCAACCATACAAAGAGCAAACTAGAAAGTGTTTTTACTCGTAAAAACATATGTCTCCCCCCACTCCCCTAACCCCCATTCATTCCTTTACTTCACGTTAAACCCCATCTCTTCATTCCCACCCTCCATTACTAAATAACAGAGACAAAAATAGAACTCCTAGAAATTTCAAACAACTAATGGGCACCACTTCAGGACTTGGTTAATATGTTACAACTTCATGAAATAATATTGAACAGTTTTTGAGTTATGGTCCGGAAACAAAGCTTACCCCCATTCAGAGTCTATGTTCAAGTTATCTCCATGGAAACGAGAAAAAAATGAAAATGTCAAAAATCTCTAAATAGCAAAAGGCACCAATTCAGTGCTGGGTTAATGTGTATACAAAGTTTCGCGAAAAAATATTAAACGGTTTCTGAGTTATGGTCTGGAAACGGTGGGAACGCCGACGCCAACGCCAACGCCGACGCCGACGGGAACCGTGCCAAAAACAATATGTCTCCCTCCATTCTGGGGGAGACATAATAACTCTAGGACAGAGAATCCCAAGAGTCAGTGTACCTGTCACACGGGAAGTAGAACTGCCGACTGTCAACACCGGATGACTCTTTCACAACAACCTTCTCCAGGTACCAGCCCTTTCCAGCCCGGACTCCATCATGGCCGATGTAGAGCTTCTCTAGTTCTCCTAGTGACACTGCCTCCAAGTCAAACACGTCGATCTGTGTGACAGTATATAACATCACATTAATAGTCAATAACCACACTAGGTATGGTCACCTGACCAGTCAGTGATAAAAGAAATCGGGATATGGCAGAGATTTATCTGGACATGAGCGTCAGTAAAAATTCTCAAATTGGAATATTTTTTTTGCCATGTTATGATGGAAATAACTATTGCTATGGCTTTGCAGAGGTGCATTTCACTAATAACAGGACCCACAAACAAGAAAAGGCTTTAATATTTTAGGTTTACACTATTTGTTTGAATGAAATATAAAAATACCCCTGAATTTAAGAAAATAAGGATTGTTAAAAAAATCTCAATTCACCTTGCCCCTCTGGAATGCCTTCTTGTTTGATTTGGACATGTACAGTTTCCGCTTGCCGGTGTCCCCACGCTCGCCGTAGATGGTGATGGAGACATCAGCGTCAGTGTCGGCCCCCTCACCACTTCCTGTGAAGACCTCCACCTGGTACACATGCACTGAAAACAGAGGTGGTACAGGTCAGATATACTGCAGGCTGTTCCAGAATGATGGACCTTCAACATGGCTCACACAAGCTGACATGCTCATACAGGTTTTCCATATCAATGTTATCATACAAATAATATTTACAACTATCCAAACTAATAGATCATCAGGCAAAGATTTATACATTGACTGTCCTTAGAGTCTCCCTTAAGGAACCTAGACTATGTCATTGACTGAACACAGACTACGTCCTTGAAGGAAGCCAAACTACGTCTTTGAAGGAAGCCAGACTATGTCTTTGACAGAACCCAGACTATGTCTTTGATGGACGCCATATTATGTCTTTGACTTTGTTGGAACTTTAACTATGTCTTTGATGGAACCCGGACTGTCTTGGTCTAAACCCAGACAGTCTTTGACGGAACCCAGACAGTCTTTGACTTAACCCAGACAGTCTTTGACTAAACCCAGATAGTCTTTGACTAAACCCAGACAGTCTTTGACTAAACCCAGATAGTCTTTGACTAAACCCAGACAGTCTTTGACTAAACCCAGACAGTCTTTGACTAAACCCAGATAGTCTTTGACTAAACACAGACAGTCTTTGACTAAACACAGATAGTCTTTGACTAAACTCAGACAGTCTTTGACTAAACCCAGATAGTCTTTGACTAAACCCAGACAGTCTTTGACTCATCTTCCCAAGGCAAGGGAGTTAACTGACTATAAAAGTCCAGTTTCCTCCCTTGCTGAACTAGGCTAGTATTATGGAGTTACATTTTGGCTGGACTAACGAGTCTAGGCATAGTCCAATCAAAATTGTGCATTGAAATCGCATTCCGGTTCGTAAACTGTCCTGCAGATTTCGGTCGATTGCAGGATTTGCAAAGCATATGCACCCCCAACTCATTGTCAACAGATATTTTTCAAATCTTTTCATGTTTTTAATCAAGGTACTCACGCATTGCGCGATGTAAGACCCGTTTTATCACAACAAAGACCTTGATTATCGCTCAGATCATCTTGACTGGGCGTGACTGTTTTGTTTGAAGCAAATGCAAGTGATACGAGAGGTGGAATCTGATTGGTCTAAAGGGGAGGCTCAGAAGGGCCATAACTCGTAATAGCCACTGGTGGCGCTACGATAGAGCCCAGGAATTCCAGCCTAGTTCGGCAAGGGTGGAAACTGGACTTTTAAAGTCACTAAACACAGACTACTGTCTTGGACTAAACACAGACTATGTCTTGAACTACACTCCATGTCTTGACTGAACCTAGACTATGTCTTTGACTAAACCCAGACTGAATTTTGGAAGAAGTTTATACGTCAAATATAAGATATCAATAATAGGTATACAATGTTGTCGCTTCAAACTGAGACATGATTCCTACCCATATGATCATAATTACCTCTATCAAACCAACACAGCAAACTTCCTGTCTACTTCCTGTCCCTAAACATACACTTGCTTGCACACATACACTTGCTTGCACACATACGGCTGCTTGCACACATACACCTAATTGCACACATACATGCACCTGCTTGCACACATACACCTGCTTGAAGGAAACAGATGCACCACCTGGTAGAGGGCGCTGGTTCTTGGAGGTGACAGGCAGCTCCCTCCACACATCATGGTCGTCCTCGGTCCTGGACAGCCAGCGGTTGACCTTGAAGAGCAGCTCCTCCTTGGAGCTCATGTCCATCATCCGCACCTAGACACAGAGGGAGGGGGTGGTCAAGTTGTCATACAGTCAATATCGCCTGGTTTCGGCACTCTTGCATAAGTAAGTAAGTCAGGAGATAAACGTTACGTGTTTCAGATTTGCAGATGTTATAGAGTATCTTAACGCCGGAAATTTAATTTGTTTCAAATCATAAAATTTTAGGGCATCTAAAACCAGTTATCAGCACTGTGAACTCTCAACAATGAGCTAGACATGATGATATCTGGAATACAATGAAGTCATCATACAATGGGTGGTGTCATATGCTGCTGTGACCAATAATCCGGCCTGATTGGAGGAATGTCGAGCAATCATCTAAATCAAAGTTATTCAGGTGGTAGGTGACAGTTGACTCACCTTCTCCAGGTACCAGCTGCTGTCCGGCTCGACCTCCGACAGACCAACTCGGATCTTGTACAGCTGACCCAGTTTTGACTGGAACTGTTGAATAAACATGATACTATATACTGTGGCAACCCCTTGTTTTTGTTTTTTTTGTGTTTGTTTGTGTTTGTTATTTACTGCTGCACTCAACAATATTCCAGCTCTATGACCGCAGTTTGTAAATAAAAAAGTCTGAACCAGACAAGCCAGTTATTGATATTGTGAGCAACAATCAATGTAGTTTGGGTGCATTGACATGCAATCAGCCAAGCCATCGACTCTGGCCACCCGATCCACCAGGCTGCCTCTTAGAACAAGCATAGGCTGCTTATGCTTATGACAGTGATTAAGGATGTCATGGCCCAAGATGTGATGGGTATTTATATCATGGCCCATGGTCTGCTGGGATATTGATATCGTGGCAAAAGATCTGATGGGATACTGATATCATGGCCCAAGGTTTGATGGGGTGTTTATACCATGGCTCAAAATCTGCTGGGATACTTATATCATGGCCCAAGATTTGATGGGGTGTTTATACCATTGCCCAAGATCTGCTGGGATACTTATATCATGGCCAAAGATTTGATGGGGTGTTTATACCATGGCCCAAGATCTGCTGGGATACTGACATCATGGCCAAAGATTTGATGGGGTGTTTATACCATGGCCTAAGATCTGCTGGGATACTGACATAATGGCTCAAGATCTGATGGGATACTTATATCATGGCCCAAGGTTTGATGGGGTGTTTATACCATGGCCTAAGATCTCCTGGGATACTGACATCATGGCCCAAGATCTGCTTGGATACTGACATCATTGCCCAAGATCTGCTGGGATACTTATATCATGGCCCAAGTTCTAATGGGATACTCACAGCACTTCGAAGACTTGATAAGACACATGTCAGACCCAGCTGAACCTCAGATAATAAAAAATACTTACATGTACTTTGAACTGATCTGTATTTCCTGGTTTGAAGTAGTCCTCTTCCCCCTTTCCCAGTGAGATTGGTCCCACATGCCCTGATGATCCATACACGAACAGCACGACTTCATCCTTGGTGATGGCCCCATCCCTCTTTCCAGTTGTCAGCCACACTGTCCAGTCTCCCGCTGTCAACATCAACAACGGCATGACTAAATCATACTGCTACACTACTGTGCAAAACTAACATTCCCATGATCATAACAGAGGTTTCACAACATAAAACTATATCATAAACAGAGCAGAACCACACAACAACACAGATCCTTGATCAAAAACAGATTGAATAAGTCTTGGAGCCATCATATTATTTCATGGCACCCTGGGTGCCTAGCTGTCTCCTGTCATGAGAAACCCATAGGAAACTGAGAATTCTTGGTAAGTGACAAAAAAACGAATACATTCTTGAAGACATCCTGAATTGCGTATAGTGTACATACAAAATGTTTTATTGCACCAATGAAAGGTGAAAATTGTATTTGCTCTCTCTAGAAGCATATTATAAGAACATGAAAATGTTTACAAGCAGCTTGTCTCTAAGTTAGCATCTATCCCCAAGAAATCACTATATATTAAGGCCTGATACCACTGCCATTGATTTCAAAGTAGACACAATTTATGGATAACAACATCTTTAATTACTGTAAAGGCGACGTTTCGGTATAGATCCTTATACCATTGTCAAGCAAGACTTACCATTGGTTTGAGGAAACCGATACATTTACAACCCCAAAAAAGACTAAAGTACCACTCCTCCAGCTAATATAAGCCAAAATGCCTGTGTGGTCTAATGGCTATATTTGTGGTCTGAGGACACTTACAACATAACACCTCAAAAATAATAATCCTCCTGCTGTTCTGGTATGAACGTTATATGCAGCTCCAGCTTAAAGACATTACTTCTTGTTTAGGAAACACTTTCCATATGTAATGCGACTTAAAAGCAGGAAATCCCTTGATTCGAATACCTTCATAAGAAAGTTACATACACTGCGGGTTCCGATTTGGGAGTGTCTGAGTTGTGTTTATCATCCAAAACTGGCTCCCACAGTAGATATCGCTTGGGTGAGATCAAGCGATATCTACACTGTAGATATCACTGCAATGAAATTGCATCACAATGCTTTGCAGACCATTGTGACATCATTGGTTACCATGATGTCACAATCATATGACATCACTAATGGCTCTGCTACTGAAGCTGTTAGCATTACTTTTTACACTTAAGACACTGCTTATTACTGTCTACAAACTGAAAAAGTTGGAAGAATGATGTTGGATGATAAATGAAATCTCACCCTCGTGTCTTTTGATATCAAATATATCAACACTCTTGATATATTTGATATCAAAAGACACTTGGGTGAGATTCTCTTTTTAACGCCACTTTGACCAGTATTCCAGTTATAACATGGCATGTCAGTCTGTTTTAGGAGGAAAGCCCTCAGTGATGTAGTCTCAGACATTTACCACATTGGTAAATTCCACGAGCACGGGGATGGTGCTGACAACCTAGAAACATAATCAGGGTGAACTGGGATTAGAACCAACGATCATAAGCGAATTGCAGCGCCTCAGACGACTGGGCCCCCCTGCCCCCTCTGATTTTGGAAAACACATGACTAAAGTAGTAGTGAGTGAGTGAGTGAGTTGGGTTTAACGGTATTCCAGTTATATCACGGCGTGTCAGCTTAATGTGGGAGGAAAGCCCAAAGTGATGCAGGTCTCAGACGTTTACCACTTCAGTGAAACCCACGAGCACGGGTATGGTGCTGACAAACCTAGAAACATAATCGGAGTGAACATGGATTTGAACCCACAATCATAGGTTTCTGGCGTGCCCAAGGGACGCAACTCTGCACAGCGATTTGCGGCGCCTTAGACGACTGGGCCACCCGTGCCCCCGACTAAAGTAGTATCATATCAAACAGGAAGTCCCAAATATGTCTGGGTATTACTTACGCTTATGACTTTCTTCTTTCTGTTTTGTTACAGCTACTTTCTTCTCTGTAGGGAAACAAGGTCATTAGATCATTTCTACACAGGATTAATACACACAGCTCTACCATCAGGTTCTCTTCAGTAGGAGGATCAACAATACCTTCACATCAGTTTCTAGGGTGACAAACTACATTAGACAGCTGGGTTGAAGCTAAATCAGAAGGAATGCAAGCTAACCCATGTGCGACATCAAAATGTCAGCCACACTGAGAGTTCCAACAAACAGCTAAAGCTGTCAGGTTATACTGTTACATTTTAGTCAGACACTGGTCCATTTCTTACTTTTACAGGCAGTTTCTGGAAGCAATTAGGAACAAAAACATGGTTCAACAGAATCTGATCTTGGGCTAGCGCTACTGTTGCATGCCGTGATGTAGAAACTGGATTAAGCTTCAGGAAAATAAATACTAAAGATCAGATATTATACAAAAGTATTAAAAAGGAATTCAGGAATGAGAAAACTAGAAGCAGGTGTAACTAAATGTCCTGGCCACACTGTATACATGGTGCTGGTCATCAGGACTGATACACATGTTAGTAAACCAACATTCCAAGCAGTTAGTTATTCAACCCTTGGTGAGTTAATGACACTGATAATATTACACATTTGAACCTTTACCATTTATGTTATTTCTTGGATATTTCCAAAGAAACGAACAAAATGCATATCTATCAATATTGTTTCTTGTAATTCCAGAGGACCAGAGAAGATATATATCAAATAGTACACCATGATATAGGTAAGAATATAACTATAACAATTGATGCATTGTTTTCATTGTTTGTGAAGAGGCCCAGAGCAATGTGACGTCACATTAATGCATTGTCGCAAAAAAATGAAGATGACGACATCCATTGTTCATGACCTCATGACGGTCTATATGAGATCAGTCCAACAATAGAGTAACTGAGATGTCTCGACTTGAAATCAGGAAAACAACCTTTTTCTACATTTCCTAAAAAAATACTGTGGGTAATAGAGAGAAAAAATCTACTCTCAACTCGGAATTATGGATTATCTGTTTACATTAAAATACTACCTCCTGATTGGATCTGGAGTGGATAATTATTTTCCAAGTAGCCACTCATGTACTCTGGTGAGAAATTAATGGGAACACACTTTGGTAACTTGCTTTTTTCGCATAAGTATCGTTGAGCTGAAATGAACCGATGTTTATCCGACTACATTTTCCACTACTATTTTCTTGGTGTGTATGAATGAATGTCCGTGAGATAAATTTATTGTCAACAGATCCTAAGTATTCCATTATGCAAGACAAGGGAAGTGAAAGTTTCAGATTTTAGTATCGAAAAAGATTCCACCAGAGCTTCTTCCACAAAGTCTTTTTGTGAGTAGCACAATTGGGAATTTTTCGAACACACAAAAAATATTGTGAATCTTTGAAAGATTTGGGAAAAATTCCTGTCTTGTTTAGGAGTAAGATCTGTTAAATCTTGGTAAGAGTTTGATGTAACTGTGGACAAATGTTTCCATATTCTGGGTAGGTAGGCGACGTGACATTAGAAGCCACATGAAACTTTGCTGTAAAAATGGAATATCACAGACATTTATGAAAAATGGCATTAATGCCATATTAAGTTACATTATAATTAATATGTAGAGTAAAGTGCATGTTATTATTAACATTGTGCAATAATCATTAATACTGTGTGTACAGCTATCTACAATTGTCACACAATACAGTGTTATACTTGTGTGTTATACCTTATCTGTGCGATGTGTGCTACATTGTACATTGTGGTGTGTGCTACATTGTACATTGTGATGTGTGCTACATTGTACATTGCAATGTGTGCTACATTGTACATGCATAGTGCACATTAATACAAATACAGTGGCACATTATGCAATGTGTAGACAACATGGGATCTCATTCTTATAATAACCTTGCACTGAGGGGAGGTGGAGGGGCAATAATAGGTCGTTTACCCCAGGGAATATATCAGCCAGCAGAGTTTGTCTGTAGTTTAACGCCACACTCAGCAATATTCCAGCAATATAACAGCTACTTGTTAATAACTGAATCTGGACCAGACAATGAACCTGACAGTGATTGACATCATGAGCATCAATACACACAACTGTTATAAAAATTATACACAACCAACCAAGTTACCCAGCCTGGCCATTTGATCCATTTATTCACCTATCATGACAAGGATAAGTTGGTGGGGACCAGTTTTTTTACCCACAATCCCCATGGATGACTTCAGCGAAATATATATATATACTACTCAAAAGAAGTTAAAGAACGCCTGATTTTTTTATATACTACAGTTAATCTTATTCTTTATCTTCTTTTGAGTAGTAGTCATAGGGGTACCTCGCATGCAAACCTGACTGGTAAAGTGGCTCAGGGCAGCCACAGCAGTAATTAAGGCAAGATGTACAAGCTCTATCTAGCCAAAGTAAGGCTGCATCATACAAACACTTCAATATACAAGATAGAGAAGTCATGCACTTCAGAAGGTAGCCATAGATGTATATCATTCAGAAAGTAGCCAATATATCATTTCAGAGGAGGGGTAAGAGGAGTTTGAGGGTCTGGTCAGTGTATGGTGGGGACTTGACTTGCACGTGCCACTCAGAAGGAACTGACTCGACTTCTTCAATATATCAGCCATTTCTGGATTATGTTGCCTTTTCTAAACATGATCACTGATGTCATTTGTGTGGGGTTTTAGTAGATCCCCTACAGTTCCTGTTCATTGGTCAAAGCTGCTGAGGGAAATATCTTATATCAATACCCATGTATTGTGCTACCTCTGATATGATATCTCTACTCTTTGAGAGTGTCACAACTGTGTCAGATATTTGAGGCAAGTATGGCAAATTAATGATAAAGATGTCATTTCGGAACCTCCATATGTCCAAAACCAGGTAAGTAACCATGGTGACAGTATTTCACTTTCCCAGAACCATTAGCTTAATTCACTCAAACCAAACACTCATTAGTGCACAGATTTAACACATAATTGAATCCCCATGTTGTTTGGACGAGTTAAGACAGGACAAGGACGACCCCAGAACGTAGAGACAGTAGTCACGTGAAGTGCGACATTGTATAGGAAGTACAACCCTCCAACAGTAGGTCAGTGAGTTGGGACACACAAGCCTGGAGTTAGTACAAACAATAACTAAAATTTAGAATCTTTTCAAGAAATAACCATTAACTCAATTTTCTTATTTGAGGGATATTCTTGTCAAACAATGATTATAGTCAAAAACAGATAAAGCATATTTAGACATTCACATACCAGTATGCATATTCCAAATGTCCATGATACAGATAGATAACTAGTTACTGAAAAGTTACTTTATCCTAAAGAACTTTGAAATGACTAAATGACCCAAAATGCGCAGCATTGTATACCAATATACAGCTTTTTAAAATGTAATTTTGCAACGTATGCAAAATGGACAATCTTGTAAGAAGTGACTTTCATTACTTTATTTACCTGAGCTAGTCAGATCAGTTTGTATTCAGTTAGTTTCAAAATGACCTGATAATTACCTGATCACTTGGGATCAATACATGATACATTGTTTATCAGAGTTAAATATTCGTAGAAGCAGAGTTCCTTAAGGAAACTACCTCAAATGATTCATGGCAAAAGGAAAAATAAGAGAAAGTTTTGTTTAAAACATCTGTCTCTAACTCTTGGACTGGTAGGATGGCTCTTTTCGGAAAATATTAAATTTATGCTGCCTCCAGGATTCTGTGCCCGACACACACAGACCCCCTATCACACAATATGTCACCCACACACTATCTTACCCTCCGCCTCGCCATCAGGGTCGGAATCATTCTGAGCATGCCCAGCAGGTGCCTCATCGTCGTTATCAGCTTCGGACATGACACTGTTGTCAGTGTCATTGCCGTCGTCCCTATCCTGGTCGACCCGCTCTAACTGCACGCCGCCATGTTCAGATACTTCACTATGATCAGTATCATCGTCAATTATGTCATTTTCAATTTTCTCTAACTCAAAGTTCTCGTTTTCGGAAACAATGCTTGGTTCAGTATCATTAAAATCAGACTGACGACTATCAGACTGACGACTATCGGGCCTTACTTCCCCGAACTGCAAGTTTCTAGTCGCAGCCTCAAGGGCCGCAGCAACAACCTGTGAGGCATACTCAGACGACTCACGTCTCATTGCTATGGAAACAAAACATGACATCATATTCAATGTGAAGATCAGAAGTTAAGCATCTTGAATATTGTGCCTGTGTAGAATGGTAAAATGGCATCATTCTACACTCTTCTTTGTTTGTTACATGTTTTTTGGTGTTAATGTTGTTGGTAGCTTTAGATATTCTTAAAGACATGGACAACATAACTTTATAATATACATTGGCTGAACTACGTTGAATTAAACAATGACACACACAAAAGTTGAGAGAAAAAAGTTCCTTCACTGCCTAGAATAATTCTTTTCATTCATATTTACTTTGTTGTATGATAATTTTTAATTCCATTTCTATTTCTCTTTTATTTATTTCATTTTTTCATTACGAAATGATATTTTATATTTCATGATAAAATTTTCAAAATGTTTTATTGGATTAAATGATAAAATGTAAAAAACAAACAAGAAGTGAGAATAATTTCTCATTTCCTACGCGTATGACATCTTTACGTCTACACTGTGCCAGGTATTAGTAAACACTCAGCATCTAAAGTGCTAGAAGTCTCAAGTTATTTGTTGATTTTCTATGAAAGCCATAGTCTGTTTAAGATTGAAGCTTTTATGAAGTATTTACAGATGTGAAGAGCAAGTAAAGGTTATATGGACATTACTATGCAATCTACTGGGCATGATATTTTACAGACAGCATACATGTGGTGATAAAGCTCTATACAGGTCGTGAATGGAGTTAGCACAACTGTATTAGTATACACTGAAGGGTAATACATACTGTAACAATAACTTATATTTCAATATTCAAATGTTAAAATGTCTTGGCTGTCTGATCTATCCAGTTGGCAATTTGTCATCACACTGTGTTGAACAATAGTACATTGTGTCTGTCATCAGTGTTGAACAATAGTACATTGTCTGTCAGCAGTGTTGAACAATAGTACATTGTGTCTGTCATCCTGTGTTGAACAATAATACATTGTGTCTCTCAGCAGTGTTGAACAATAGTACATTGTGTCTGTCATCCTGTGTTGAACAATAATACATTATGTCTCTCAGCAGTGTTGAACAATAGAACATTGTGTCTGTTATTAGTGTTGAACAAAGGTACATTGTCTGTCAGCAGTGTTGAACAATAGTACATTGTGTCTGTCATCCTGTGTTGAACAATAATACATTGTGTCTCTCAGCAGTGTTGAACAATAGTACATTGTGTCTGTCATCCTGTGTTGAACAATAATACATTATGTCTCTCAGCAGTGTTGAACAATAGTACATTGTGTCTGTCATCTGTGTCTGTCATCCAGTGTTAACAATAATACATGGTGTCTGTCAACAGTGTTGAACAATGGTATATTGTGTCTATCATCAGTGTTGAACAATAGAATATTGTGTCAGTGATCTGTGTTGAACAATAGAACATTGTGTCTGTCATCTTGTGTTAAACAATAGAACATTGTGTCTGTCATTAGTGTTGAACAAAGATACATTGTCTGTCATCTTGTGTTGAACAATAGTATACTGTGTCTGTCATCAGTGTTGAACAGGAGAACATTGTGTCAGTCATCTTGTGTTGAACAATAGAACATTGTGTCTGTCATCAGTGTTGAACAATAAAACATTGTGTCTGTCATTAGTGTTGAACAAAGATACATTGTCTGTCATCTTGTGTTGAACAATAGAACACTGTGTCTGTCATCAGTGTTGAACAGTAGAGCATTGTGTCTGTCATCTTGTGTTGAACAATAGAACATTGTGTCTGTCATCAGTGTTGAACAATAAAACATTGTGTCTGTCATCTGTGGAAACAGTATATTGTGTCTGTCATCAGTGTTGAACAATAGAACATTGTGTCTGTCATCATTGTTGAACAATAGTGCATTGTGTCAGTCATCTGTGTTAACAACAGTACATGGTGTCTGTCTCCATTATACTTTTCAACAGTGTCATGTGTCTGAGGATGATCCATAGCACCTGTCATGATTGATGTGTCTATACATTGTGTCTGTCATCTTGTGTTGAACAATAGTACATTGTGTTTTACATCCAGTGTTGAACAATAGAACATTGTGTCTGTCATCATTGTTGAACAATAGTTCATTGTGTCAGTGATGTCTCCATTATACGTTTCAACAGTGTCATGTGTCTAAGGATGATACATAACACATGTCATGAGTCATTGTGTTTGTCACAATGTGTCAAACAATGTTCTAGTTGAGCCTGTCATCATTTTGCTGAAGTATGACACACAAAGACAGTGCAAGTAAAGGCCTAATATCAGGATACCATCTTAGAATAGTTCCTAAACTGTCCCTCAATGCATTGACACAAACACAATCACAGTTGCGGCTTAAACAATGCTGCTTAGTTACTAAAAGATTCAATGTACCGGTAATTGTTGAATAACATTCTGGCCAAAACAAACTATTTTTCAGATTTCCATCCTCTTTTGCCAACATAACTTTGGAGGCGTTTTTTTTAACATATATTTCAAATTGTTCCTTATCATGAACACATAATCATAAATGATGTAACGGTTACTGATTTCTGAATGAATAATTAATTACTACAAATCTGTGCTATTACCCACTGGCATTAAACAACAGTGGTCTTTAAACACAAAAATTTGATGTGGATCAAATCGGACAAAAATTAATGTTTATTTATTTTAGACTTATGTTCAGAAACCAAATACAAATTTTAATCACATTTTCTATGAGAAATCACTGACTTATGTCCTTCGACCTTTTGAATTCCAAACATATATTATTTGAGGGCAACATCTTAACCATCTCAAATTGCTGTCATGAAATTACAACCCAGACACTGGCCAATCCAGAGGGGGTGTCCCTCAAATGCCCACAATGACACACACAGACACAAGAGACTCACCTGTGACGATTTTGCTGGGAGCTGGCTCTGGTTAATCAGAAACAGAAAACATGGCATCAATCTCCTTTACAAGCAAACACAACTGCCTCAGTCTGATAATGTACAACTGGGCTAAAACACCTGATATTTTCTCAGGCTGGACATGTCACTCAAATAATGTTCATGTTTGATCTGGATTATTTTCATGATTATTTGTCTTTAAGCTTGATATGGATTTTTTTAATAATACTTGACCTGCAATTAGTTCTTTAGGTTTAATCTATGCTACCTTATTTTACTTTGTCTACAGTCTTTATAAACACTGAGCCTGTCCATAATAATATTTTTATGCTTGATATGAAGTTTTGTCATATCAAAATACTTTAATGAAGTCTATAGGCTTGTTCTGGGTATGAATGCTTGATCAGGAGTGTTTAATAATACTTGATCTCTAGTCTTCATGCTTGATTAAAGTAAGTATCTTACTGTAATTGCAATATCAAATTCAGTGCTTGATCATGGCTCTTCAAGCTGGTTAATATGCTTCATTAAAAGCATTTAAAAAAACTTCATGCTTGATCTAGGTCTTTATGCTTGACTGTTGGTCTCCATCATGCTTGATGCCTACATTTGATCGTAGGTCTTGAGGCTTGATCTAGGGTATTTTTACATACTTTATCAGCAGGTTTTAATCCTACTTCAATGAAAGTTTGTGTGAGTGTTTTAGGTCTTTAAGGTTAAAATGGAACCTTTTATTATACTTGGTCTGTAGTCTTCCTGAGCTTGGGTCCCTGTGCCCTTTCAATGATTATTGTTTAAACTTGATAAATAATCACAATGTTTGTGCTTGATATAAGGCATTTTGGTGTGATTCAAACCATAATGTTTTATCCAGGGTCTGAATGCTCAATCTTGGTGTTAATGTTTTATCCAGGGTCTGAATGCTCAATCAAGGTATTAATGTTTTATCCAGGGTCTGAATGCTTGATCTAGGTAATAATGTTTTATCCAGGGTCTGAATGCTCGATCTAGGTTTTAATGTTTTATCCAGGGTCTGAATGCTAGATCTAGGTAATAATGTTTTATCTAGGGTCTGAATGCTCGATCTAGGTAATAATGTTTTATCCAGGGTCTGAATGCTCGATCTAGGTAATAATGTTTTATCCAGGGTCTGAATGCTCGATCTAGGCATTAATGTTTTATCCAGGGTCTGAATGCTAGATCTAGGTAATAATGTTTTATCTTGGGTCTGAATGCTTGATCTAGATAATAATGTTTTATCTTGGGTCTGAATGCTTGATCTAGGTAATGTTTTATCCAGGGTCTGAATGCTCGATCTAGGTAATAATGTTTTATCCAGGGTCTGAATGCTTGATCTAGGCATTAATGTTTTATCCAGGGTCTGAATGCTAGATCTAGGTAATAATGTTTTATCTTGGGTCTGAATGCTTGATCTAGGTAATAATGTTTTATCCAGGGTCTGAGTGCTCGATCTAGGTAATAATGTTTTATCCAGGGTCTGAATGCTTGATCTAGGTATTAATGTTTTATCCAGGGTCTGAATGCTCGATCTAGGTAATGTTTTATCCAGGGTCTGAATGCTCGATCTAGGTATTAATGTGAATGCCCGATCTAGGTATTAATGTTTTATCTAGGGTCTGAATGCTCAATCTAGGTAATAATGTTTCATCCAGGGTCGGAATGCTCGATCTAGGTATTAATGTTTTATCCAGGATCTGAATGTTTTATCTAATATTTATGTTTTATCCAGGGTCTGAATGCTCGATCTAGGTAATAATGTTTTATCCAGGGTCTGAATGCTCGATCTAGGTATTAATGTTTTATCCAGGGTCTGAATGCTTGATCTAGGTATTGATGTTTTATCCAGGGTCTGAATGCTAGATCTAGGTAATAATGTTTTATCCAGGGTCTGAATGCTCGATCTAGGTAATAATGTTTTATCTAGGGTCTGAATGCTTGATCTAGGTAATAATGTTTTATCCAGGGTCTGATAGTTGATCTAGGTATTAATGTTATTCCAGGGTCTGAATGCTTGATCTAGGTATTAATGTTTTATCCAGGGTCTGAGTGCTCGATCTAGGAAATAATGTTTTATCTTGGGTCTGAATGCTCGATCTAGGTATAAATGTTTTATCAAGGGTTTGAATGTTTGATATAAGATCTTTGTGCTTAATTTCAGGGCTCTTCAAAGTGATCCCGGTTTCTTAATTTATGTTGGGTCTGAAAGCTTGATGCAGGTCTCCATGTTTTATCTAGGTTTTGAATGCTTGAGTGAGTGAGTGATTATTGCTTAACACCACATCAGCAATTTCACATGCACCTCATCACATGCATCTGAATGTTTGACGCAAGTCTTAATGTTTTATACAGGGTGTGTATGGTTGATCTAAGTTTTTATGCTTGAGTGCGTGAGTGATTAATGCCTCATCAGCAATTCTGAATCTCAATGATTAATGCTTTATCCCTGTCTAAATGTTTTATCTAGGGTTTGAATGCTTGATATGAGATCTTTAGGTTTTATCCGGGGTCTGAATTCCATATCAAGGTCTCTATGTTTTACATAAGGACTGACTGCTTAATGCAGGTCTTCATGCTTAATCTAGGGTCTGAATGTGTGATGTAGGTCTTTATGTTTTACACAGGGTCTTGATCCAGCACTTAATGTGTTATTTAGAGTCTATATGCCTGATGATCGAGGTCTTAATATTATATACAGGTCAAACTGCCTGATCTAGGTCTTCATAGTTTCTCTATTGTCTGAATGCTTGATGCAGGTCTTAATGTTTTATCTAGGGTCTGAATGTTTTATCTAGGTCTTTATGTCTTATCTGGGGTCCAAATGCTTGATCTTGGTTGATGTTTTACACAGCGTCCGAAAACTTTTTCTAGGTCTTTATGTTTTTTCACAGGGTCTGAATGCTCGATTCGGGTCGTAATATTTTATCTAGGATCTGAATGTTTTATCTAGGTCTTTATGTTTTATCTGGGGTCCAAATGCTTGATCTTGGTTGATGTTTTACACAGCATCCAAAAACTTTATCTAGGTCTTTATGTTTTTTCACAGAGTCTGAATGCTTGATTTGGGTCTTAATGTTTTATCTAGGGTCTGAATGCTTGATTTGGGTCTTAATGTTTTAACTTGGGTCTGAATGCTTGATTTGGGTCTTAATGTATTATCTAGGGTCTGAATGCTTGATTTGGGTCTTAATGTTTTATCTAGGGTCTGAATGCTTGATTCGGGTCTTAATGTTTTATCTAGGGTCTGAATGCTTGATTCGGGTCTTAATGTTTTATCTAGGGTCTGAATGCTTGATTCGGGTCTTAATGTTTTATCTAGGGTCTGAATGCTTGATTTGGGTCTTAATGTTTTATCAAGGGTCTGAATGCTTGATTCGGAAAAAAATGTTTTATCTAGGGTATGAATGCTTGATGCAGGTCTTAATGTTTTATCTAGGGTCTGAATGTTTTATCTAGGTCTTTATGTTTTATCTGGGGTCTAAATGCTTGATCCATATCTTAATGCTTAATCTAGGGTCTGAATGCATTATCTAGGTCTTTATATTTTACACAGGGTCTGAATACTTGATCTAGGTCTTGATGTTTCATATAGGGTCTGAATGCTTTATGCAGGTCTGAATGTTTTATCTAGGTCTTTATGTTTTACCAGGGGTCTAAATGCTTGATCCATATCTTAATGCTTAATCTAGGGTCTGAATGCATTATGTAGGTCTTTATATTTTACACAGGGTCTAAATGCTTGATCTTGGTCTTGATGTTTTACACAGCATTGTGATATTGTCAAAAGGAAACTAGATCCACAAGCAGCTACTGTATATTTCAAACATCTATAAAATGGCAATCATTTTTCAAATGCAATAGTATTGGAGGATTTTGATACATTCTTGTATTAAAAATTATTATCAAATAGAAATAAAAGCAACATTATGAAGTTTCAGCTTTGTTTTTCTGTAACAAAATACACCAGTACATTTGACTGCCATACTTCTCAGGACAAAACACAAAACAGATGTTTTTGAACAATTCTAAACTTTATTACATAAAAGATAAATTTCTGTTAATCTTGGTATATGTTGGAAACAGAAAAACAAAACTGAAATATCAATATACAACAGATAAAGCATGCACATGCAAGTACAATCATGCAAAACATTATCGTGCATTGATCATTGTATTGAAGATAGGAGGTTAGATACTGAATATACTGTATATAATCTGTGAAAGTATTAAAATTGTTTTACAAAATATTCATGCAGTGAAAAAGTTCTACCCCTGCTCTTAAACAGCTAACATAACGGTGTTCTGATTACAAAATATAATATTCATGCAGTGCAAAGAGGACTACCCCTGACTCTTAAACAACTAAAATAACTGTGTTCACATTACGAAAGGATAACATGTTACTGTAACAGTTACTGAAATTTTACACTATTTTTCACTACCTATTTCTATAATTGTAAGTATCTTAACATAAATCATTGATTGCGAATTGAGAGTTCCAATCCAAATTTTTTCTGCTATTTCCTTGAATATATAATGCATCATAAACAATGCAACAGTTTAGAATCTCACTAAAACTGGCAAGTTGAAAATATTATTAAATGTAATTAAAAAAATAAATAAAAATATTATGTAAGAAATAATTTTCTAATGATAAAAAATAACTCTTCTTATGTCTACAAAAATGATTAAATAACAAATGCTACTGAACAGAAAAAAGCTCTGACAAAAAAAATCCAATAATAATTTCACTATCAGAAAATGCTTTTTCATTTTGATTGTAAAATACTAATCAGAATTTTGAAACTTGTTCAGATCTATTACAACCTTCGTCTATCCTCTGCTCTGACGTAGCATAGATACATACAATACAACATATCAATTGTACACATAATGCATTAATAAGTTGACATCACAGCAATAACACAACATCAAAGGAAAGACAGAAAAAAACAAGACCCAGTTGTGTTAAATATTGCTGGCAAAATCTTCTTACAAAAAGCATTCTTATTATTTTCTTAATCAACAATACAACTATTACACAAAAATAGTTTGTTTAAAGACTACACATTTAATTACAGAAATCTGATTTTGCCAACATAACAACAACCATTACCTGAGATGGTAGCAAAGTGCCAGTGTTATAACCATAACCAGAGCAACCAGGTGAGACAGTGAGTAACAAACAAGGTGTTCTCCAGGTGTAACACAGGTGGATGACATACACAATGGTAACATGCAGTGTATCATACAGGTTTCCTCACAAATCTCTGAGTCCCAATAGCAAATAGTGTCAAAACTGTCATAAATTCCCATTTTTTTACTTTACTTAAATAAAAACAGTATGAAGTAGAAAGATGAAAGAAAAAAAAAAAAAATTAAAAATAATAAAAAAAATAAATAAAAAAATAAAAAAAATAAAACGTTTGTTTTGTATCAATTGTTAAATTTTCACCCCAAATCAAATCTGTAATGTTTCAAATTAAATGTTAAAACCTATATCTGAAACTCATTAACACCTTTTTTGAGTATTATGAATGACATAATATTGACATAACATAAACAAGAAACAAACACGGACATCCTGAAAAGCGTTTGTCGAAGACAAGCTGACATGCACATTCAAGACAGAATGAATTTCAACATGGACATAATTAGAGACTTGACAGTAAGAATCATCCACACAAAGCATTGGTGCTGGTTAGTGCATGCTGGGTAATGGAGCGCCACAAAGGGAGGTAACTGTTCACATACCCTTGACATGCAGAGTTCGCTCGATACGTCGGTCCTCCAAGCTAGAATCAAACCATCTGAAACCAACAAACGTAACTTAATAGACGGCCGAGTTACGGGACAAAGTGAAGGGTGGAAATAAAATCCCGAAATATATCGCGATTAATAATTAACGAAGCAGCCTGCATGTGTTCTAAACAAGCCTTCTTATGATAAGGAAGATTATTTACAGTAATGACTAAAAATGCAAAGTGCGCTTTTCAAGAAATAGATTTTGCTAGCAATCAACATCATCACTGAGTTTTGTTGACATGGTTACAATCAGGGTAACATTCAACACAAAGGTAACTGCGAGCAGATGATGGCTAGCAAAATGGATATTTTGTGAAAAGCACTTATTAAATATCAGTACACATGCAGAAATCTTCATAAACTAATCATTGCGATATTTCATGATTCTATTTCATGTGGCGAGGACAATAGCTCTGCCGTATTCTGCAATATTAAAGCAATACCTCTGTGGAGAAATGAAACTGGGTCATCAGTGTTATGCGTGAACAATACGTTTCAAAACCATCTGCTGAAACCAGAGAAACGGTTGTAAATAGTGTAGGCAACAGTGTGAGGTGCTCCCCAAGGGGATTCCGGGTGAGAATAGGTCCACGGCAACCTATGCTTGTTGTACAAGCTGTCTTAATGGATTGGTTGGTTGGGCTTGGTGGCTTTGTAGCCTGGTGGCATGGATCATTGCTCATAATATCAATCACTGGTTTGTTAGGTGCAGAGTTGATTATTTACAGGCCACCATCACACAGCTGAAATATTTCGGAGTGTGGTTTAAAAAACAAACAGACAAAGTCATTGTTGCACAGTCTGCCAGGTCCAAGCTGAGTTTAACATGTACATCACACAGGGACTATCATACTCAGCATCCAAAGTGACCAACTGATCCACAACCATGGAATCCCAGGATCAAGATGTCAACTTCAGTGTTTGCATGACCAGATTGTTTTATACATATATCTAAATACATTTTACCAGGGCTACGGTCAAACTATTACCAATCGGACATTTTACACCCAAGTCTTGAGATATATAGCGCGTATCATTGTAGGGTCGGGTAATAGCGTGGGTGGGTACCCGGGTAGTAAATTTGGACTTGTCCAAGCCCTACAGAATACTGACTCCGAGCCTGTCCTTGTTTTATCACCTTAATAATGATTGCCAGACAGAAGTACCATCTTTTGACGTCTTTAGGAGAGGCAATTTTAATTTAGTATCAAATAGTCCAAGAGATTTCAGAAGGGGTGCCATTAACTGAAACAACGCCGGAGATGTGTTCTGGTTGTAAAGTGGACGTTCTATCACATTCATCCTGGTCCTCATCGTCTCAGAGGACAAAACTGTGGCCAAGGTCAAAATCAATTTCAGTGTGAATGTCTCAAATGGATTCAGTTGTTCCAAAATTCTGTTATGTTTTGTGAACAAATGATGGTGGCAACATGGTACAGTATTCATATACCAGAGGCAAGAATACATCATACAGTGGTAGTGAGTGAGTGAGTTTGATTTTACGCTGCTTTTAGCAATATTCCAGCAATATCACGGCAGGGGACACCAGAAATGGGCTTCACACATTGTACCCATATCTGGAATCAAACCTGGGTCTTCGGTGTGACGAGTGAACGCTTTAACCACTAGGCTACCCGACCACCCCATACAGTGGTAGAAGCGATAAAAAACAAAAAATATCTACAATAGAATCTGGACATGCAGACACAACCTTTGAAAGCAGAATATTACTAGGAACGTAAGGAAGTTGTATTGTTCCATGCTTGATGACATGCATGTCAGTCTGCCATAGCATAGTCACACAGTCAACTCCTCTCCAGTCTTCTAGGGGCGGTCAGGTAGCCTAGTGGTTTAAGCTTTTTCTCATCATGCCGAAGACCTGGGTTCGATTCCCGACATTGGTACAATGTGTGAAGCCAATTTCTGGTGTCACCCGCCGTGATATTGCTGGAATATTGCTAAAAGCGGCGTAAAACCAAACTCACTCACTCACTCCAGTCTGAACAGGGATGGGGTGACAGCTCACCTGTCACAAGGAAACCTGTACTCCTCACGGGCGCCTTCACCCTCCTTGATGGCGACTTTCTCCAGGTGCCAGCCGTCCCCGGCACCAGTAGCGTTGTGGCCAATATGGATCTTGGTTAGTTTACCAAGATGTACTGCTTCAATTTCAAACGTGTCCATCTGCAAGAAAAATGAACAAGTGTGTTGCAAATAATGAAGACACTTGGCAGCGCTGATTTATCTAAAATATCAGAAAGCATTAGGGTACAAAAATTACCTCACAGCTGTGTGTGAGAGAGCGATTTGGGGTTTTAGTGTCGCTTTGAACAGTATTCCACTTATATCACAGCTTGTCAGCTTAATGTGAGAGGAAAGCCCTAAGTGACACAGGTCTCAGACATACCGTATTCGACGTAATAAGCGCCCAGGGAACTCTCAAAATTAGAAATAGGGGTTCTTATTAGAATATTATTTTGGTGAAAAAAACAGAGTTGAAAAATAAATTTCGTGGTTTATGCTGACAGCCTGAAATGTTTATATACGAGAGATACATTTTTCCAGAATTTAATTGCCCATAATTAAGGGTGCATATAACACCTGAGTGCGTATTTTACGCGAATAAATAAGTCTTTTTTACATCGATCAATCGGAAGGGGTGCTAATTGGGATTGTTCACAAGCCAATGTATTAGTAAATACCGCCGTAGGCGCTTATTAGAGCGGGGCGCTTATTACGTCGAATACGGTATTACCATTTAGTGAAACCCACAAGGTATGGTGCTGACAAACTTAGAAACATAATTTGGGCGAACCTGATTCAACCTACAACTATACGTTCTGGTGCGCCCAAGGGACGCAACTCTGAAACAAATGAACTGCAGTGTCTTAGACAACCAGGGTGCCCCCTCAGAATTCCTAATCACTGTTGTACACTGTTGTACACTGTTGTACACTGTTGTTGATTTAGTCAGACCTACAGCTCATACTGACCTGTCCTGCCCGGAACTTGTTTCTGTTGTTTGACAGGCGCAGCACTCTCTTTCCTGTGTCCCCTCGTTCACCAAAGATGGTGAGATGAACTTCGGCATCAGTAGCACTATTTCTCTCCGTCCCGGTCGTCACTTCCACAAGGTAGGACAACACTGGAATACAATCATCATAATCCTGAGCCAGGTGTGTGGACTGGGACATAGAGCATATGGCATTGTAACTAAGGATCAGGATGCATTGCTTGTATTCTCAGCTCCCTGGGGATCATACACTGTCCATCGTGAAGGAATTACAATATAATTAGATACATCAAACCTAACTCCGTTCGTCAACATTATTAAGAGAGTATTAAGTATAAGAGAACAGGATTTATGTCACAATTTTGATCGGACACATTGAACAGATAGATGTGTCCAGTCCAACCCTGACCTTCAGGTACATCGCAGATGAAGGTGCAGATGTTTGCTTGTTTGCACTGTGTGTGAATGTTATGGCATATGTATTTCGTATAAAGAATTTTTTCTCTAAACACATGTCTTGCTTAAATTCAAAGGCAAGCACCGTCACATACCTGCTATTAAGACATGCACAGCAGTACTGAGAAATATTGCGTTCCCTGCCTGGAACACGTATATGTGAATGTGTAGCTAAATGCAGTGCAGCCAGTATCTTATTCAGCCTGGTTCATGGCTGTCTTTGCACAGCGACAGCTTCATGAAGTGCATGTCTGATTTCTGTGTGGTTTATTTCAGTTGCCCTTCTTTTAGCATATGTCTTTGGGAAACTGTTGTGTGTACTACCCAAAACAAGGTAGCTATAAAAGAACAATACCTAAACTGACTGAAATCACTAAACTGACAGGTGTCTCGACACGTACAGATACAGGACACAAACTCCTCTCACCTGGTAGCACATCCTGGCCTGGCCTCACAACTGGCATTTCACGCATGATTTCCTCATCGTCCTGTCTCCGCGACAACCATCGGTTGAACTGGAACTTGAGCATCTCCTTAGTTTTGAGGTCCTGCATCTTGACCTCTCTCACCTTCCATGATGGCACCTTGGTGGGGTTCTTGGGAATCAACTCCAGGCGGATCTTGTACAACTTGCCACACTTGTGGAAGTTGGACTGAAACAGGACGTGTAATAGTTGTTTTAAGAAAGGTGCAGGTGCTACTGTGGAGCAGGACATACTTACTCTTTTCGTGAACACCCGATGTCATCACTACTTTTCAGTGATCCATTCATAATTTCACTACTAATTTGCTGTTTACACCCAATGGAATCTGTTTTAGGCAGATAATCAAGACTAATCAGGCCATATACCACGAGTCTTGCTCTGTAAATTGTAGCTACATGGACAGCAAACAGGTATATTTACAGTCAGATCATGGTGGCCACAAGCTACAGACAACTGATAAGTGTGATAAACTGAGATCCCTACTAGCTGGGGTTTGATGACACACTAAAGTAGCCAGGTCACTGGCAAAATCATTCCCAATCAAGTATGATCCATATTCTGTGACCATTTGATCTCCATTTCAGCTGCCGTTTCCAACCAGGCAATAAAATCTTGCCTCAAGTTCCAAACAGAGTTGAGTGAACTGCAAATTACGTTTACCGTGTTACAGGAAGGAAGAAGATCTACATCTTACCTTGAACTCATCATTGCTGCCAGTCTGGAAGAGGGGTCCATTCTGGGGAGGGCCTGCGAGGATGATGGCACCTGAACAGCCCTTGTCACCATACGCAACAATTGCCACTTCACCATTGTCCAGGGTCTCCGAGGTGCTGACAATGATCTTCCAGTCCCCATCTGGTAACAGCCAGCACTTGTATTTGACACAGCGAAAGGAAATCTCCAATACTGATTGTTGTAGTCTGTAGATCTATAAACTGTAGCGCTTGCAAATGTAACTTGTATATGTCAGTGGCCTTTATATTGAATAAATTGTCTGTCTGTCTGTCTGTCTATAGTTCATACAGATCTTGGGGGAGGGTACACAAAAATCTTCCTATTACTTTTCAAGGGTTAATTATGACCTCTGTTGCATCAATTTAGCGTAAGTTTTGTTTACTGCCATTTTGATTTGTTGCCACCACTTTGAACATTATTTCAGTTATTGTGTCAGCTTTTGGTGAGAAGAAAGCTCAAAATGATTCAGATGTAAGGCAAAGTTTACAAAAGATATGATCAAGGTTTGTTGGTGACAAATTGACTGCAACTGACGAGGTTCTAGTCACATGGACAAAGAGGTAAAATGTTCAGAAATAATTTGTCTTCTGCAAATCTGTACCTAGCTAACCATACTTCCTTCTTTCTCCGACCTAGTGGACTTGGGGTGGGGGTAGGGGTGGACAACATCTCAGGTTTCTCACCTTCTTTCTCCCCGACCTAAGGGACCTTGGGGAACAGGGCAAGGCTAGTGGGGTGGGGGTAGGGGGTGGACAACATCTCAGGTTTCTCACCTTCCTTCTCCGACCTAGGGGACCTTGGGGGACTTAGGGCAAGGCTGGTGGGTAGGGGGTGGGGGTAGGGGGTGGACAACATCTCAGGTTTCTCACCTTCCTTCTCCGACCTAGGGGACCTTGGGGGACTTAGGGCAAGGCTGGTGGGTAGGGGGTGGGGGTAGGGGGTGGACAACATCTCAGGTTTCTCACCTTCCTTCTCCGACCTAGGGGACCTTGGGGGACTTAAGGCAAGGCTGGTGGGGTGGGAGTGGGGGTAGGGGGTGGACAACATCTCAGGTTTCTCACCTTCCTTCTCCGACCTAGGGGACCTTGGTGACCTCGGGGACTTCGGGGACCTCGGGGACCTGTGGCGAGGGCGATGGTCCTCCTCTGGTGAAGGCGATCTCACAGGACGCCGGGATGTACCTCGCTGTTTTGGAACACCAACTGCCACAAGAATCATATATGATACACACATTCACTATGTTCAACAGCTCTGAAATATGTCATAATCCACCTTGGGGGGAAACTATTCGTTTCTGGCTACCTTCTAGAAATACAAATTGAAAAATGGTTAAATTCTAATAAATCAGGCAACTGCCATCTGCCAAGGTGTGATTAGTAGCTCAGTGGTAAGTGTGTTTTCTCTTCAGCCCTGAGACCGGGTTCCATTCCAAACATGGATATTAGTCTAATTCGTACTGTTCCTGTTGTGATACTGGTGTATTACTTTGAAAGCCAATCTCCTCATCATACAAGGCCTGAAGTGGCATCCATTTTCGAGAATTCATTGATAACAGGTTAAGACCCTAACAACTCATTCCTAACATAATGAACCCAACAACAGCTTCCCAGTACTTACACTCCACAACCTCCGGGTACAGCCAGATGTTCTGCACCCCTGTGTCGACGGTGGGATGGATCCGGCCTTGAGTGGTCACCCCTACATACAGCCCCCGGCTTATTGCTGACTGCAGAACCACGTAGCCCTTGTCTTGGTGTTTGGCCACGATGAAGTGACAAAGGTCATCTTTCCTACCCTGGATATGGATATTGAAAGACATGTATAAATGACAAAGTAAGTGAGTGAGTTGGGTTTATTGCTGCTTTTAACAGTATTCCAGTTATATCGAGGCAAGTCAGCTTTATGTGGGAGGAAAGCCCGAAGTGATGCAGGTCTGAGATGTTTACAACTTCGGTGAAACCAGTGAGCATGGGTATGGTGCTGACAAATCTAGAAACATAATCGGGGCGAACCGGGATTCGAACCCACAATCGAAGGTTTCTGGCATGCCCCAGGGACGTAACTCTGCACAGCGTATTGCGGCGCCTTAGACGACTGGGCCACCCGTGCACCCTTTAAATGACAAAGATCTACACCACTGCATTAGCACAACAGTGGCACCAGGATGTAATGTAGGAAGATCTTGGTGTTGATAGCCAGATCACTAACAAACATATTCTTCGTTCTCAGGACAACCTGATTCTGTAAAACACCCCTGCAATATAATCATATACCAGTATTTGTTTTCAGTCAAAGATTGTAATTCCACATGTTTTTTTTAATTCTCCAAATATTTTTCAAAACCAAATACGCAAATAGCATTATTTTCCAACATATTTTTGATTACATCCTTTATCATAGGTGAACAAAATTTATCCTTTTTATAGGATCTATCTAAGATTGCCATTTGTGACACTCACAAAACAGTCTATCTTGCCGTCCTTGAAGCGGAGGAAGTTCCCCGGGTAGATCATGCTCTCGAACATCCGCACACCGTCCTCGGACACCTTGTGGACTCGGAAGTGGGCCGCTCTGTTACACTTGCCGGTCCCGAACACAGACTTGTCCTGGTCCACGTTGACGGCCTGAGTGGGAGAGGTGCGGAACAACACGATGCCTCGGTCACGGAACATTCCCTGTGTGCAGATGATAGATACTCACTAGTTAGATCCCACGTCTAAAATTTTGATTTTTTGGATTCGGAATTTCGGAAAGACAAGTTCGGGCTTCGAAACTCAAAAAGTCTTTTTTGCACTGACTTTTTGAACAACCTTTCACATACTTTGACTGACCAATGAAATGACTAACAGAAAGTCAACATTAGTCAAAAAGGAAAGCAGCAGCATTTCATTGGTCGGTCAAAGGTCAAAGGTCGTTCTGACGTGAATTGAAATGGGATGTCCCCAGATGTTTGTTTAGTGGTAGCGAGAACTAAGATCTGATTATAATGAAATTGGAGTGTTTCGAACATATGACCTGACTGACATCCTTGTGATTGGTTTGCATGTACTCAATCACTGACAGGCTACATTGACATAGCAAAAACACTGCTGACTGCTGTGTGAGACTACATTCAGTAATACATGTTGTGCTCTTTACAAAGGAGTCATAATAGAATTTGTATTGCAATATATTGCGATACAGGTATCGGTATTGTGAAATGTATTGCAATATATTGGGAGATGATGTGTTTGACAGTGATCGACACTGATTGTATATAAATGCAGAACCTATTTTCTAGATACTAAAGTAAATAAAGTCACTGCCATTTTGTAGTCATGGATACAGGAAAGCTAATGTGAGAGAAAAATCACTTCCGTATTTCTGCCATTTCGTCAATTTTGAAGGGATATATCATTTCTGAATGAATATTTCTGTAGCTTTTAGATCGAACCAACGCAAAAAATAATGAATCTTGTTATATTTTCTTACCCAGCATACAGAAATATAGATGAATATTGCAATACATATCATTTGAAAAGCATATTGTAGTATACCAATAATACTGTACAGTCGTACAATATACATCATGGTCTGTTCAGGATATTAGTGATGTATTGCATGGCCTGTAGTAAGGTCTACAGCAGACACACCAATGGTACAGAAAGTGAACAATCATGCCATTGAGCAGATACACATAAAAGTCTCCAAACCTTGCAGTAGACGCTGAACTTCTGACTGGGGTCGTAGTCCAGGATTCCTCGTACCTCACCAGGGCGACCGTTGTTACCGATGGTGACAAACTGCAGGGGGTTTTTCAGGGCCTCGAGGATCACTGATTGGTCAGACTGGACATGCAGTTTGAACTCACACAGAGACCCTCCCTTTCCCTGGAATAATTAAAACATGACCAATATGTAAATCCCAACTCACTAGCTCAAACATATAGAAAAGTCAGGTCCAAACAACTTTTCCTCTTGGCGGCCATTAACAGTCATACATCTCACAATGTTGAAGGTGGTGGCATTAGGTGGAAGTGATATTCATTTATAATGGCTGTAATATGATTTGAAGGATGCCATAAGTTATCAACTTGTCCACTAAAATATCAAATCAATTCTTATTAAATATGGATATGTATCATATCATAAGCGTTGTCTCGCCAAATGTACCGCCCTCCATCATGGCTCCCCTACTTCAGATACCTGTTGCTATGAAACCAACTTACGTGCCCGAGCAGACGGCCATTCTCGATGGCCAGGTGGAAGCTGGGATTGTTCTGATTGCTGAACACGCTCACCATGTTCTTCTTCTTGAGCACGCTGAACACACCTGAACAGTGAGGTGAAGGGTCAGCATGTCCAGTAAACTGCTCAACATGTCGCTACCAACTCAAGTGTCAAGCCAACTGAGGCCAGCTGACACTCGCTAAACATAAATCTACAGTACCGTATATGACCGCGTATAAGCCGAATTTTGAGGACCAGAAAAAAGATTCTGTAGAAAGGGGTCGGCTTATCCACGGGATACACTTTCATGATAGTATTTTTCAGATCGTGATCTGTCAGAAACATCGCCTGAATGACGGTCCGATAGATTACAACTTCCCGAAAGTTTGGAAGTTGCCACAACTAGAGCCATTATTGTTATAAATTATCAATAAAGTTATTATTATACACCAATGTTGTCATTATTAAAAAAATGTTATGCATGTTACTACTTCCGATAATAAGTTTTCAATTGAATGTTCAAAGTTTATCGTTCTTCGTCAACTCCACAATCTTTACATGTAACAATATACGTAATTCACAGCTATAATATATAATCCCCAGATAAAATCGCCAATAGCTATTACGTATGTTTTGCAAAGTTCATAAATTGATAGTGAACAAGTGTCTACCTTTATTGAATGGGGCAAATAAACAACTGTATTGGCGAGTTATTCCGTTCGCCATTTGCAAAAACATGTGATCAGCTGTTTCCTGTGACGTCACAAACGGTGACCACTGTGATTGCTTCCTGTTGTTTAAAGCAACACGGTACACAAGGAAATCAGCATTGATAATAACGGGCCGATTGCTATTGTCATGTTGTTTACACAAACATTTTCAAGTTGTGGGTGCTTAGCGATCGTGTTGGGAGTAGGGGCTTAATTCCTTTGTTTTCGAGAGATTAGTTTAATAAACTGGAAATGCCTGTGAGTAAGTGATGGTCATTCAATGTGTTCATAGTATGATAGTTTATTTAATTCAATTGGATTAACATACAATAGTGGTGTAAAGGGGGGTTATAAAAGTTGGTATATTTTTACTGACTGACATTTTCATCATGAGTTTTAAACGAAAACGCCATGCTTACGATGCTGAATTCAAACTGCGAGTTTTCGCTCCAGCTGATATATTTTCTCACGGGTTCAGAATTCTATATACACCGATTCACAAAATGGCGCATGGTTGTTGATGGCAACTATAACGATCATTATGAGATTAAAAAAAACCACGAGAAACAGCTTCCCACATTATGAAAGTGGATGACTGGTTTGTTAAATCTTTATTAGAAATAATAATGACTTTTTCAATATAATTACAACGTTTTTCATCTTATATTTTTGAATATCTGCGAGTACCGGCACATGTCTTGCAGTCCGACTTCGCAGTGTTTTTTGTCTTTCAATTCCTGATTCGGCTTATCTGCGGGTCATATCATTTTCTTTCGTATTTCAATGGTCAAATTAACACCTCGGCTTATCTACGGGGTCGGCTTATCCGCGGTCATATACGGTAAATAAAGAAGTTGTCGTCTATAAATTGTCTCTACTCTGTCATCCATCAACTTCGAAGTTATGCCTATCAAACAACTTAGCTCTAAGGCATGTTAATTATCTCAAGTTTTAAATCTAGGAGTGTTTTTACTGTTCCAAATCTTGTTGACCTGTTGTGACTCCAGAGACAAAATAGATAAAATCCTTTTTACCAACCAATTGGCTTACTATAGAAAGCTGTCTAACATCCCAAGCATACCTGAATCACACAGTGTTTTGCAACTCTATATCAGAACAGAGTCACAATACATGAGAATGTTGGAGCACTCACCAGCTCGATCCTTAGGTTCACCAAGACCATCCACTGTGCCATCAGGTTTTATCCTCAGAGCTTTCCCTGAAGCGTGAGAGAAGAGCATCACCTGGTTCCGGTTTTCAAACTTCCACTTCTCAAACTCCCACTGAAAATACACATTCACCGTACCCATGAATCCAAAGTAATGGTTCATGCTGATTCCCTGACTAGTTACACTGTGCTACAAACTAGGGCACAGCAAACCCAACCTGCAACAAGATCCCCAAAGATGCTGCTGCTGCTGGCACAGTGATAATACTGATACAGTAACCTCAAGGGCTGGATGGGTAACTCGGGTACCAGGGTCAGATGGGACCTGAGTAGGACCTGAGTACCCACAGTACTACCAAGACCCGTGGTTAGTCACATGATAAATTGTTTAATGACAAAACCCCACATCTCCCAATGTATTTGTGAAAGAGGAGGGCTGATAACAGCTGCAGCATCACTTTGTCGAACAGGATCAGGATCTGTACTACAAATGTGTGCTCCATATAGCTCTTGATGAAGCTGTTTGATTGTGCGAGGTTGTTCCCGGTATTGGACACCTTCGCCCAAATGCAACGGTCCCCTACAGTAGTGTGAGCCTGTAATTGGGGTCATAGATGGTGACACGTGATCCGATTTCCATTGTAATAAATAACGTTGTTCTCTGTCAAGTAAACGTCTTCTGTTTGTACCTCTGTGTTGCACGTTATGTGGGCCTGAAGACCTTACCACCGGCATTCTAAAAGTTGCTGAGTAAATAAAAAAACCATTCAACTTTATGGATAAGAACTTTTTTTTAGCATAGAGCAACATTTCCATGCAGGTTCTAACACTGTTATCAAACTAGAATACGCGGCTTAAAAACGGTGTGAGAACCTACATCGCAACGTCGTTACATGCAATAAACCACAAGTTGTTCTCAATAAAGTTGTATGATCATTAATTAGCTCTAAATGTGCTTCATCAAACAAACGACATACGTTTCTCTTTTCCAGGATGTCGTCCGTGTAATCATTCTGGACTCGCAGCTCACGAACGATCTTCCCATCATCCTCTCCTTCATCCAGCCACCTGCAGACACATGGAAAACACATGACACATACGGAGGCAATAAGAATGGGCTTCACACGTTGACATGTGACACTCTAAATGGTTGACCAATCAGATGGTACTTTGCTTACATGTCTGCCTGATAGGATGGCTGCAACCCATAGCCCATCGCAAGTTGGGGTTTGAGGATTGACGTAAATGGTTCATAGTCAATAGTGGACATTGAGAGTGAATGTTGTTTTGTACGCTGCCGTCAGCACTGTGGTGGACTGACTAACCGAGTGAGGGACAGAATTGACTGATATCATGAGCAACACATCACACTGCTATCATGACAAACAATGTGCCCACTGATCCTCAGCAGGGGCCTGAGTCTTACAACACACATTGTACTGGGGGGCTATTCTGTGCCAGACTATATAGCACACATTGTAGCACAAGACTTACTTGTTACAATGGAAGGTGAAGATCGCTTGTTTCGATGCAGGCTCTCGGATGACGATACGCTCCAGGAACCAACCAGACCCTGAAATAGAACATATGCATGTTTATAACACAAGGTGACACCAAACCAGTATTCTGACTACAATTATGTAACTTTGTCACGTTTTAGTGGCAAGCATCCCTTTTAGTTCTGATTGATACACTGTAATTCTTTGGGCTTATTTTAATATTAATCTAGGAAAACAGGGGGGTGTTTGATACAAAGACAATTCTATAAATTTAATTATTCAAATCAAAACTTAGGATTGTGCAACCTTAACAGAGTTGAAGAAGTGAAAGTAAATTTGGCTTGTGATGTCAATCACTGTGTTGTCTGTTCAAACACGATTATTTACAGACCACTGTCATAAAGCTGGAATATTGTTGATTGTGGCGTTAAACAAACAAAAATCCTTTGAGAATGGACATAATATATATAGGGATTAAACATGAGATTCAGGTTGTGAATCACAACCTAAAGTCTCCTAGAAATTAGCCTAATACACATTGAGAAAAAAACCAGTTTGTGTTTGTGAGATTAATTCACAATAAAACCATCTTAAACCAGAAATGATTTACATCTGGAACTGACCTGGTCCTGTGGCATCATGGCCGACAATGATCCGCTTTAAGTGCCCGAGGGAAACCGCTTCCACTTCGAAAGAATCCGTCTACAATACACAACACACACTACTTTCCAAACCATAAAGTTATATTCTGACCTATCTAGTGGCTTTTACGCTATCCCATGCCAGAGTTATCTCCCTTCGTATTCCACACAAGGTTTATTTGCATCCATTCAATCGTTACATTGTATGTTGTGTATGTTTTTAGATTCTATGAGATTGTGATGTAATTGTGTGACTTGAGGAGGCAGTTAGTTTTGGGGAATGGTCGCGAGAGATATTTCGTGTTTACAGAGGAATGAACCGATGGTGTCTGTGTGTGTGTGCTATTGTCAGTTGTGACTGTTGATTTCACTGCAGACTTATCTACTTTGAATACATGTACAGATTATTTCATCCTGTGTTCCCGGTGTAATTTCCACAACATGTAGTCCAATATTGTCTCATTGTGAAATATGTAAATATTCATGCTAGCTGACATTGTAAATTTTGATAGGGACCATATATATATTTGGGAGGGTGGTCTGACCGAAAGAACAAAACCCGCAAACAGATACTGGTGTGACATGTTAACCTATTCTGCATCTATGCATCTGTCCTAACAGGCCAACCAGCCCTTGTTTAGCCCATCGACATCACAGATCCCATCGATACCTGTTAAACCTAACTGCCCCTTTAAAATACACCTGTCTCTGCAGAACCTACATTCCCATTGCAAAGCCCATAACCCTTGTAGAACCCACCTGGTAGTACTAGAAAACGTAACTGTACCTCATGAAACCAACCTCCCCATGTAATGTAGAACCCATAAGCCCCCTTTTATAACACCTGTACCTCATTTAACCAACCTTCCACCTGATAGAACCCATTAGCCCCCTGTATAACACCTGTACCTCATTTAACCAACCTTCCACCTGATAGAACCCATTAGCCCCCTGTATAACACCTGTACCTCATTTAACCAACCTTCCACCTGATAGAACCCATTAGCCCCCTGTATAACACCTGTACCTCATTTAACCAACCTTCCACCTGATAGAACCCATTGGCCCCCTGTATAACACCTGTACCTCATTTAACCAACCTTCCACCTGATAGAACCCATTAGCCCCCTGTATAACACCAGTACCACATGAAACCAATCTTCCCCTTGTAGAACCCATTAGCCCTCTGTATAACACCTGCACATCATGAAACCAACCTTCTTCTTGTAGAACTCATTAGCCCTCTGTATAACACCTGCACATCATGAAACCAACCTTCTTCTTGTAGAACCCATTAGCCCCCTGTATAACACCTGTACCTCATTTAACCAACCTTTCACCTTATAGAACCCATTAACTCCCTGTATAACACCTGCACCTCGTGAAACCAATCTTCTTGCAGAACTCATCAGCCCCCTCTATAACACCTGTACCTCAGGAAACCAACCTCCCCCTTGCAGAACCCACCTGGCCCTTATTGAAACACCTCTGTCTGTTCTCAGAGTACAGCTGACGAACTCCTGTGTCTCCCCGATCTCCATATATGGTCAGGTATACATTTGCATCAGTCCCAGCATTCCACAAGTTTCCTGTTGTCACATCCACCTGATACTTCAGCACTACACGGAAAACAGTAGAGGAACAAGTGACAATTGCATAATTACATAAGCAATTGAGTGAAAACCTTGAAAAATACAAGCTACACAATGTGATATATGACTCTTATTATTTGTTCAGCTGTAAAATGAAAGATAGAGTATTTCTTTGCTTAGGCAGAAGCTATATCAATTTCATGTCAAGTCAGCATAAATTCTATTCTAGTTGGCAGTATCTTAATCATGTTTTTGTCAAGTCAGCATTATTTTAATACTTAGTCATCGTTATGTAGGCTATATCCCATCAAAATAAGTCTGGTATGGAATGGATCAGGACTGGAGGCATTAAGTTACAACATTGATCTGTGCCAACTAGATGCCATGACAAATGAGACATGTCAGGTGCCAGTTTAGTGTGGGCGTCCCCAGGGGTAAGGTCAGCTTACATGGAAGGCAAGGCTCCCCCTGCCGTGAGACTGGCAGCTCCCTGCACGTTTCGTGGTCATCCTCGTCCCTCGCCAACCACCGCCTGCACGGAAACACAAGCTCCTCCCCTGCATCAATGTCCTTCATGCGCACCTACGTAGGCACAACATCAATTTCAATTATTAATTGCAAGAAAGTGATGGAGTGAATGTGTGTTGAAGTCAGTAATGTTCTAGTTATGCTGCTTTGTAAAGTAGTCCAGCTTGGAACAGTCAATGACAAGTACTAATCAATGACAAGTACGAGTCAATGGCAAGTACGAGTCAATGACAGGTACTAATCACTGACAAGTACTAGTCAATGACAAGTACTAATCAATGACAAGTACGAGTCAATGGCAAGTACAAGTCAATGACAGGAACTAATCACTGACAAGTACTAGTCAATGACAAGTACTAATCAATGGCAAGTACGAGTCAATGACAGGTACTAATCACTGACAAGTACGACACAATGACAAGTATGAGCCAATGACAAGTACTAATCACTGACAAGTGCTAGTCAATGAATAGTACTAATCACTGACAAGTATGAGTCAATGACAGGTACTAGTCAATGGCAAGTACTAATCAATGACAAATACTAAGCAATGGCAAAAACAGTTATGCTTGTCAAGGTGGTGACTAATGGGATCAGGTGGTCAGGCTCTCTGACTTGCATGATGCACGTTATCGTATCCCAATTGCGTGGATCGATGCTCGTAATGTAAATCTATGGATTATCTAGTCCGGTCTTGATTATTTACAGACCGCCATCATATAACTGGAATATTGCTGAGTGTGGCATTAAACAACATGAAACAAACAAACAAACAATGGCAAAAACTAGTCAATTACAATGCAAGTAGTAATCAAAGGCAAGTACTAGTGATGACAGGTACCAGTCAATGACATGTAATATTTAATGACAAGTACTAGTCAATGACAAGTACTAATCAGTGACATATACTATCGATTATAAATACAGTTCAGTGACAAACACTATTCTGTGACAAGCATGACAAGTATACCATTCAGTTATAAGGTAATCAGGACCTCATCCTAAACCAGAATCCATACCAGCGACATGACTGGAAAACCATTTCTTTTACTCTGCTTAACAAAATCTACAAATGTGTAATTTTATCACACAGACCATGACATGTCAGTAAAAAAGAAAGTTATTCATTATTCATAGGAAAGAAAGCCTGAGAACCAAGAAAATACATAGGCAGCCTTTGGGTCTGGAAGGGAGGCATTTATTTTTTGTTATTCATGATATAAAGTTTAATATATAATACTAGTGAAACATAACCTATAAAAATACAGTTTGTGTCAAGTGATAGCATAAACAAGGGCAATGTTCAATGACTCACTTCATCACAGAGCCAGCCAGGACAGTCCCCCGTGTTGTCGTGGGCGATCCGTATCTTGTAAATCTCACCGATACTTCCCACACTGATCTGAAACACATGAAATATTCACTCACTTTCTTTCCCAAAAGAGAAACAATATTATAAAATAGTCATTCAAACACAAATCAATAAAGCCCACTTAAATCCAGCATTTTGTTCAAGGACACTGTGTTTGGAAATGAGAAATTTTACAGGTAACACTGGGTCATGGTCTCATTAATATTTGCTATATAATGAATATTACTAACAAATGTATGACATGTAAATCGTCAGCTCAGATGGTATAACTTGGTCATAAAAAATAAGACATACATTTGGGCAAAAATGGACATCTTATAATTAAATATAAAATGCTTTTGAATTTGGTCTTTTCACAGAGGGTCATGAAAAAAATGTACAAGGACATGGGGAGGGTCATCCAAAAGTATGAATAGTATGAGGGGAGGGTCATTATTTTCCGTACATTTGAGCTTAAAAAACCTCATAACAGCCATTTGCATGGCTTAAATACATCGAGGGCTTGCTAAGATGAAGATTTGTGCCAAACTCTTGTTCAGAAGAGCCATTTTGATTGGTTGTTGATTTCTCGATCAAGAGTTAGAGAGATTCTGTGCTACATTAGTGATAAGAGAAATGGAGACGGTGTCATGGGTGTAGATGTCATGGATGTAGATGTCATGGTGTAGATGTCATGGGTGTAGATGTCATGGGTGTAGATGTCATGGGTGAAGATGTCATGGTGTAGATGTCATGGTGTAGATGTCATGGTTTAGATGTCAAGGTTGTGGGTGTCATGGGTGTAGATGTCATGGGTGTAGATGTCATGATGTAGATGTAATGGGTGTAGATGTCATGGGTGTAGATGTCATTGGTGTAGATGTCATGGGTGTAGATGTCATGGGTGTGGATGTCATGGTGTAGATGTCATGGGTGTAGATGTCATGGGTGTGGATGTCATGGGTGTAGATGTCATGGGTGTAGATGTCATGGGGTAGATGTCATGGTGTAGATGTCATGTCATAGATGTCATGGGTGTAGATGTCATGGGTGTAGATGTCATGGTGTAGATGTCATGGCATAGATGTCATGGGTGTAGATGTCATGTCCTAAGAAAATTCCTTCAGCTTTGGCCTAGCCACAAATTCCAATTAAAACATATTGCTACAGCTGAGCTGAAATCAATAGAAACAGCCTTCTGCACTGCTACTTCAATCACATCACCTAGAGGTTAGACATTAAAGTTAAAACCTTTCTCCATTTTTTAAATATTAATGGCAGTCTTTAGGAGTATATCAGTGTCTGTGTCCTGAAACAATGAATAGTTGAAGAGAAGAAATGCCTGAACTTTTAACATTTCTGTGTCTACAATAAAACAAAATTACATAATTTTAATTTGAATCACTAGCGTTCAATGATTTTTATACTTAAAAACCGCTCCATCTCACAGTTACATACACTTTAAGGAACCGTGTTTTCATGTTGTGATAATTTGTTAACCTCACAAGCCCCTACAAGAAATGACCAGTACTACAACATGTCAGCTTGATGTGGGAGGTAGGATAAAGACCAAAGTGATGTAAGGATTCGAGATTTACCACTTAGTTGAAAGTCAAGAGCATGAATATGGTGCTGACAAACCCATGATCATAACTGGGGAGACTCTGGGATTTGAACCCACTATTAGTGGATCATGGCATAATTTAAAGGGGCTCTCCACACCGAAGTCCAGCACCTTCTATTCATTTTAAGTAATAAGGATCAAGAACATGTAATCTCAACAAGCCTAGACACAGGGATTTGAACCCATCATCATAGGTTTCTGGTACATCTAAGGGAGGCAACGCTGCACAGTAAACTGCAGCACCTTAGGCAACTGGTCCACCAAGCCCTCTAGAGGAATAGAAAGAGTGGAAACAAATACCTTATAGACAAACGAAAAATGTATTTTTGTCCTTTGGATTATGTCCAGATAAAATTAAGTTCATATAGAGTGAGTGAGAATGGCTTTAAGCCGCTTTTAGAAATATTCCAGCAATATCACGGCAGGGGAACACCAGAAATGGGCTTCACACGTTGTACCCATCTCGGGATTTGAACCCAGGTCTTCGGTGTGACGAGCTAACACTTTAATTACAAGGATACTCGACCGCCCCAAGGTCATCCAGAACACAACATTCTAGTTATTGACTTCAACATAAAACAGAAGCAGTTCCGAGGACAAATTCATTATCAAGAAAGAAAATGTTCTATTGGGGCAATAAAACATATAAATCTTGACAGACATATAGCAAAATCAAGTCAACATTCTCATAAACCACGAAAGCCTAAGGACCCCCCAAATTATTTGTTTCAATGGTATGGAATTGCTAAAGCTTGATATCATGTTACCACACTATAACTTAAGGTGACATTAAAACAGCTAGCTTTCTATTGTAAGATTGTTGATGGTGTATATCTATTAAAGCCTAGCAATACGTTCCCTCCATAGAAACAGAAACACCACACAGTGTACACATGTTCACCATGACGACTACTGAAACACAGTAGGGATATCAGTCAACTTCTCTAATGGCCGGACTATATACCAATCAAAATTAGTTAAAAACCCCACGATTCTTTCATATTACTATAATTACTCTAATCTGTCATGCATGATGAATAACTCTAGCAATATGAAAACCTGAGACAGGTGGTATTATTCTGAACAGTATATACAGTATATACAGTATGTATATATATATATATATCTATTAACAACCAGTCCTTAATTAGTAACATGACTGTGCAGACTTCATTATACATTTCAATTTATACATTCATCCATAATTCAAATCTACAAATCTCAAAAATTAAAACCAATCCTTGAAGTATGTAGAAAGGTATTAACAACCAGTCCTTTATTATAACATGACTGTGCAGACTTCATTATATCATTTCAATTAATACATTCATCCATAATTCAAATCTACAAATCTCAAAAATTAAAACCAATCCTTGAAGTATGTAGAAAGGTATGTAATCTCTAAATTAAACACAATGTCTCATGTTATTAACCAAGGTGACATCATTTCACGCTGATAAATGTATTCAAGGTGTCTTTTGGACCATCATACAACATACAAAGGAGCCAATGGTTATTAAGGTGCTGCACCAGTACTGTGAGAGTGTTGTCTTGTTCCTAGCTTAAGCTTACACCTACTTCAAATTCAATAGCAAGAAAGTCGTCATAAATATTTCTGACCCTCAACACAGCACGGCAACCATGTACTGTGATATGAACACTGGCATCGCTAGGCAAGGTACAAATCACATGGATGTCTAAACCAAGTACAAAAGCTCCAGAACCTATAGTGGCGTTGACTATTGGGTGACCGCTCTCACACAGCAGTCACATAGAATACCGAACACGACTGCATGGTGCTGTCAATAGCCTGAAGCTGAATGGGAGTGTCCGGACACTATAGATCTCCAGATAAACACCCCATGCTTTCACCAAACACTAGGCACATATCATGTATGGCCTATAGACACAAAGTTGCCAATGGAGACATAGGTAGTGGTTCCTGATAAACAGGCATTAACTAAGTGTTGCTCATTGTGAAAGTTAAATGTCTATAGCTGTAGGTTCCACAAACGAGTGGTCGCCTGTACTGATTTGGTTAGAAGAAATTGATATGTTCGCAAAATAAGCTTGTTACTTTGGATAATTCATCAAAAAGAATTACTATCAAATAAGATCAAATTAACAAAATACATTAGAACTTTAGTCGTTCAGTCAAACCATGATATAAATGAGAATCCTTCAAATAACTGCCATTGAATAATACTTTATTGTCAAACCTCCATACATGGCATTAATTTAAATGGCACACTATTCTAAACCTGATCAAAAAGAGCAGTTATCTGCTATATCATACAACATAAATAATTCGTTAGAACCCAAGGGGATTCTGGGTAAGAACATGGGTCCCCAGCAGGGATAAAATGAATTGGGTGGTTAGACTCGGTGACTTGGTCGATACTCATGACGTCAATAACTGGATTGTAGACTCGATTATTACAGACAACTGTCATATAGCTGGAATATTGCTGAGTACTGCTATAGAATGTGTTTTAAGAAAAAAATTGACTCTATCCTTTGACAGGCAAGAATTTCTGAACATAGGTTTCTTAGTTACTGGGTATTCTTTAAAGATACCTGTGAGTCCTCACACAATGCCTTTTGTGAAAATCAAGATCACAAAACCCACCTCCGCAAACTTTACTAAATAAAAAATAAACTAACTACATGCCAGTTCATGTTTATAATGTTCACAAAGGCTGCAAAATATAGTTAATGAAGATAATTCTTTATTATCTTCAACAGATCAAATTTTAACTTTCTCTTCCCTTCAGATTGTATTAAAAATATATTCGGGGTAGGCATTTAAAACAAGGTGGCATACTTTTTATGCAGGATACAGAACACACACCTGAATATATACATCCAAATTATTAATCTCACGTAAAATAATCATTTATGTGGTCAGAAAAACTGCTGCATATCAGGCATGAATTAATAGTGTAATTTATTATCCTAATGTTCAGTCAACACGAACCAAGCCAAGCACATTGTACCCCCCCTGATGTGTTAACATAATCACAGACTTGCACACCTGATCCAATCAGCCTTGACGCACGCCATAATGAGAAATAATCACCTAATCTCACCTTCGGGAAATCTACACCCACTGTCAATATGAGCATTCAAAAGTGAGCAAAACGTGAAATAGGGTGACTTTTTTGTCAAATGCTTTATCTAGAGTTCCACATTCATCTTGCCGTTGGACCAGATATGATAGTTGAACCAAGCTGGAGACAATATGTTCGAATGCACTGAGTGACATATGTAAATTTGGATGCCTAGAAAAATAAATCTTCATCGTACGTATTGTGTTGTGTCGAGCAAGGTCTTTGTATGTATACACAAGCTGCCTAGCAACCAATGACAACCGCATCAGCCTGTCAGTGTTTGAAACTAAGGAGGGTCGCTATGGTAATTAATGAAT